GGGGAGGGGGTGAAAGGGGTTAGAGAGTTGAGAGGGTGAGAGGAATATAAATGTATGGATTTTGTGATTTTGTGATTTTGGGTTGGGAAATGGGTTTGGGGATGGGGATGAGTATGGGGATGGGAATAAGAGTATAAATCTTAATGATGATCGAATTGCTTGCTATAATGAATGATATTTGAGGAATGAGCACGAGAATGAGCGTGGGAAGAGGAATATCAATATCAATATCAATATCATCATTACCTAATAATATTCATCTATATCATTAACTTCTATATATAATAGTATCTATAAACACCTCGAAAATTGTAAATATACAAAAATACAAATATAAACATAAATGCAAACAACGGTTTTAAGTACTCGTATACTCGAGTACTAAAAAAATTCAAAGAAGAAATCTAATCAAAGAAACCCCAAAAAATAAGAGATAGATATAGATATATATATATTCACTCGACTAATAATAACACTATAGGATTGCTATTACTAGTATATAAACACTAATGAAAATACTACCGGCTGGTACTCTAAACTCTATCACCCTAGCATTTACAATCTATAACTAAAATCCAATATTCAATGACTCAATACCCGAGTATATAATAACTTATAAGTAGCACAGCCAGTATCTATCTAAAAGAAAGAAAAATGCAACCTCTTTAGAACTAGATGCACAAATTAAATACCGATTCAATATAGAGTACTCGTACTCGAGTATCTACATTCATACTCGAGTACAAACAATACATATTGAGCCAATATTACTCGAGTAAGTAGATATATAAAGCCGCGGCCTGGGCTTATAACATGAGGCGAATGATGCCTAGGAGGCAGATGACCTCGGGACCAATTTGGAATATCACTGGACTAAGTGATATATTTCATGACTGAAATTGTAATACTGTACACCCACGAATAAAGATATCATTGTACTAGTGTCTATTTCTGCTTTTAAGATTTAATAATAACATTATACGCCTGTTCCAGGAAATGCACCACCCTTGCTCAATACCACGATACCTCGTTCTCGTGCTATGTAACCTTTCATCAAACTCTGAGGGTGATTGTTAGCCAATTTGAATCATTCAAAGACAAAACGAGATATCGAACTGAACATACCTTATAAATCATATTCGCCAGTAAACATTCCACTTCATCATTTTCCATCGTCTCTTTACTCCCAATACTAATCGCAGCCGCGAATTCCACGACTGGAATTCTCGTCCTTCTGACTGGTGCCGCAGCAGGTTCCTTGGCTTCTTCGTAGCCGCCAACGATGAATACTTTGCGTAGGAGATTGCGTAGAGCGATGTCGCGGCCACGTTCTAGGGTGAGGTAGATGCGACGTTTGACGAATTCGTTTTCGCCGGCTAGGAGGGCGGCGTCGAAACCAGCGAGGTCACCTTTTTTGATGCAGCGAGAGAGGGGACCGAAGAGTTTTTGGAGTTTGGGGTAGGGTTGGAGGAGAGCTGGAGTTGGAAGGGTGTGAGTTGTTAGGAGATGGCAAGGAATTAGATAGGTGAGGATGAGTCTGGTTTCTGTGGTCAGTGGCCATTTGGTGTTAGGTTATGGGAGATTGGACGTACTCTTTGTTTTTGATGGCACTCCGGTGACATAGTTTCCATGCCTCGGTGAGATATTTTTCTGCCTATAACAAAATCATTCAGAGCTGCACACCGAGAATGCTACGTTTGGATGAACTTACTTCTTCGTAATGTTCTTCAAGAAAGTATATGACCCCACAATAATATTTGAACGTCACTTGATGAGACATTGGGAAAGATTCAAGACTGGGCATATCACCTCTGTATGCCTGAATAGCGTTGAGAATGTTTCTCGACAATCCGATCGAGTTTAGTTTGAAGTAGGTCTTGAACAATAAATTGATAATATTGTAAGTAGCCCATTTTCTAGACTCTTCAAGGGATGCTCGGTCGCTGAGGCATAAGGTGAATATGCGGTTGAGCTGACGAGCAGCATCTTCGAGTTTCTCGTTTTTCTCAGACTCCGGATTCAAGTCATCCTGGTAATACATAGCAGCATTCATTACGGTACCAGTTGCCTCATCGGCCTTGATAGCAAAGATTCTCAGGTACTTGCCAGCTACGTATAAGCAAGGTACTGTCCAAGCTTCGAATCCGCAGGTACTGTAACCACGATGAAGAGCATTTGTTACTTCTTTCCATGATTCATATACCTTCGTCCACGCATCCTGAACTTTTGTTAGCGATTCTCTTTTGCCCTGGGAATGATAAGACAGGAAAGAGCCGGTGGAAGAGTGTCTCAAGCAAGACCGTCACGTGTTATAACCAACGCTCTTGGTCGAGAATCGCTGATACACATTGTGCTCTGCTCCATTGAACATATCAGATGTCATACCTTTGAATTGTCTTCGGGAGCAGTCTCTGCATTGAACATCAGACCAACAAATCTCCAAAAGGCGCAATAAACGTCCACCCATGCCCTGGCCTCTTCCACTGGGCAGTTCAACGGGGATCGATCATCATAGAGGAGGCGATATTCAACATCCTTCTTAACATGTTCGTAATTTGTACTCCTCCAGAATTCTCGAAGTTTGTTGGGATTTGAAGTAGGGGCGATAGGGTAGAGGGTCATGGATAGATTGTAGCCATTTCCTTCGTTGTATGCGGCCTTGAAATCATGCAGAAATGCATCCATCTTTAATATGTAAGAGATTTCGCGCTTCTTGTGAGATGACTACGCGAAACCTTTGCTATCTTTCGGAAGCAAACAATAAGTCGATTTGATGCTTCACGATTTGACGGTTGGATAGAGGGGGAAAATCGAAACCTTCAAACATTGACTGGGGTGAGGGGTATCATAAATCTAAATGAAAGAAAACGTAGAACAACAAATAATTCGTTAAATTATCACAATTACTGTATCAATGAGACGCTGCAGTAGGTATTTTTATGGAAGATACCTTTCAATGAATCTAAATAATCCATCCATTCACGTCTTTCTTGAGTTGATACGGATCGATACTCATATATTTGATAATCTCCACTCAAAACGTGATGCTGACACACCACTACCCCATATTTCCCGTGGTCGACACAAGCTTCAAGCCGAATATGGTAAGGTCCTGATCTCTAGGGCTGTAAGAAATCAAAACCCTTAGCTTCAATTTTCAACCGAGAAATTCAATTTGGGAGGAGCGAAGCCATCGAATCTCATATTTTGCAGCGACAATCACGACAACCACCACGGCCACATAATTTCACAGTACGTTATACCATATCGCAAAAAATCAACGAACTCAGCTAATTCCCACCAGATGGGTAAGATATAGTTTTTTTCCCTTCAATCCGATCAATCCGGTGGACTGGACTCTCGAAAACAATCGACAAGATAATTACACACCACTCAACCCTCATCTTCTGCGCAATTCCTGACAATGCAATGATTGGCACAATTCGAAAAGCTGCTTTCGAATCCAACGTTTGGGGGGGGGGTGTGAGAATCGAGTCGAATGGGTTGTTAGTTGCATGTGGGAGTTAGGAATATTTACGAATGGCACCATGAAAATATCAAAATGAGGCACCGCTATCCACCTTTTCGAATGATCATATGCAGATTTTTCTTTTCACGAAGTACGAAACTCCTGTTTCCAGACTGGTTCAATCGACCCCGACATACGACCAAATCAACAATGACCGACTCCCGCTTGATGATATCAGTTGTGACTTGGACTTGCCTTCGATACCGGATGGATATGAGATTGAGAGTTGGTAGTCCTGAAAGCTAACTCGCTTTCCTTAGGTCGCCTTAGAGAATACCAGGTCATTGGCCGCCACTTGCCATCCGAGGCAAACCCAGCCCCAAAGTTGTACCGCATGAGAATATTTGCACCAAACACCGTGGTTGCAAAGTCTCGTTTCTGGTACTTCTTGATGAAGTTGAGAAAGGTCAAGAAGGCAAACGGAGAGATCGTCAGCTTGAACGAGGTATGCGATTGCCAGGTCATCAAAATTCGAATGCTTCAAAATTCTAATTTATACTTCTGCAGATCACCGAGAAGCGCCCAATGAAGGTTAAGAACTTCGGTATCTGGATCAGATATGATTCTCGCTCCGGAACTCACAACATGTACAAGGAGTACCGTGAGATGTCAAGAACCGATGCTGTTGAGGCTTTGTACCAAGACATGGCCGCCAGACATCGTTCCCGTTTCAGGTCGATCCACGTAAGTTAAGATCAATTTCGCCAACATGAATTATTACTTACAAATTTTGCCAATAGATCCTGAAGGTTGTTGAGATCGAGAAGATCGAAGACGTCAAGCGCCCATACATCAAGCAACTCCTCGAGAAGAACCTCAAATTCCCCCTTCCTCATCGCATTGCCAAGTCTATGACCGCCAACCTGTTCGCCTCAAAGAGACCATCAACTTTCTATTAAGTGTTTCGTGGCAGAAGTCTGGGTTCGGGGTTCAAATATTGGTGTTTTTCATGCATCTCGGAGAGGTGTTCTAGCTTAGCTCAATGAATGGGATCACGACTAGCAAACAACAATATTGACATGACACCGTTTTTTTTGTGCATCTTCGATTAATGGTTGTCGTATTTTGAAATGTGCTATCAGGTTTATGCATAGTTACTATTTGAGTTCCTTCAGGCATCAGAATTGAATTATCATTATTGCAGTAACAAGTGAAATTTGTCCCAATGTTGTATCCTAAATCCAAACAATATCACTAGTGTCGAGAATTCGCCTCTGCTTTAAATCATCCCAATATAACATCAAGCATCATACCTAGGCTTCATGACTTTGTTCCACTTTCAGCACAACACAACAGCTCTGATCTTTAATTTCCACCCCATTTGACTCTGTTCAATGCTTGTTTGTTTGCTCGAAATTCAAAACGGGATGGATACCAGTCTTATGGAAGTCAGTGTGAACTGGACTTAGACTAGGCTAGGCTAGGCTGCCAAGCTTGGACATGGCAACACTTTTGGTAGTTTTATGTTTGGGATTTTGATGTGAATGGGTTTTATTTGTTGGCTTCTTTTATGTGTTTTGGCTTTTGGTGGAGAGGTGGAGGGAGGGAGAGGGAGAGATGGGGGGGGATTGGAGGGATATGATGGGGGATAGGGAGATGGGGGATAGAGAGATGGGATGGAGAGATAGGGGATGAAGATGAAGATACAGATGGAGAGATGGGGGGTATGTAGGAAAATTAGAGAGATATTTCTTGGTACTATGGGGTGGGTAGCAGTATGGGATGGCATGAGTTGGGGTGTGATGGGATTGTAGAGAGTCGAGACAGTGCTACAGTGCTCCAGTGCTCTAGTGCTCTAGTGCTTTGTCGAGATAGATGTTAAAATCGAAGATCGAAGATCGAATATCGCGAATGATTATTTTCACCCGTCAGTCAATATTACACATATACCTATCTATACCTACTCGAGTAGTACCGATACATATGATATATATATAGTTATCTTGGTGAATAAGTAGGTAGGTAGGTAGGTAGGTACCCAGACTACTTGTAGAGCCTAGAGGGGGATTAATATTGTAGATTAGATTAGTGGATGCCCGTTTCTTTACTTATATTGCTTACTCGTATATGATATAGTCATTCCTACTCGAGTAGAATACAAACAAGATTTGAATAGAAAATTACTTTTATTCATCTATATCCAAACTATTAAAACCACATTTACTTATATCACCGCCCCTCCATCCTTAACTTCCACCTCAAAATCCCCGTCTCCATCTCCGTCTACATCTCCATCCCTTACCCCATCCTTCTCCTCAATATCAGTAAACTCCGGTTTCTCCAAAACCTCACCACCCTCCACCCAAACCTCTTCCAATTCCCCCTCAATCCTCTTCATCCTCTCTTCCCATTGACTTTCCATCTCCATCCTCTCTCTCAATTCCTGCAATTCTTTCTCTACCCCCATTTTTTCTCTCTCCGTCCCGATCCTCTCATATTCCCACTCTGATCCTTCATCCCCTAGACCCAATTTCAAATTAAATGTATGGTATCTCTTTAAGCTTGCTCTTGTACTGATCGTGATAAGCGTGATTCCTTTCTCCTTGCAAGTTTCATATAATAATCCTTCGACGTCGCTGGAGACGGCACTTGTGCCCTCGTCAATAAATGCATATCTAGGTTCATGATACAGCAGCCTCGCAATCGCCATCCTTTGTTTTTCACCTCCACTCAACACATCCTTCCATTCTTTCCTCGTATCCCAACCGCCTTCGCGATCGGGGAGATAGCCCAGACGTGCTTCATCGAGAACATGTTTCAATTCGATATCGCGACGGCCTTTGGAGCGCATTTCGAATTCACCATCGGGGTAGATGACTTGATCGCGAAGAGTGCCTATGCTAAGGTAGGGACGTTGAGGGAGAAACATTATTCCATCGGTACCGGTTGTCCGGGAGCGGCTTACGAGGCCCCTGTAGACAGGCCAGAGACCGGCGACAATGCGGGATATGGCGCTTTTCCCTACGCCGTTCGAGCCGGAGATCTGGATTGTTAGTCTTGTAGGTACTAAGGAGAGAATAGTGGAATAGTGGAAGGAGATAGAAGTTCATACAAGTAGATGTTCTCCAGAGTGAACGACCATGGAGAGAGATTCTATAAGTTCTTCTCCACCATGAGGGTATATGGATGGAGCGACCACAGGTACGTTTTCTAGACGCACGCCATCAAATCCTTTCTGTGTTGTTCCCTGTACGTCCGAGAGAGAGAAAAGCTCATTTTGAGAAGTTCGTGGAGGAAAGTATGCGTTTGCATGAACCCGATGAAGAGTTGATATGAGTGTATAGACTCGACTGGTATATCCAGCCAATTCCGAGAGATCCTTAATCGAATACATCATGCGACCACCAGCATCGGCTAATGACAACATGAGCCTTTTGTTGGTGATGAAATCCTTCATCCGACCTCTTTCTCTACCACCAACCACGGAAATGTCCGCCAATTCTTGAACTCCACCAAGGCCACCCCATGCGGGAAGGAATATTGGCAATGAACTTAACAAGTAGCCATATGCGCTCCAACTGTACTTGAGAACGAAATCTTCCAGTATGTTGTAGCGGATCTTAAGGGTATATATTCCTTCCATCCATATTTTGAGACTTCTGAACTCTTTGTCTAAGAAGTTCTTCTCCATATTAGCGCCTCCATAGAATGCCACCTCTTCCGCATTTGCGATGAGGCGAGCATGGAGTCCTCGAAAATCCCCTTCTTTACGTCCTTCGACAGCCTTTAACTTTCCAAACGGTGGTGAAAGTCTTCGAAGGATTGAAGCAGTCAAAAAGTAGTTTGCCATTAGGCCAGTCAAAGCCAAAGGTCCAAGAGATAGGTAGAGTTGATAGTTAAAAACACACAGATCAACGAAAGGTTTGCCTAATGAGGAATATAGACTTGCTGCTGATGCACAGAAGAGAGTCAGGTCTTGTGTAATAAATTGATCCGCACCTTGCCCAACTCCACCATCAAGATTTGATAATTTGTAGTAGTTGAGATTATCGTTAAGGTACAGATCGTGAATGTATCTAGTTAATCGAGTGCGAAAAGCGATTGAAACTTTGGATTGGAGGAACTTGATCATAGCATTCGTGTAAGAAGCGAAGCCTCCAATGCCACACCACTTTCATACAGTCAGCCATTTGAATTTTGAAGGGTAATGTTGGTCGAAGAGCACTAAGGTAAAAACAGGTTGATGGATGTATCAACTGAGAAGAAAACAGGGCAAACGTTCGTGATAAATGTAGATATCAAAGCCTGAAGGTCTTACCTTTATGATACCCCAACTGAACGCTTTTCCATTACCTGCAACCAAATCTCGAACAATCTCGCCATCCAATCGTGCCACAACTAAAGACAAATAGGTTCGAAGCATCAAGAAGATGCCATGGCTAAGAAGTAAACCAGTTTCCTTACTAGACCATCTTGGTATCATTATACTCAAAAGGCTAAGGAATTGATGCAAGAAAGCCAAATTCAATCCTGGCTTCGTTTGCGGAGGTGGAATCTGCGGAGTTTGTTGACCATCCGTAAGCCCAGCAGCTCGGGGTGGGTTTAGGAAAAGTCTTCTATGAGCATCGAAAGTCATCGGCTTTGTAGGATATATGGTGACTTTCGAGGTTGTGTCTTTATATGGTACAAACACCACCCTTGAACCATCTTTATTCTTGAGTCCAGAATTCCGCCGGTGTAATCTCTTCCCTTGCTCCTTTTCTGCTGCTCGTTTATGCCACCATCGATGACCCAAAGTACCTCCGCATATTATAGAAAGGGTAAGGAACAATGTTCCTAGAAGTTTTGTTGTTTTCGAGGCTCCCTGAATTCGACTACGAATGAGATTCGCATATTTCTGATAAAGCACGCCGATAGGATCGGAATAACGTAATGTTGACTGTGAAGCCATACTTCAGTATCTTTGAGAGATATTGGGGCTCTGCGATATTCAAATGCGCGCTACTTGTTCTTCATTTCCTCGTTCTAGAGTAAGGAAGGTATGTTGAAGGCGTTGCATTCCCAAAAAACTTCGATAGCAAAATAAGTTGCTGGTCATTCAGCGAACCTACTATTATCTCACATACATCAAATCAAATATGATGGTGAGCTGATATACAGTGTATTTTGATGTTATTGTACTCCATATGATTGATACCGATACCGATACTCAGAGATTTGGTGATGATGACTTGAATGTTGAACCATTGACCATGATGATTGTTGATGACATGTGAAATGAAGGGGAAAGTAAACCGAGGCTGGCTGCTGGAACCTGCATGGACAAACCCGCAAGTCCAAGCTCGCTTCCCCGCAATATTTTTTGAAAGGAAAATGAAAACTTAACATAACCATACAGTACTAATAAACACTTGATATTCATAAGCTTCATAGTAATCTGGCAAACTTATTCATTGCTATGTACTGTATCGTCAATCCTAGCTAGGTACATATATAAAATGTCTACTCGCTCGTACTCGGGCTCATTCTTCAATTTATTAAACGGGAAGAACCTAAACCTAAAACTAAAATGAGGAACCGTTTTTTATACGGGCTTTCATCGGATATCCAAATCTGGTGATGTATTCTTCAAGTACCGGAGACAACCATTACCTACCTAGGTATCCTATTCTACTTTAAATGCTGTGATTCTATTCTGTGATGATAGACAAGAGGAGCATGGGACGCGGGAAGTTGAGTTGAAAATCCAAAATCCAAAATCCAAAAGATGATAGTTAATTGGACATCCATCCACCTGTGCATAAAGCTTAATCCTGGTTTGTTGATAGCTTTATAAATGCTAGACCCTCATTGATAGGTCAAAGCATAACCGCTGAAGTGGAGAAGAAGAGTATAGTAACTCATAGTTTGGGGATCATTTTCAATAAGATCAAGTTAGAGGTTAGAGACTCAGATCAGAGTAACGAATCTTTTTCCGGCATGTTCAGAGCAGAGCCAAGCTCGAGATTGCAATATAAAAAGCCATTAATCCGGATATCTTTAGGATGTATATCCGAGCCTACTACAATTTGAGGATAAGTATTTGTGGATTTATTTTGTATAATACGAGATATCTGCATTAGCATCATAGTATGATCATACAAAGAGAGCTACAATAAGTACCTACCGGTATGATTGAGGTACAACATCTGTAAGTACTTGTACAGTATCGATAACATGACTTGATTGTACATTTAAGACATCGTGTCAAGTAACCATATCGGAAGTGATTGAAGTGAAGGAGTGATATGATACCGGTACTTGTTCTGATCATGAATTCAAGGAATCCTCGACTAGACGACAATACCTCTCTACTTCCTTCAAAGGAAGATTGAGGGATCTTGGGATCCTGTCTGTTGATCTATTCATGAGGATGATCAAAAGTTATGACAATGATCAAAAGCTGCCCAAAAGAATACCTAGTCAATAAATACAATTAAAACCATCCAACCAATTAAAAGAATAGAGTTTTATGAATTTACTAAATCATCCAAAAGGGAGTTCCCGCATTTGATAGGCTAGACTACGGGGCGGTAAATTGGGCGCCTAATTTCATTTTACCCCTTGATAGATCCAATCCATGAGATGGAGTTGGGCCAAGTCCCACATCTAAATTGGAGGGGAGGGGTCCAGAACAAGAAGTGATTCAGGAAAGTCCAAGTCCATGTCCCGCTGAGTTATGACCTATCTACTACTAGTACTGAAGAGTATGGTACTGGGGAAGTGGAAAGTGGGAGTGGAGGTGGAAGTGGAAAAGATGATGGCTATTTATTGTTGTACGGGGACTCTTGTACTGAGTAGTATGTATGTACCGGTAAAGCACATAAATAACATTGGTAAAAAGTGCGTGAAGGCGTGAAGGCTTGAGATGCTTGCTTCTTTTAATGCATGCATCATTACCCTTGAGTTCATATATATATATATATATATATATAGAGTGAAAAGCCTCACGGAAAAGTATAATAGTTTTCATAGCATCAATTGACCTACAGCCAAATTGCCCTATATCACATCTAGTAGCCGTATGTAGAATGGGAATAAGGGAATGCCCCCCCTCCCCCCACCGAAACGTTTACCTTTCAGGGTTTAAAGTTCCATCGAATCAATATAATATCAATACGGCCCCTACTCAGTCATCAGCTTTTGGCTCATTGTATAACTCGAGTACAGTACCGGTAGGTAAGTCTCTTTCCGTACTGTACTGTATGTACATCTTTGGTTGACTTGTACAGCAGTGATGAATAAAAAATACATCTTTACTTTTCCATCATAGCCACGACCGCGGCCATGTCTCTTTTATCGTAGTTATTATATCACCTATTCGAGTCATACTTTCTATTCTCTCACCATCACTTCTTCCACATCTACCAACCTACTGTACCTACTACTCGTACATACCTACTTACATACCTACTACCTACATACATATATTGGTACTCCACACATCACATAAGTTCCATACCACAGCCTTCAATTACGAAAATAGTTACCACCATCTTTACCAATGGGATCAAGTTGTATCTTATAATAAGACGAAAAAGAGAGTTAAATACTCATACTGAGTACATTGTACCTCTACTCGAGTAGATACCGGCATATAAAAAGATACAACGTTTGATTGATTGGAAAAGTAACTCTTTTGGGGCCCCTACCTCATCACCTCTCATTATCTCTCTCATATCATCTCTCATCTCTACCAGAACGGACCCCCGGGAACAAACTCGTACTTTCATTACATTTTCTCAAGTGCTGGTGATTACAAGTACTTTAAATCTTGTAGCTGGCTGCTGAAGCTTGTTAGCGCAATCCAATCTCGCTAATTAAGTTCTGAATGTCCCCCCATCCTATTATCGACATTCATTCATCTCGCCCAATCTCAATCTCAATCTCAATCTCATCCCAAAGTAAAGTCATTCTTTTCAATTTCTCTCCTTCAGGAGCCGTCGACACGACATTTTGTTGTTTTGTAAGTCAATTGTTCCCCCCAAAATCACTGCGGTTAATCCTCGCCTCACTTACCAAATTAATTTATCGCGCAACGATCTACTCGTAAAGATTTCGGCATTCATTCTAAGATAGGAGACTAATAATAATTAAATAGCGATTAGGAACCATCAACTGAAATCATCCGACGCGTTCCAAGATAAAAGTCCCTTACATTCGATAGATCTTTGCAAAACATTTGGTCTTTCGATAATCTTGTTCTTTTTTAATTATTTATCGAATTGCCCTCGATGAGTAATGAGGTAGCTCAGCCGACTGAGCAAGATCCTAGCCGCTCGACTTCGTTGGAAGGCACGAAAGGAATCAAACCACATGCGCTCGATACTTCCAACTGTACGTACATGCCCTTTTCAACTAAAAACTTAGTTTATCTCTATGTTCTCATATGAGGTGTGCTGACAACTGCAATGCCAGTATAAGTTGCTAACAATTAATTACAGTCACTGCAGTTTCCCAACCACCCAGCTCATCTACACAACAGTCAACCGCTCAAAATACATTGACAGAAGATTCCGAAAACATTTTCAATTCAACTACAAACGTCGATAAGGATCAAGGAAAAGCCATCGAGGCATTGACCGAATCATCCAAGAAGAACAGAGACTTGCTTAAAGTTCCTTCAAGATCGTCTTCCAATAGAATACACCCTTCGCCAACTTCTACAGGTCTTAGTGGAGCGACTGCGAGTGAGGGAAGAGAAAGCATAGGGGGGCGATCTAAGGAATCGAAGGGCAGTTTTCTTGGGCGGAGGCGGAATGGGAGTGCAACAAGCAGCAAGATGTCGATAAAATCACCTGGTCATCCTACGGGTGCTTCAGGTCCTTCGCAGCCTGCAGTTTCCGACGCACCTGCAGTTCGTCAACCAAAAAAGAAGAAGAGCTTTCTTTCTCTTCTTTGCTGCGGTACTCCGGACCACGCTAATTCTTTGGATGCACCTGTTCCTGCCAATAAAGTATCGAAATTCAGTTTGAGCCGCCCTACAACAGCCAAACAACCCGACCCTAGCAGAATGGGACAACAGAATAGTGTTCCTGCAGTACCGCAAACCGAGAAGGAACCTTTGCAGCAACCACAACAAGAGCCTCAAGTCGACGCGGAAGATGTGACGCATGAGGTGACAAGCCCTCAAGGAATTACGGAAACCACCGCTTCTTCATCAGGTGCCAATGAAGAACCGAGCCGTCCAATCGGAAACTCACGCGATCAACCTTTACCGGACTTGCCCACAGTCGTAGAAGCAGAGCCCACACAAGTTGAGACGGCAAAGCCAACAGTATCTGTTGATGCTCCAACGCAATCTGAAACGGCAGGGGAAGTTGTATCTCCCAGTACCGATCTGGGACAACAAGATGGAGGGGATGAGAAGATGGCAAATTTGGATCCGGGAACTACGGATATTGAAGAGGCACCATTGCCGCTCCCAAAGGATGAGCCAGTGACGAGCCAGCAAACTCTCCCACCTCCGCCTCCCGTACCTCAGATTCCAACATCTGAAGAGGTCATTCCCTCGGATTCAATGGAGCAAAAACAACAATGGCTTTTACCACCAATTGCACCAAGATTCGTAGGGAAAAAATGTCTGGTTCTTGATCTTGATGAGACTTTAGTACATAGCAGTTTCAAGGTGAGTTCACAACCATTTAAGTAGTAAAAAGTGTTCAATAGCTGACCAGTCTATTTTCTAGATCTTACATCAAGCAGATTTCACCATCCCCGTGGAAATTGAAGGGCAGTTTCATAACGTCTACGTGATCAAGCGACCCGGTGTTGATCAGTTCATGAAACGAGTTGGAGAGCTTTACGAGGTTGTTGTCTTCACTGCTTCTGTTTCCAAGGTATGCATTGATGATGATTGTTTCTTTTCGAATCTTTACTGACAAAGTATAGTATGGCGACCCACTCCTGGATCAACTAGACATTCATCACGTTGTCCACCATAGATTGTTCCGTGAAAGTTGTTACAACCATCAAGGAAATTATGTCAAGGATCTTTCTCAGGTCGGCCGCGATTTACGAGAAACTATTATCATCGACAATTCTCCAACGTCTTATATCTTCCACCCGCAACATGCTGTTCCTATCAGCAGTTGGTTCTCAGACGCTCACGACAATGAGCTTCTAGATCTAATTCCAGTTCTAGAGGACTTGGCCGGCTCGCAGGTCCGAGATGTCAGCTTGGTTCTCGATGTTGCACTTTAAGAGGGTGCAAAATCTAAATGCAATTCGCTTGATATCATAGCGGAAGGCGTTCGGTTGATACCTTTGGTTTCGTTGTAGAATGTACTGTTTAATCTATATAATGGGCCGGCGTGCTGGCTCAGCCTTGGTGCAGGAAGGTATGCTAGTGGGAGAGATGGGGGAAACTTGCTAGAAAGAGAGAGACCAAATCACCAAATTACGACGATGGGTCAGAATCTCAGCGGTTGGGATATGGGTATATTCACATTATCTCGGCGGAACAGCGAAGAGCGAACATCATACGATGCACAGCGTACAACAGATCCGCCTGTTACATTCTTTTCCTGCCCATCAAGATCTGAGGTACTTTGGGCAGACGCATATCCGACATTTTCATTTGTCTAACTTTTTTTACTTTTCAAAAACTTCTCGGGGCTTTGCGCATGGCGCAGACTCTTCATGTATCAAACACTCAATATTCCACTGTTTGTGAATGCTTTGGAGATAGCATTCATCAAATACCAAAAATGAAACGATTCCATACGACCTTTTACTTATTACCTCACTTCAATTACACCTTTCTTGTAAATAATTACTGGGTAAATAAACTTAATATTAATACAATGACACAATTTTTTTTGGCTTTCCTTGTTGGTTTGCTTATTATTACTGAAATTGGTAAAATAAACCAGAAACTTAACTACTATCAATAAAATGGGAAGACAAGATGGGAATTAGATGAGATGAAAATTATAAAAATTACAATTAAATTGTCCGTCCTATCAGTGAACCTAGAGCTTGGTCTTGTCTGGGTTTACTTTAGCGTCATTTTGATCGGCTCCTTTTAGAATCTGTCCTTTGACAATCAATTTGGACCAGCTCATCATAAGGCCAGCTTTCTCTACCACATTATTGCGATTCTCTCATTCGAAATATTAATTCAATTCGATTAAAGCAAAACTCTTTGCCCTTCTTCACATTTTTCTGAGTCGTCTTTAGTTAAATTACCATACTTTTTCCTTCACAATGGTACGTATCTGATCTGATTTCTTTGCGACTTCGAATGGAGTCATTCGTAATTCGTCATTCTATCTGCACTACAGCCCAGCACAGCACAGCATAGCACACAATAGCTTTCCCCAATTTCATCGAAATCGACATACTCATACTGCAATTCCAATCCAATTCATTACTGAAAGATACTAATCAATAATGACAAAATAGTCATCCCCAAGATCGGCATCCCCAGTCAACAGCCCGGTAGCAGTCGCTTCGGGCAGACCTTCCTCTCCAACACCACCTGGAGGCCCAAAGACGGCGATTAGAAGACGTGCGGCGGCGGATCAGAAGGATAAGGTGGCGAATGCGAGGCCGAGTAGTACGAGGGCGGCGGGTGCGGGTGGGAGTAGTAGTACCATGTTGAGTGAGTTGATTCTTTTTTTTTTTTGGTGAGAGGGATGGGGGATAAGGGATTGGGGGGAGATGGTGAGTGGATGGGGGGCAGGGGGGTAGAGATGGGGTGTTGAGGAGGGTAAGGGGGGTTGGAGGGAGGGATGCGGGTGGAGTGGAATGGACGATGAGGAGGGTAAGAAGAGGTGTTTTGCTTAGAGTTGTGGTTATACTTCGAGAGGGAGGTATAATTGATAGCTTGAGGCACAGCGCATACTCAGGTTTACTCGAGTGCTTTTCTTGCTTTCTCAGTCCCAATCGATCTCGATCCGGGGATTGATGAGCGCCGCAAAGAGTCTCAAGCCTCTTCAAACTTGTTCCAGTACTTGCGCGCAAGGTATCCCAATCAATGGCCGCGAATGTGATCGCGCTTCTGCGATTTGGGATGATGATTCAAGATGACGATCATTTTGCATGTGGAATCGTACTAACATTTTAAATAGGACTTTACACGGATGAATCTCCAGGATTGAAGGTCGACCCAGTCGTTGTCTTGGTTCTCTCTCTCGTCTTCATCCTCAGTGTTGTTGCACTTCACCGTAAGATACTCAAGATCTTCCTATATGTATACTCTTCACTAACGTCATTTTCAGTTATCGCAAAAGTCACTCGCAAATTCTCATCTTAAATTCGGGGTTTACAGCGTTGGAGCAGAGGATATGATATAGGGGCGCGATTGATGGACTTTGGCTTGGCAAGGACGGCTCAACATATATGGTGCTTGGGAATTCTTACGCTGGCTGAAGGGAAGGGAAGGGGGCATTTACGGTGCTCTTTCTTTGTATTATAAACAATCTTTCAGGGGATCAAAAGAATTGATGGACTTTTTACTTTCGGGCTCGTGCGATCAGTTTGTGATTTTGCTACTGTAGTGGTGGATATGGTGTAGTTATGTTATGGTGTAATGAAGGAGATTTGTTGCAGATATAGGTATCTGAGTTGGATTCGGTATGTGGTTTGAGGGGGCTCAACCGGATGTACCTAGGCAGTGTTCTACTTAAGTATATCGTGTTCTATACCTCTGGAGACTGGTAGTAAACGATGAATTGGCTCTACAAAATCCGAGACATTTCAAGGAACCGCCATAAATGCCACACCCCCTGGATCTCTACAGTAGGTTGGTTAGCTTCACCTTATACTCGAGTAAAAGTTCTCTGATAGATCCATCTACTCTTTGTTATATAGGGAAGTGCTGATATTGCACTTTGTATATATGTACTCGAGTAGGAGTAGGAAGGAGTATTCGTTAACGGTGACCCTTGGACTCGCGTACTGGAGAATATATTTCAAATATACTCAGTATGTAGTTAGAGGTATACCAGTAATAGATAGTGATGTATATGTTTTAGTCACATTGATTGAATTTTTGAGCAATTTTGGGGAATTGTGGAATTTTTTTACCTGACCACCTTCATCGTCATCGCTATCACATGCAGCCTCCGCGGGGTATCATTACAGCAGCCTTGTCTCTTCGTCTACATTATTCATTGAGAACTAAACTTCAGGGAATCACGTACAACAAGAAAGTATTCTAGAACTATTCACATGTTATCTAGGATCTGACCTCCACACGAATTCGGCTTTGGTGAAAGCTGTGGGGTGTCAATTCGGAACGCTACGCTCACCCCGCATTTCATACACCTCAACTGTTATCTGCGCAGGGAGCATATCAACATGACGTCTGAGTCGAACAAACCTACAAAGGAAGCTGTACCTTCTGCTTTGATCGCACAAGCTGAAGCTGCAATCTATGGCAATCTAGAGGACGATGAACCTTCACCACACGATAGAAGACATGCTAGGCATCATGAAGGAACCGCGAGGTCATCTGGGGATACACCTTCTTCATCATCGTTCGTGTACACTCTTCCCTCGAACCTGACATATGCTAATTACTTCCTCTCACTTAGTACACGTCGGCCTTCGAATTTAGCTGTCCCATCTAACGAGTCATATTATGATTCAGCAGAACCTCCGCCTGCATATGGAAACAAGCATAATGAGCTAGAGCTCAGTCAAGATGGATTTGATACCCAGGCGAAGATCTCCGATGATGGTCGAATCAATATAAATATTAATCAAAAGACTCGAAAATTGTCTGATCTCCTTGTTCCTGCGCTACGAAACCAGCTTTCTCTTGTTGCACAGGAAGACGCTACTCCGCTCCCTCCGGGATATTTACCACCTGCACTGGGAGGATTGCCTGGTCAGACACCTCCACCTCAACTCAATGTCGTTATAAATGTCGTTGGTTCTCGGGGAGACGTACAGCCGTTCGTTGCGCTGGGTAAGATTTTAAAATCTACCTATGGACATCGTGTACGTCTAGCTACGCATCCCACATTCAAAGGGTTTGTTGAGGAAAATGGACTGGAATTCTTCAGTATTGGAGGTGATCCTTCTGAGTTGATGGCATTCATGGTGAAGAACCCAGGTCTCATGCCCGGTATCGATTCTCTAAAAAGTGGCGATGTCGGCAAACGGAGGAAAGGTATGGAAGAAATTGTTCTGGGTTGTTGGAGATCGTGTATCGAGGCTGGAGATGGCCTAGGTCCAGCTCCTGTTAAATCCGAATCCCAAGTATCGTTGGGTCTTGAAGCTGGCATTAATATGGATACTAATCCGTCGGATAAACCGTTCGTTGCGGATGCAATTATTGCTAATCCTCCAAGTTTTGCGCATATACATATTGCTGAAAAATTGGGAATACCGTTACATATGATGTTCACGTATGTTTTCCCGATCAACTCTGATAGTTTGTGGTTGCTTATTTGTATACAGAATGCCTTGGTCACCCACACAGTCCTTCCCCCACCCTTTGGCCAATATTCAATCCTCGAATGCGGACGTGAATATGACCAACTTCATCTCTTATGCTCTTGTTGAAATGATGACATGGCAAGGACTTGGAGATGTGATCAATCGTTTTAGAGAAAGAGCCCTTGGTCTTGATCCTATCAGTTTGATTTGGGCGCCTGGAATGCTAAGCCGTCTTCGTGTTCCATATACCTATTGCTGGTCACCGGCACTCATCCCAAAACCAAAAGATTGGGGCAAGCAAATCTCAATATCTGGATTTTATTTCCTTTCTTTGGCGTCTTCGTATACCCCCGAACAGGAATTAGCGACTTTCCTGGCTAATGGTCCACCACCAGTCTATATTGGATTTGGTTCCATTGTCGTTGATGATCCTAATGCAATGACTACGCTCATTTTTGAAGCCGTCAAGAAATCTGGTATCCGAGCTTTAGTATCTAAAGGTTGGGGAGGTCTCGGTGGTGACGCTCTTGATGTACCCGAGGGAGTTTTCATGTTGGGTAATGTGCCTCACGATTGGCTGTTTCAGCATGTATCTTGCGTGGTTCATCATGGAGGTGCTGGAACCACTGCTGCCGGTATCGCTACTGGAAAGCCTACGGTTGTGGTGCCATTTTTCGGTGATCAACCATTCTGGGGAGCGATGACGGCTAGAGCTGGAGCGGGTCCACCACCAATTCCGTATAAACAACTTACTGCCGATAAGCTTGCTGCAGCTATCACTGATGCTCTCAAGCCTGAAACCTTGGCGAAGGCACAAGAGCTAGGGGCTAAAATTAAGGAGGAGAAGGGGACTGAAGTTGGTGGGAAAAGCTTTCACGATCATTTGGATGTTGACAATATGAGATGCTCTTTGACGCCACATAGAGTAGCAGTCTGGAGGGTGAAGCGTACTCAAACCAAGCTTAGTGCTTTGGCTGCAAATGTCCTTGCAAGTGAGAATCTCATCAGTTTTGCAGATCTAAAATTGTAAGTTATTCCTAACATTTTACTCTTTGAATCAGTGGCTAATTAGATTAGGAATCGTTCAAGGGAATATGAGACTGAAGATGGTCCTTGGGATCCAATATCTGGAGGAGCATCTGCACTTCTGGGAACTATTGCGAGTCTCAGTATGGGTGTCGCAGATTTTCCTATAGAAATCTTCAGGAAGGTAAAGCGGGACAAGGAAGCCCGTGCTTCCACCAAAGAATCCTCGACCGATTCAGCTGTGCCAAATTCTTTGGTGCAGAATCAATCTCGAGATCATTTGCCCTTAGATGAAAGATCGCTTAGCTCAGTAGACGCCAGCTTGCGGCAAGTATCAGAATCTTCGGCGAAGACTTCTTATGAGAGCACTCAACGATCCTCGGATGATATAGCTACTCCTTTAACGCCAACGACTACCCGGAGTTCCACATCAAACATATTGAGCCCTGGTATCACGCATACAAACTCGTTGCGGCAAGTACTACAGGATAACATGGAGTCCCGGCAAAGTCGCAGTGGTTCCGGCGCCGACACTCCCAAGGCATTTGATCCTTCTAAGTTGACTATTGAGAACGCTATAGGGGCAGGGAAAGGTATTTCGCGTATCGTTGGGGCGGGCTTGAAGTCGCCGATGGATTTCACCCTGGGTTTGGCACGAGGATTTCACAATGCTCCGAAATTGTATGGTGATGATACGGTTCGGCCACAAGAAAAAGTGACAGATTTCCAGAGTGGACTAAAAGCCGCTGGAAGGGAATTTGGATATGGAATGTTTGATGGCATCACTGGTCTGGTTACACAGCCTTTACGTGGTGCAGAGAAGGAAGGTACTGCCGGACTTATAAAAGGCATAGGAAAAGGTATTGCAGGAGTAGTCCTTAAACCGGGAGCAGGTACGTCAAATTCTTTCAAATTCTTATATGCCTGCTAATATGTTTAAGCCATATGGGGACTTCCTGGTTATACGTTTATGGGTATTCATAAAGAAGTCAGAAAACTTTTCGGCTCAAGCGTTCTCAATTATATCATCGCAGCTAGAACAGCCCAGGGTTTTGAAGATGCCCAGAAATGTAGCAGAGAAGAACGTATGGATATCATCAAGCGCTGGAATGAACACAAACGGGAATACCAAAATGTTAAGCAGAAAGTTGGTGGTGAAGGTCCTGATGGTCAGGGTACTGGAAACCTCTCACCGCGAGGCTTCTTCCAAACCAGACATCTCACTTTCGACGAAAGAAAAAAGCTCGACGAGGATAGAAAAGCCAAGCGTGGTGAGGAAAGAAGAACAGCAGATAATGAGGGCAGTGGGGCACGTGGTACTTCTAATCAACAGTCAACACACGATCGCTCACCTGGCGCTCTCCAAAATTTACCACTTGTTAATATTAATCCTCCTCCTACTACTAATTGTCCCACTGGGTCCAACCAGACGGACTTTGAAGAAGCAATCCATGCCTCAGTAGCAGCTACTTCTCGCGGTAACCTCGATGAAGATCTTATGATAGAGCGGGCTATTCGAGCGAGTGTGGCGGAACTTCAAGGTGGTCAGAGCGCGGGATTAAGTGATCGTGAGGTGATGGATCGTGCGATTAGGGCTAGTGTTGTGGCCAGTCAGGAGCAGGAGAGAAGGGGTGGGAGAGGAGGGAATGAAGAGGATGATAGAGAACATGAGACGCAGCTTGCGAAGGCAATTCAGGAGAGCTTAAGGGGTACTGATATCAATAGGGTAAGGAGGAGTGGCGGTGATAGTAGCGACGGGAGTGGGGATAGTGAGGGTGGATTCATAGAGATGCGAAATGAGGAGAGTGAAAATGACGAGGATTTCAAGAGGGCATTGAGGGAATCGAGAGAAGATCATGAAAAAAGGCAAACAAAGGGAAAGGAAACCGAGAAGAGTGCTGCTGGTAGTGGAGGAATGACAGAAGAAGAAATCGTTTTGGAATATGTTAAGAAACAAAGTTTGGCAGAGGACCAACATAAGCGGGCGGTGGAGGAACAGGAGAGGTTGAAGGTGGAGGAGAAGAAGAAAATGGATATGGTGAGTAGTGCTGCGGATGATGAGGCGTTAGAAAGAGCTATTCAGGAGAGTTTGAGGGGGGCGGGAGGTTCTGGGGGGGTATGAAGGGTGGTTGTGGTGGTGGTGGTAGTGATGGTGGGTAGAGTACTGAATGGTGAGATGTAGGTTGAGATTGGCTAGGATCTTATTTGCCAATGCGATAGATACGGTACGATACGATACGATACCCAGGGATAGGAGTGAGGAATAGGGGAGCTATGAATCAGAATGTGCTTTTTTTTTGGTCTCCTTGTTGATTGGGTGTATATGTATGTATATGTCATGAGGATGGTAGGTGGTGCTGATGTGATGATGTGATGATATTGTGATGAAGTAATAATATGCAAGTGATAAAAACAGGTCGAGGAGTTGGTTACTATGTATACGGTAAGAGTGGAGTGAAGGACTTTAATATGGAGTATTGGTATGTATGTAGTATGTACGTGGTGAGGTGGCATGATCTTGGTCTTTGGTCTTGGTTCTGGTCTTGGTTCTGGTCTTGGTCTTGGTATAGATAATTTAGTGATTGTTTGTTTGCTTGCTTGCTTGCTTGCTTGCATAAGACTTGGATTGGATTAGGCTGTGGTGGGTTGTGGTGTTGAAGGAGTTCATGTGGGATGGGATGGGAAGGAATGAGATTTGGGTTAAGATGTATCAATCATGTAAGGGGGGTAGAGGGGGGGAGAGGATAGAGGGAAGAGGGGAGAGTGGAAAGGAGGAAGTGGAATTGAGAGAGTGGAGAGGGGAGAGTATGTGAATAGAAAGTCTTGGTTGGAGTCGTTGGTTTTTGGAGGTTGGGGTGATGAGAGAGGATGATGAGAGGGGATAATGAACGAGAAGAGGGAGGGGATTATGAGAGGGAATGATGAGAGGGAGAGTTATAAGAATGGAACGATGGGTCTTGCGAGGTTGAAGTGAAGTGAAGTGAAGTAAAATGAGTATAAAATTTTATATTTAATGGGGAAGGTGGGGGGAGGTTGAGGGGAGGTTGAGGGGTTAGGATATAGTATGGTAAGGTATAGAAGTATGGTTTAGAGGATGATGATTAGGAAGCAGTGTGTGCTAGTTTTAGGACTGGGCTGGGTTGGGCTGGGTTGCCCTTTTTCTATAATTATATTTCTTTTCTCGGCTGGATATGATGTTGGATATGATGTTGGATATGATATTGGAGGGAAATGAGCATTTTGCATTTTGATACTCGTGTCGTGTACTGTGTACTGATCGATGTATTAATCGATATCGATGAATAAATGGGCATGGGGGTATCAAGAAAATGAGAGAAAGGGATCAAAGAGAGAGAGAGAGAGAGAGAGAGATTATGATAAGTATGGTATCATAAGTTACATAATACTCGTAGGACGAAGTCGTTCGAGCTGGTATAGGTATAGCTGGTGTCTGAAGATTGGTGGGAGACTGGTGCGGATATTGGAGTTTTCGGTTTTTCCTGCAGTGTTTCTCGCTGTACTTACTACTCGGAGTATTTTTAAGGATATATGTAAGGTTTACGGGTACATTTCTTACTTACAAAAGGTGTGCCAGTGAGTAGGCACTGGGTACTGGGTACTGGGTACTGGGCACGTCTTTTTTTGATATCCGGATCTACTCTGTTAGTACTGGTACTTGGGGGTATTTTGTTTCATGGGATACCGGTAGGTGATAAAGCATGTCTGAGAGTTATGGTGCATGTTTGTTTGTATGTATGTATGTATGTATGTATCCGTGGTTTTGATCTGGGAATGTTGATATCGTGGATTTTATATTATTTACTCTACTCTACTTTACCCGGGTCATATATTCATTTTTCATCTTGCGATGGTTTGGGATGGATGGTTTGTACGGAGTGGGGTGTACTCGGTGTGAGTTTGCGAGGGGAGGGGAGTGGGTAGGTAGGTAGTGTTGGATGGTTTGTATGGCTTGGATGGATTTGTGTGGGGGGAAGAGGGTAGGGTGGACGGTTGTTTGTTAGATCGGCTTATATACTAGGGAAGGGTATACTGGAATATCGTGATAGTTGTCTCTGTTGCGAGATGAGAGTTTGCTTATTTATTCCTTCATTTCTGTCTTGGGTGTACTTGTCGTTATTGTTGTTGTCGTTGGATTCAAGAGTAGTTGTCTGGGGTTTTGGTACGCTGTTGATGTATATATAAGTGTATCATCATTGGGGTCTGATTATTATATATTATTGCTTGATTGTTTCAGAATTTTCCCTCTAATTATTGTTCATTTATAACATAAACCCCTACTTTTCACAGGTGACAGATTGAGAGTACATTTTACTTCTCTGCAGATCATCGAGATATTATATTTCACACCCTTTTATTTTATGAGAAGAGCAAGGCGAGAGATATAGTGAGATACGCACGAGGAGGAATGGTATGAGGGTAAGCAGTTGATTTCTGCAATGCTGAATTACATCGTCGCAACGGCGAAGCGAGGAGCGGCAGGAATCGAAACAAATATGAATAGTTTATGTTATGTAAGTGCGCTTAGTTTGGGCTTTAACAGGTAGAGGGAAGGAAGGAAGGGAAGATACTAAAGAAACCAGGAGCTAGGAATTCATTTTGTTAAATGTATGGGTGGTGAGCTGGGATAGTTGGGAATCGGGATGATTGGGGCGAGAATCTATACTTGTAGATGAGAGTGAGGGTGTTTAAAGGCTATATGGTACTGAAACATCTTTAAGCGAGTATTCATGAGATATTCATGAGATAGTTCTCTCTCTCTCGCTATTGAAATTCGTAAGCCTGAGAGAAGTTTTGATGCTCCTTTAAAGGTGGAAATGGTGCAGGTATGGGTTTTTTCAGAGATGCAGTGCCAGTGGGACGATGCTGGTGTAGAAAAAGTCTAGTTTTGATATGCAAAATGCAAAAACTTGAATCGCATGAACGTAGCAAAGTGCCAAAGTAATGCACCGTCTGATCAAAGTTTTTGGACATTAGATTAGCTGGGTATTTTCAAAAGATCAACTCGGCGCGTCTCAAGTCATTAGTCGATGATGTCAAAGCAGAGGAAATATTAAGATCATGGAAAACTTCTCTGAATTTTGAGCTGAGTAGAAAGTTGGTGTGTTTTTGGGAATTTCTGTTTCTCAAGTTTGCTATCATTAGATGTGTTATGTCGTAAAGTTTATCTGTTCAATCTCAAAGACTATCGGATATCTTAGGTGTGGTTTTTATTGGACGAGATGCCAAGTGCATGAGAGTGTGACTTGAAGGTGGCATGATCAACTATACAATGGGGAGCCATTTGAAAAGATCCATTGACTCTAGTTCCAAGTTAGTAGATACTATACATCATTATTCACTTGTTTATCTTCAAATTACATAAGCTAGAACATGCTATCGTGCTATTACAATTCTTTAAAGTTGAATGGAAAATAGCTATGTTCAAGTTTCTTGATTATTAAGACGGGATACTTATCACCATCTCTCTATCTAGGAATATAATGGTAGGTGCGAAAGTAAGTCATTTGGGAGAAAGTGAGAAGAACAGCTGGGGATATAGTATCGACTGTGTCGACTGTGTCGAGTGAGGTGGATTTTGAGCGGTTATGGTGTCGGATAAGAGTCTTTCAGCAAAGTATGGTCAATTATTTTCTGCAACAGTAGCTTTATACTTCTGTAAGTTCTGATACATTGGAGTTTTAGATGAGTAGTATTCATGATGTAGCGATAGTTGACTTTAGGCCCCCTCTTAGACGAGAGTTCCGTTTCTGGTAGAATATCTTCTATTATGTACTCAGTATTGTGAGAGTAGACTTCAAGGAGGCTAATAGCCGAGAGCTTAATTATCAAATATTATACATCCCGACAGTAGAATCTGATTGATATTGGAAATGAACTGTTGGAATAGTATCCTGTGATTATATGTTGACACGGCAGGCTTTAGTAGTAACCATTAGATGGAGTCCTCGGAACAATAAAGTTTATTGTGTAGCGAGATAGTAATTTTTAGTGATCATTAGACAAGGATTCCTGGGATTGAGTTGCCTATTGTATGCTACAATGGTAGAATCTAAAAAATTTACATTGAGAGAGATCAATGTAATATAGCTCCTTTTACACTGTAGTGTTAGACTTTGTTGATTGTTTGATTCGAGCTTCCAGGATAATTTAGTCTCTTGTATAGTATGATAGTAGACTTTGAGTAGTGTTAGAAGGGATGAAATAGTGCAGTCAGGTTTATTATCTGATGATGAAAAGAAAATTGAATAGCTTCTGTCTGTGGTTATTTATCTAATAGTATTCTAATAGTAGAAATGAGGTGATATTTTGAAACTCATTAGGATATGTAGTTCGTTGTTGTACAGTTCATTGTGTAAGAACCTATTCGACAAATCAACTCAAATCTAATGAGAGACTGTTGTACAGTTACGTTGTTCACTTCAATAGAACTCTTTAGCAGCTGTCAAAAGAAACTTCAAAGCATAATATGGTTCATTGTGTGGGATTTTTGAGGACAATTCAAGTTGTATTATGTTAGATATACGATCATGAATGAAAAGCTCCTGATCTGAAGCAACAAGAAGTAAAAACAATTTTGGGAAGAGATTAGATGATAACACAATATGTCTCTTTCGGTTTAGGCTTTTGATCAGTCCTTAAAACAAGATGGGATGACACTCTTCCATTAGACTCTCGAGCCGAGTTCCAATCGACGCTAGGCAGGACATTTTTTTCTCTCAAACTCGCGTAATTATTATATCTCTTTCTCGTCGACTCATCGTCGCAACCTCGTTGTCCTCGATCTTACAACTCACAAAAATATGGCTTCAAATGGCGCCCCTCGTCCGAGACACAAAAAGAAGCTCTCCTTCTCCACTGCCAACATTGGAGCCTCACCATCACAAGGCTTTGAAGCAGCCTCGCTGTCTTCTCCTTCGCAATTGGTTCTTGGGTACTCGGCTGGGAAATTGGTTCGTACACCACCAGTCAATTTATCTTCAAAAATTGAAGATCGGGAATCTCCGAGTTCACCGACTCCTCGATCTAGACTTCCGTCGCGTGCACAGCCGCGAGCAAGAGTGAATCATCCAAACCGCGCACTTGGAGATACACTTCTTTTATCTCCATTTGCAAATCTACCACCACCATTTGCGATTGTTAAATCACCTCCTCGCAATCTACCAAATTCAGCAACGATGGTAGCTGGTGAGGTACCAGCAGCCGCACAGGCGGCTAATCCACCTGCTGACGACTGGAGAATGTTCGAAGCCAATTTGCTGAGCGAGGCTCACAATTTACCATCAAGAAACCCGACCGCGGCCACTGCGGCACAACCAATCTCGACTTCGAACTCAAACGAAGTTAACTTCGACGAGTTCCTCAACTTACCTGACGACGAAAGCGACGAGGAGAAGGAGGAGATACCACCTGCACAAGGTCCAGCAATGCGTGCGCTCGAGCCGTTGCTTACAACCGAATCTGAATTTCCTGCAAATACTGGTGCAAATAAAGAGCAGTGGAAAGCGGCTGTTCGAGCCAACGCTCTTAGCCCTAACCCGTTTAATCTAAGTATGCCAGATCGAGCACATCGTCGCAGTACAAGTCAAGGAAATCAGGTATCTACGACGAACACTGGTGAAAACCCAGTTTTTGGACCTTCTTTGGCGGAGAACATGGGTCCAAATTTTGATGTTGATTTTGCTGAGATGATGTCAACTTTGGAGAACTCCAGACCTGGCGATCTTACCTCTACGGCGAACACAGGTACTCACCAATCTGCATCTGCTCAATATTCTTCGATGGGCACAGGAATGGGACAAGATTTCGGAGATATGGCTAGTAATGAATTCCAGATGGGCTCTAGCTTTCCAACATCGATGCCACCTACGGATTATATTATGGCACAGGAAAATATTATGAATACTGGCAATCATGCTAGTGAAGCAATATCAACAAGTCAAGCCAACATGACTGACGCTTCTCTCGGATCTGTCTTTCCAAGTTTCACGCCTATGTCTCAATCTATGGATCAAGGAAATATTGTGAACAACGCTGGATACGGTAATAACTACGGCAGTGGCCCTCAAAATAACGATTCATCGTCTACGGCAGCTCTCAGCTTCTTACCTAATCTTCCCTGGCAATCTGCTCTCGTAAACAATCAACTAAACCCGACAGCAAACATGGCTGAATCCTCAAGTCAAGCAACTCCAGCAACCCTAGCAGCAGATATGGGTAGGTCCTCAAGTCAAGCCGCTCCAATAGCAAACATGGTTGGATCCTCAAATCAAGTACCCTCGACCACCGCTGATGTTTATTCAAATGTTGGGCAATCATTCATGGGAGGTACTTGTGGAAATCTGGTTAGTGCACCTGGTGGATTCAACATGTCATTTGTGCCAAAGAGTCAGAGTCAAATGATCGCCGATGCTTTTGCTTCCGTACTTGGACCAGATGCACAAACATCACAAACGTCACAAACGCCTTCTCTTTCTGGACAATCGCATACCATTTATACGCCATTAAATGTACATAATAACGGTGGTGCTCCAGTCTATGGACACACTCCAAATAATTCATTGGGATCGTATTTCGGACGTATGAGCTCGCAAGCACCAAGTTCGACCAATATTCCCGTTCAATCGATGATCAACTTGACAAGATCTGCTACTCCTAACCAGTCAGCCATCAATCTTGCCAAATCAACCTCGCCTGTCGTAACAAATACTACTGTTGAACAAGCCAGATCAACCTCATCAGCATTGTCAGTTCCTGGTGCTCCAGATACTTCTCTTGTCGCCGTATCTCCTAACCCTTTACACCCTGCAAGCTTTCATCAAGATACTCCTCGTGCAGATACTCCTCTTATAACCGTATCTCCCAACCCTCTGCACCCGGCAAGCTTTCATCAGCCTACGCCTCGCGCAGTATGGCCAACTTCGCGTCGTCCAATTCCCCCCAACCCTGCGTTTTCCGGAAATACTCCAGGCTACTTTCAACCAGGTCAGAATCTCAACCCTCAAGGCAACATGAATACGAATATGCATATGCAATTCCCCGGTTCTTTGCAATCTACTCAACAACATCAGTACAACACGTACGTAAGAGCACAACAAAACATGCAAATGTCGCTCCAGTCACCTCGTACTATGCAACCGCTGCAACCGCTGTCGCGGGAATATATGGCAGCTTACGCAGCAGCTCGAGTAGCACACAACGAAGCAATTAAACGCGCAATGATGGCAGACCTTCGCTTCGCTCGTACGCCACCACGCTCACCCTCGGGTACTCGCTCAAACAACATAATTCGCCAGCGCATCCAGCTACTCGAAGATCACCAACCTCTTACTCAGGAATCTGTCGAAGATTTGCGTCGTTTCCAACTCGTTGATAGGATTCAAACTTCGCTTCGAGGATATAATCTCAATGGTCCTATGCCTCTGAATGGAAGAGCTCGTTCTCCACCTAAGGATTTCCTTGCTATGGATCCTCGCGAGTTAAAGGTTAATGGTGAAGGAGCAAAGAAAAAATGGGCTATTAATCTTTTGACCGTTGTCGAGACCTTTGAATGCGACTTCTGTTCGCCAGAGAAGCCAAATTTATATGGTATTGGCCCATATAACCAGAGTTTTGTTGAGATCTGGGGTCCAGCTGGTCATGATTGGTGTAGCAAATGTCAAGAACTTGGAAAGCATGTCGCACCTGTTGCTGTTCCCGAGAAGATAAACCCAGCTTCCTCGCGATCAAAGAAAGATGAGAAAGCAAAGGGTAAAGCAAAGAGAGTAGCCAAAGAGTCAGCTGGCCCAGGTCCATCGCCAAAGAAGCCCACTCAATCTTCATCCAGCAGCTCTTCGGTGAACGCCTCCGGTTCCTCAACTCCCTACGATCGCTACGCACCCATGTCTGAAGAATCCAACGTATTCGGCGACCCTCAGGAAATATTCTCGACGATTGACAATATCTTGATCAATCCTTTCATGCATAATCTCATGTGTCGTGGTTCCGACCATCGACAGATTGACATGACCAAAGCGAAGATCTGCGAACGTTGCAAGGCTAGAAAGTTGGAGATCATCACTCATGGATGCCATACCGAATTTTCTCATATCATTGCATTGGGTGATGATGGGTGGCAGTACGGTCATGGTAGAGGACTCCCGGGACCTAGTCAGGTTGATGGTTCTAATGACATGAATACTGATATGAATGCTGCTGGCTTCAAGTTTGATGTAAATGCGGACTTGAATGATGGGAGTATGACTTTGGCTGACATCAATGATGCTGTAAATGCGGGTATGAGCGCGGGTGGTATGAATTCTGGCATGAACTCTGATATGAACGCCGATACGGAGTTTGCTATGTTTGGCAATATGGACGCCAGTGGCATGAATCTAGATTTCGATATCAATTTCGATCTACCAGGCTCCAACACACCCAGCAAAGCACCCACTACCACCCAAAATCCCCAACACGCTCACAATCATCACATCCACATGAACGGAAGACCCCACGGTCCCATCTCCAAATTCTGCATGGTCTGCCCCGCTCCATCCATTTTCCTCTGCGATGGCTGTCCATTAACCCTGTGCGAAAGCTGCAGATACCGTCTCAGAGATCTGTGTAAAGGCTGGTTCAATAATCTGATTTACACAAATGGGATTAATCATAATCGAAATGATGCGTTCTTGCTTCGTTCGGATAATGGCGGTTATCATGAGCATGGCAAATTCTGGCCCGTTCCTCCTCATGTCAATCTTTAGGGAGAAAATATCGATGTGCGGTTTTGCTTTGCCGATGCTCAGAATGGTTGGTTGAAATCTCGCAACGGTTTCGAGTTTTTCAGGAGCTTTGGATGGCCAATACATTCGGATAGGATCTATCAATGTCAATGAATGAGGATTTCTTTTCTTCTTGCGATTGAAGGCTACTGCTTGCTTCCTTAGCATTCGCTTTCGACTTCGCCAAGACTTTCACTTTGGACGTCCGACAAAATCAGGATATAATCTTCGGCATTCAATCAAAGAGAACCCTTTTCTTCTTGCACTTGATTGCTCCTGCTTACTTCTCTGAAATCTCGCTTTCTCGCAGTTTTCTTCGCCAACGCATCAACAGCATACGCTTTTCAACCCCATTCTTTTGCTTGCTTTTCTTTCTTTCTTTGCATATTTTCCTCTTTACGAGAACACGAATGGAGTTTTTTGAAGGATACGAGCAAGCAATATTTGAAAATTGGAGTTCGGAAGATGAGAGATACCATGGGAATGAATGACGAATGAAACGAAGCATTATGAGCAAGACTTCTTTTTCGATATGATAAAGGAAATGGAGATGAAGCTTCTTTCTTTTTTCTTCTTTCCTTCTTCTTCACTTTTTCACTATTACATATCAAGTGTAACCGCTAGGGTACTCCAAGTAGTAGATAGATAATCGTGAATAAACTATTTTCTTTAATTGCGTTACTGTATAGATTGAAAGATAGTGAAGCCACTGGGTATATGTATGTTAAGAAAAAAAACCAAATACAAGAAATCACCACTACACTACGAGCAAATAGCATTCGGGGTCCCATCCGCCAAATTTGGGAAAACCCCATAATCCACCAACTTTAACGCATCCCACTCATGCGCACTCTCCGTCTTGAAATTCCAGAAAACCCATCCATTCGCCTTGGTTTCAAAGCTTGCCAATTGAGCACTGAGATAATTCTTCATATCGCTCTTGAAGCCATCGCTCCAAGTAGTGATATCCGATTTCCCATCGCAAGAACCCACGTATGAGGAATTAGGATACGTGCCATCGTAGCGGGAACCGACGTCGATTCCGTTGAGCGCCCAGGCACAATCTGTCATGGCGGCTGTAAATTCGCCAACCACGACCCATTTATCCGAGCCGGTGTAGGCGTGTGCGTTGGTGCAGACGTATTCGACATGCTCGGCGGCTGTCATGGCGACGAGAGTGTCGCTAAATAATTGGTATTCATGATGGTCGACGACGACTAGGGACTATTAGTATGTTTGAGCTTTTTAAGTAGGAATGAGTAGGACAAACCTCCATAAGCATGATTGTCATCTGTTGCCAAAATATTATTCCAATTGCTCGGCGCCAAAAATGCATCATGAATCACAACAATACTATCTGAGACTGCACGAACTTGTCCATATCCATCTCTATAGAACTGTTCCAATTTATCGAAATCCAAATTCCAGTTCGCTGGTTCATTGAGTAGCTCGATACCAACCACTACATCTTGATATTTCTTCTGTGCATATTTCTTCGTTATGGTGTTCAAGACAGAAAGTGTTTGTGCAACAGAGTCGCCTTGTTGCCACCCTGGTGAAGAAGTTTTATGTCCTGAATTATCGAATCCGTTTTGAGATAGGGGGGCACCGTGCAGGTCAATCCAAATTTTGAGACCGGCGCCACGTGCCCAGTCGATCGCAGCATCGATATATGGAGCTTGCCCTTGGGTATATGGTTCATTATCATAGAGTGCATATGCCCAGTACCCAATGGGAATTCGTACTGTGTTGAAACCAGAGTCGGCAATTTTTTGAAAGTCGGTGGCGTTGCACCATGTATCCCACTAGCATGATGTAAGAGCTGTGATCCAGAACAACCAGAGGAGAATAACAAGGGGAGAACTTACATGAGGCTGAAGAATTGCTAAAGCTGCTTCTGTGCCCAGCTTCTCTGTCATGGTGTATCTAGAGGGTCATGTGGTTAGCATTATTTCTGTCAAGCTCATTGAATAAGGTCGAGTGATGTTTGAATATCAACGGATCAGTTAGAAGAGGAGTGTATGCTTACTCATCGACTATGCCTAGGGATTGATCAAGTGATTGGAATATCGATGCTATTCACAATGTCAAAAATCATTCAAAAACATAGACTTTAACAGGAGCTGCTCACGTGTGATCCATGGTTCAAGTACAAGCCAGCCACCAATACTCACTCCCCTGACAGGTGTCGACCCGTATGCAAAGTCAACTCCCCTTTGATAGCTGCGACGATGTCAGTAAGGAATGGCAGAAGCTCAAGTACAAGGGCTTACATTGGTTTCGCAGCCACTAAAGTAGCCCCGAGGAGGGTAGCAACAGTATTTTTAAAGAACATTATGTATAGATTAATTATTTGATGTTCATCTAGGAATGTAATGAGAGTATCCAAGATCAGAGAAGGAAGGACGATGGATGATATAAGTAGGGCAGAAAATTACTTTTCAATAGTAAAAGAAACGATATTGCAATGAATCAGATGAACTTATTCACGATCCCCGCAGATAAACACTTGATTACTGAATTAGGGGTAGCGCACAAGAAATACCGAAGCTCATGACGGATCTGTAATTCAGGAAAAGAAAAGGGAAGTGAAAATCATCCCTTTAATGATCTTAGATCAATGCATATAAGAGAATCGTGACCATAATGCCATAATGTCATAATGTCATAGGTAGTGCTGATCCATATAGGCCCCATACGCCGTTTGCTATATTGGTCGCTCGACCACTTAAAACAACGATGCCGGATGAATAAGTTACCCAGACGAAAAGGGTGGTGGCCAAGATCCAGCATCTTGCATGAGGCCTTTGTGAATAGGAACTCAAAATTCTCCGATCAAGGAAAACTGTGGTTGTGGAGTTGGGGGGAGATCGGCAATTCCGGTAGGGGTAAATGGGTGGTTATTAGTGGTGATTATACCCTACAAGGATGATTGTGCCACTGAGAAAGGGGTCACGATTCCACGGATCTCTCTTACTACTTGAGTATCCGTGTCATGACAACTCACTAACTACATAATTGCCGGCGGTGAATTTACCGTTGTATATGTATGACATGTACAACAAGTGCCTACGAACTTTGGAAGCCGAGGGTAGAAGTTGATGGGTGGTGCGGGGGAACCCTGCATTTGTAGTTTTGTGGTTGTCACCAAAATGCAAAGCAGATTTTCAAGTGGCTGAGGACTTCCCGAGAAATAGGTATTCATGATCCGATGCAACCCCTCCACAGGTTGCACACCCTCTTCCTTATCGATTCTCTAATTTTGCAAATTTGAGCTCTACCAAAGCTTGAATTGGGGTCAATTCTGGGCTTCTAAGAATTGGAAAAGGTATTTGTAATGATGGAAATGGTGGGGGCTGTCAATGGTGCGACAAATGGATTCAAGCCAGTGCTGTAAATACCATGTAAGCTTTAACAGAAACGGAGGCAGGCTTCAGGCATCAGGAAACTCTGATTCTGGATTGTTCGATAAAAAAAAAATCATATTAGACGTCAATTAGTTTCCAGGACTCACCTTGAGAGATAAGTATTGGTTCAGGATTTATTGCCACCAATTGTGAACGCGAGGTCCCAGCACCTCAAACTTCTTAAAGCATTCCCTTCCGCCTTGTTGGAATATATACTGCAGTGATTGTGCAGATAACAAACTTTTGGTTCCAACACCGCCGTCCTCAAATATCATTCTTGTTTTCACTTTTACGGAAGAATTCAATCCAACGCAACAAAATAGGGGACAAAGGGGGCTATCCTAAGCTTTGGTCTCCAAAAATTCACGCGCTTCGCCCCCTTGATAATCTACCCAACACCCCCTCGCTAAAACACTTGAGCATATTGCGAATAATTTTAACATGAGAGAACAATGGTAATGAGTACATCGTATGATTTAGTGTATGTATTCTTAGATTAGCCTCACTTTGTAGTATTCTTTTCCACCACCCCTCTCGCAAATTCCCCAAAAGTAATGCCCATCTCCGAATCAACAATCTCGTCCAGGTTAGGTTGAGTAAAGACGGCGATTGTATTCCTCGCAATTCTTCCTCCTTCATTATCGCCATCCGCAATTCCTGGTCGTACACCTCTCACATAGTGCGGAACTGCCTTGAATTTTCCCTTGGTGATCCTTTCGAGAGCTTCCCCGGTTTGGAAGGCAATACAATCTCTGGGAATTTTAACCTGAACTGTTTCACCACTTCGAGATTTGATGTAGAGTCCTGCAGTTGGGTCTGGGGAAGTAGGAAGTTCCTTGAGAAGACTGAGAGTTGTCGGACGATATGAGTAGGACACTGGAATCACTGGTGGATTACGAGTCTCGTTGATGAACATAGCCGACGTGAGGCCAGTCAGACAGCCATGGTCTACATGTGTTGCGCACCAGTCATCGTCAAGGTTTTCAGAAAATTCCTTGGCTTCTGCTGGAAAATAATGTAGTAATCGTGCTTTAGTTGTGGTTGAAGTTTTCACAACATGCTCAAGGTATCCAGGTTTATAGTCAGGAACCTCCTTCTCCCCGTATCGGTCACAAGCTCGAGCGACAAGTACTCCGGTGTCAATAATAATGCGACACAACCTCTCAAAGGTACTTTTGAACCCGGGCAATACGGTTTCTGTTGGCCATAGATTTGGGCTCAGGTATTCGGGAAAGTTTTCGGGTGAAAATTCCGAGGTAGGTATCGCGCACGAAAGAGACGGGTCGACATAAAAGGCACAATTCGCATAGTATGATCCCTTGAGCGTGTCCACTTGCCCGTTTTTGAGAGTTTCTTTGCCACGAGACCAACCGGTAAGATATTTTGCAGCCGCGTTTTCGAGTTGCTCTACTAGATATTAGACCATATCGATTGGTTGCCTTCGAGAGTACGATACTAACCGAGTTTGGCATCTGACAAGTTTCCGAGATAAGATGAATATGAGAGTAGACTATGCCTCAACTCTACGAATGGCTCAGGGATATCTTTGACCAGTATAATACCTAAAGACTCAGGACCAAAGGCTTCCTCAAGTGTTGAGAACGAAACATGGCCTAAATCATCAAATCAGCTATAGGATGGGTCTACTTCATTGCAACGTTGAGACATACCATTCTGTAAATCCTTTAGACTCACAGTTACTGGAGAAGGTGTCATATTTAGTATAGGGATTAGAAATTTAACTTGAAGGTATCCAGAAAATCGAAGACACTATCCTTTCAGCGAGTGTGCTTTAGTTTATATAATTCAACATCATGTCGGGTCATGTTAATAATATCTTGCCGATAATTAACCGAACTCGGCAGCGCCCGAATATCGCGAACCTCCGTCATCTCTGCTTGTTTACAACTATAAGCAGCAACTTGTTTATAGATAATTGTCAACTCCACTACAATCATCATGGTCAAGCCATTGTCTTTCAAAGGTGATAAGAAAACGAAGAAAAGAAAGCGCGTTGATACAGCCGAGAAGTTTGGAGATTCCGAAGCGTCAACCTCAACCTCCCAAGCAATCGCAAAGTCCCAGGAAGAAGACATCGCGCCAGATGATGATAGTTGGGTAACAGCAGAAACTGCAGGTGATGTTGTTGGGCCGGTGGTATTTGTTCTACCGTCAGATCCACCATCATGTATAGCCTGCGATACCATTGGAAAGGTATTTGCAAGTGGACTGGAGAATTTGATTGAGAACAATCCTACAACTGCAGAACCTCACGATGTAAGACAAGTATGGGTTGCCAACAAAGTAGCAGGTACAGAGACTTATAGCTTTAAAGGTCATCACGGGAAGTAAGTGTATTGATTCGTCTGCTGTGGTATCGCGATGCTAACCAGTCTGTCTATCTTAGGTATTTGAGTTGCGACAAATTTGGAATTCTATCTGCGAATACCGAGGCTGTGTCGCCCTTGGAATCGTTCCTCGCCATACCAACTGCCGATACTCCTGGCACATTTCAGATACAGACTTTGCGAGACACATTTTTGACGATGAAGCCAATTGCATCAGCAAAAGAAAATGCTTTACCAGAGATCCGGGGTGATGCTGAATCAATCAATTTCAATACCACCATACGAATCAGATTGCAAGCAAGATTCAAACCGAAACTGAAGGCATCTAAAGAGGAAAAGGCCATTCAGAAAATAAGCAGGAAAGAGTTAGAAGATGCCGTTGGTCGAAGACTGGATGACGATGAAGTACGGAAACTTAAGAGAGCAAGAAGAGAAGGCGATTATCACGAGGCATTACTTCTAATCAAGGTAAAGAATAAACATGATAAGTACAGCTAAGAAATGATCAAGAACTAGAGCATTCAATAGGAGTCCGTGGAGGAAATCACGAAGGGAGATATGATGACTGACAACCTCCGATACTCCTGATTTGACCAATTGAGATGGTACGGAAGTTGGACCACTTTAGCCAGAAAGTCTATCATGAATCTGGAGGTTCCAGCAGTACAATGACTGCAGCAATATGCGTAGAGATCGATGATTGGGAAATATCGACCAGTCCATCAAAATACAATAGATCATGTGATACCAGTAAATTAACATCAACATTTTTCCCTATGACTGTAAGAATATAGAGTTGCATTTCCAGAACTGAGAGCTGTTTACTATAGCCCATTGACTTTAGATTGAAAAATCCTACTTATACGATTTGAACCTATTCGCAGGCGTGGGCTTGAAAAGTCTTCCTGAAAACTTTTCTCTCCAAAACCACAACCAAAACATCACATTGAAACGTACTTCAAAATGTACAGATTTTTCGCCTCGGATATCTTCGAAGCCCAGGGTTCAAAGCCAGCATATATCTATGATATCGTGTCTGTTGCAGCTGGGCTTGCATCGATTTCATCGGATGATTGTCTGCGGTTGCTAGACCCAACTGCTTTGAATGGACAGCCACTGAATACCATCAAAAAAGTCAACTCTGATGTTACGTGTTTGAAGACTATTGGAAACAGTGACAGTTCTATTGTGGTTACGGCTGGAAGGGATGGAAAAGTGTGTTTGATTGACCCGAGGACTGGTGGAAAGGTTGGGGAGGTTAAGAGTGGTAAGAATACTTTGCCGGCACCTTCTCCTTCGCTTGTACGGGGAAATAGAATCCTTTTCACACCTCGAGTGAGGATATATGGTTTGAATTTGGATAAGATGGGAATCATGAACACATATATACCTACACGACCTTTGGATGGCCATACTGTTTTCAAACGTCCAACATTCATGAAAAAGAATCTAACATATAAATAGATCAAGGCGCTCCAATCCTGTCCTTAGCATGCTCAAATACAAACGGCATTGCTGCTGGAACAGAGTTGACAAACCACGAAGCAGCTATTTCAATTTGGTAGATATCTTCCACTGTTATCACTCAAATCTTTCGCCAGACTAATGCAAGCAGGGACGCAAGATCTTTAGCTACTCCAGCCGTACAATACGTGGAAAGTCACAGTGATGATGTCACAGAGGTAGGTTGCTTTCAAGTTGTCGTTGTGAATATACTGGCTAATTCTTCTCTCAGCTACAATTTCATCCAACTCAGCAATCACTTTTGTTGTCTGGTTCTACGGATGGCCTCGTCAATATTTACAATATCACGATATCAGACGAGGAAGAAGCCCTCCATCAGACAATCAATCATGGTCACTCTATAAATCACGCCAACTTTCTTAGTGATACGGATATCTTCGCTCTTTCGCATGATGAGCAGTTTTCTATGTATGAGCTAGTCACGAATCCAGAAGAAGGGGTTGAAGAGCCAGCTCCAGTGGTATATGGTGATATGAGGGAGAACCTGGGAGGGGAGTATGTAACAAACGTTCTGTGCAGACCCGATGGAGGAGCTGTGTTGGGCATTGGAAGTCATAGTAAGAATGACTTTGATCTGGTACAATTGAAGAAGGGAAAGCCTTGGGTATTTGCCCCTGAGACAAAGGTTACACTTTCTGGGGCTCATGGATCGGAAATAGTCAGATCATTTTGCTTTCTTGATTCGGTATGTTCTTTCTCTATAAACTTCAGAGCACATATGAACAAACTGACAACTTTTAATGTGTAGCACAGAGCAGTATTGACAGCTGGTGAAGATGGAAAAATCAAATCATGGAGAGGTGACGATTGATGATTCCGGGAAAGTAGCGATATCAAGATATCAAACGGTTATTTATTTAGCAAGAATGCATCAAGAATTATTAGACATCCATCTGTACTTTATATTATGCATTGAGGTGAATGAATAATATATGAATAACTTTTCGTGATTTATTAGTTGAAACTCTGGGATAATCGACAAATATGGTTTTCCGAGCTCGGCTTCCTGTCGCGTGCTGATTGCCGAAGATGACAGCTTTGAGATAGCAAACCTACATTCATTAGGTTACAAAGCCCCGCCAATCTCACAATCAACCTTCTTCTTCCTGAATATTGTTGAAAACCATGGAATTATGACCTAATTTTCTCTTGCTACTTCAAAATCGAAGTAAGAAATTTCACGCAGGCGTTCTGACAAGATGAGGAGCCTGAGCCAGCGGTCTATACTGCCGCTATTTATTCGTAAGGTTTCGAACAATTCATTGAGAGCTCAAGAGTTGCTGATTTAGTGTTATCATAGTTTTTTGGCAGTTTATATTTCCAATAAGTTATGCGCAGGTACACGAAGAACTAGGAACATCTCTCACGGCCGAGGGAAGTCCAAAGCCATCTATCCAAGCTCAACCATCTGCAGCTCAAGAATCACACCGAGCGCCACCAATAAGGAATACAGCTGGTGAGGACTAAGTTTGCGGAACTTGGTTTCGATATCTGCTAATGAATTACAAGAACATGAGCTAGTTGATCAAGCCATACATTTCCTCCAACGTTACGAACGATCGAATCCACGCTCTTCCTCCAACCCTTCAGGAATTGTCAAAACGGTGACACAGTATGTTGTTGCAAGTCTCCCAAGATTGGTCCAGGGGCCGCCATCCGATGGAGAGAGTACATCACACCAGCAGGCTCCAGGCCTCGTTGCAGAAGCAGTACAAATCTTGGAGCAAGCAGCTCATGTCAACAACTCCGATGCTATCTATCTTCTAGCGCAAATGAACTTTTACGGAAATTACTCATATCCTAAGGATTACAGCGAGGCATTCAGGAGATATCATCAATTGGCATCATTAGATGGAAACAGCTCGGCACAGTACATGATCGGATTTATGTATGCGACGGGAATTGGAGGCGCTGTTGAGCAGGACCAAGCAAAATCTTTGCTATATCATACATTCGCCGCCGAGGCGGGAAGCACCAGATCTGCGATGACTTTAGCTTTCCGGCATCATAGTGGAATTGGTTTGTCAAGAAATTGCGACACGGGCATTAAATATTACAAGAAAGTGGCGGATAAAGCGATTGAGTGGCATCGATCCGGACCGCCAGGAGGTATGGCATATGTCCAGGACTCATTCCAACTTGCAGAGAATGATGGCGGAGTTTATGGTGAAGGGGCAAGTTTCAGTAGCGCCGGAAACAATGCAAATCGTGGAGGGCCAAATTCAGATACCCATGCGGCTTTGGATGATGTTCTGGAGTATCTCGACTTAATGTCTAGGAAAGGTGACTTCAAAGCCACTTTTAGCCTGGGACGCATTCATTACGATGGCCAAAAAGGACTTCCACGAAACCTAAAGAGTGCGAAATGGTATTTCACGAAGGTAGCCAAGCTTTATTGGACGAGAAATGGAAAAATAATCGAAAATGATAAACCGCAACTAGACAAGATTGCTGCCAAATCTGCAGGATATCTGGGTCGGATGTATCTAAGAGGGGAGAGTGTGGATCAGAGCTATGAAAAGGCCCAGACTTGGTTCGAACGCGGCATCAAAAATGGTGACTCTGGTTCTCAATATGGGATGGGTTTAATGTACCTTCATGGTTTAGGAGTGCCCAAAAATTCCGTATTAGCACAACAGTACTTCAAGGCTTCTGCCGACCAGGATTATGCGCCTGCTCAAGTCAACCTGGGAGCTATGTATCTGGACCAAGGTACTGACAACGACATCAAGGTTGCTAATCGATATTTTGAACTCGCTGCACGATATGGTAACATCGAAGCTTACTATTATCTCGCCGAACTCATCGATCAAGGAGTTGGCCGCGACCGAAGCTGCTCACTGGCAACTGCATACTACAAGAACGTTGCAGAGAAGGCAGAACCTCTTCTGACGTCCTTCGCCGAAGCGAATAACGCATATGAGCAAGGCAATGCCGAATTGGCTTTGGTTGGTTATATGCATGCGGCAGAACAAGGATATGAAAAAGCACAATCAAATGTTGCATATATCCTAGATGAACAAAAGTCGAAATTAGCAATTCCTTCTTGGCTTACTCTCGTATCCTCGTCACGACCTAAGTTATTACAAAATGCGGCACTTGCACTGCTCTATTGGACCCGAGCGGCCAAGCAAGCAAATATAGACGCTTTAGTCAAGATGGGTGATTATTATCTCAATGGTATTGGTACAAAACCAGATTTGGAGAAGGCTGCAGCTTGTTATACAGCCGCATCCGAGTTTCCTCAAAGTGCCCAAGCTTTATACAACCTGGGCTGGATGCATGAAAACGGTGTTGGTCTCGATCAGGATTTTCACCTTGCGAAGAGATATTATGATCACGCTTTGGAGACAAATGAAGAAGCATATCTACCTGTAACCCTCAGTTTGTTGAAGCTACGTATCAGAAGTGCATGGAATTCTTTCACACATGGCAAGGTCAATTCCATTATCGATGAACCAGGTAAATTATTCGAAACTCAACGAGAGAAGATCAAACTGCTAACATGTCACTAGCTCCTCGAAAGCAATGGTCACTAGGGGAATGGATCAGTAATTTCCTCCAAGATGACCATCCATACTACGCCGATTACGACGCAGATGATGCTTACGGTTCCGTTCACGATCCTATGCCAGGCGGTGATACAGATGGACTCTATGACGACATCCTGGATGATGGATTAGTAGAAAGTCTTCTTATTATTGGGCTAGCTGCCGCCCTGGTATTCTTGATAGTATATAGGCAACAGAGACAGGAAGCGCACCGAAGAGACGAAGGAGCAGCTGCGAATGCGCAACAAAATGCGCAACCAGCTAATGGAGAGGTTCCAAATAGAGGACTTTTCCCACAGCCAGGGGATGCGAATCTTAATGACTGGGTCGCGGGTGGAGTAGGACATTAAAATATGGGTATTGGGGTTTGCATTGGGTTGTATTTAATTGTGGACGTACAAGTGGTGATGCGTCGAGCGGAAATGAAAAATATGAATATGAATCATGACATGGTGTTTGAGATGTGATGTGGAGTTGAGAAAGAGTCAAATGTGTGGTTGACGTCTCTTCTTTCTTGATGGTCAATATTATTCATTGCAAGCAGAAAAATTCATCAAATTGCCATAATGTTGCCGACACAATCATTATTCCTGATTAGGCCGGGCTTGTGCTGAGCCCTAAAACCATCTTTCTCTGATATCCTCCTATTCTTATCCATGTATTCGCCGTTTCGAAATCGCTATTTTGCTACAGCTTATATGTGCTGGATGGGTCCGTTTTCCTAGCTTTGAGGAGATGGGTTCTAGACTTTGGTTCTACGGGGAGAATTTGTGTGGGATTTATTTTGAGGGGGAGAACTAAGTTCAAGTCTCCACATTGTCTACGCTGCAAGAATTTTCCATGTAAACAGCCGTGTCAAGAGACGGAGTTGTGTACGAAGTTTGAAAGCGCTTGTCTCTGCAAGAAAATGGTTATTCTTGCATTATTGTATATCAGAGATATCGATGATTGGTAAATCATCATCTAATTTCCCTTAAAACCGCCCGTCGGTCGACCATTCTGGTTGCAATGGGGAAACGCCTTTGGTAGTAACCTCGACTTTGATTCGGTCGTATTACTCATATACCATGAAGTCTTTTAGCCATATACTTCGTAACATTCCTTCACCTGGGGTATCTCCCGTAAAGGTATCGTGCCGCGAGATCCCAAACAATAAAACGCCAACCATATTTTTCAACCGTCCGCATATCAGGACCCGTCAACGCCAAACTCAAACTCAAACCCAAACCCAAATACCTTTTCCATTCCCAATTTCCAACCTTACCGCACATACCTCACCCACTCCCATCTACCCACCCAGCCCCTCCGCTGCTCAAACCCACACTCCCCGCTCCAGGTGCCCCCCCCTTCAATCCTTCTTCAACAACAACCCCCAAATCCTCCGCCTCCTCAACCAACATCCGCCTTTCCTCTAATTGTATCCGTATATAATCCACAGTTTTCTTCAAAACCACGCTCTCACTTCTTCCTTGACCTTCCAGCCCCGGAACCAAATCTGCCAATCGATCAAAGCCTTCGCGGATCGCTAAGCGGCGCTTTTGTTCTGTGGACACGAATGATTATTAGCCCTAGTACTTCTTATTACCAAAGCTAATACTATAGTTAATCGAGAGCAAAATCTGTGAAAGTACAAACCAGAAGCGATATGATTAGCCTTCTTCTCATGTTCCGATAGCCGCGGTTTCTCATCGGCTAGATTGGTACCATTCGCGGAATTGGCATTGTTTGACGATTCGCCCGTAGGGGATGCCGACATTTTGGGTTGAGTGATGTGCTTCTGCTAGAGCTTGTGTATCGATCGCTATTATGTGGGGAGTATCAAAAGTGAGTCCGAAGGCATCGTTGATCTGCTCGTTGGGATAATGAGGGGTGATGTGATGTGATGTGCATAAAGCTGTCTGTCACATGGGAAATATCGCAAGGTTGATATTCAGACGGGAGCTTTACCTTTTGGGGATTGGTGCAGATCATTAGCGTCTAACGGGTTCGTTCGCTTGTTCGCGACAATTCCTCATCTCTCATCTTATATAAATTCACCAAAAGCATCATTTGAATAATCGAATGGAGGTTCATCCCGAGTGGGACGCGAAGAATTATACGTTCATACAAGAATATCTAGTTAGGAACACTTGTACCACGCTGAATAGATATTTGGTACGATATTGTGTTGTTAGCCATGCAGCAGGATGATCTTGTCGGTTCCCTACCATCATTGGCCTCGTTTATATTCTGACTGTTACACCACACGTGAGGCCGATATGGCAAGGCTGTTTGTTAGTATGCTAACTGCACATGCTAGATTCCTTGCAAAATAAGGTACCAAATGATTGAGGAAATGAAGTATCTACTACTATTTCTACTTCGGTCTGGACATATCCATGAAAAGCTCATTCTTCATAGGCATCAAGGCAAGCCTCGAAGCTCTATTAGCAGATTCCTCGGACATCAGGTTTTTGTTTGATTAACCTATATTTTTCTGGATGATATCTTGATATGAGAGCTAGGCTGCTTCTTTCTACTAACTCAATTTTTCCAAATCGCAAGATTTAATTCACTCCATCCGATGGGGTAACTAAAAGACCTAATAGTCTCCTGTTGGATGTATTCTTGACAGATACCGCAGGTTGCAGAATGCAAAAGTGTGTTATGCTTGACGAAAAGAAATACGAAGAAAGGTTACTATTGTTGGATAGCTTGCTGAGCTTGCTGCCCCACATGCTGTGATTATTTGGTGCTGCAGATCTCATACTCATAGTAAGGAGTATGTTAAGAATATGGACAATTGGGTGAGGCTTTGCTATAGCAATATTCGTTCCTTGGCCTTCAGCAAATATATGGACCCGGCACAACAATTAGATCTTGTTGTAACATTTTGAAAAGGAAGTACATCCTGGTCCAACCCTCAGATGGATATTTCTTTTCTTATCTCTCGTTTTCTGAGGTATGATGTAAACTGCCCACTCCTGTAACGCATGGGGAATCTGTACTACCTTTATTGATATGCACATATCCGCAAATATCGTTGAGTATTGTAACGGGCTTGGTCGGTAGTCGGCGCACATTTTGTCGAAATACAAGAATGCACGCATTTCAAATGTCAAGCATCCTCTGATAGAAAAGCAATAACTCTGGCATCCAACTCGCCTGCTGCTTTCGTTCCGGCTTACTATGCCGACAAGCAAGGATGTCGCCTTTGCTGTTCTAAGAGATGTAGCTTTATGGCTCCAAGGACCATTACTTTACTATCTCCCAACCTCAAATTTCACTGATCATTATTATCGCAGTGGGTTCCAATATGAAAACAGAACGCATCAAGAATAATAACGACCGACTAATTGAATCTGGGACTTCCGAGCTGCTCCTAGTGTGGATGAACAGGAGGCATTGAACGCAGACTTTCGACAACTTCTGGCATTATCAACAATATGCATGAATGTATAGCAACTCATACTTGGATGTTCTGTGCAAGTGTACCATAGATGGCACCCATACTCTGGTCTAGAAAGCGCCAAATATATGATATATCCATAACGTCGGTCCTTTGGTATGGTAACATCACGTCCGCCGCTGGCAACTTTGACTTACAGTATACTGTATATGGACGGCTCAGAGAATGTTATAGGACAAGTATCTTATCATGAGATGGGACCTAAAATAACTGCTAGAAACGCTAATTTTGCCTTTCGACATATCACATTCCAACAGAGCGAGGTCAAGCTCAATAGTATTTATACTACACATTGCTGATATAATGGCATGGTGGAAAGACTCTCGCGGAGGGAATAAGCCTTGCAAAAATCTTTAAAGGTGCACTTCATTGCATTTCATACGTGGCCCCTTGCCCCAGATTCGCAATAGAAAGAATTAATTACACCGGGATGATTTGGACGCGTATTGTAAATTAATTGCCTAGGTTAGATCAGATGTTAGAAAATGCAGTAAACGATTTTACCATCGTATCGTTACAGTGGTAATCAAGTTTCTCTTTTGATTCTAGTTTTAGTTTATATATATCTTCGTTACTTTTTACTTTGCTTCAGATGAGGGTTAAGTATATATATATACTTTGAATTTCTAACTAAATAAATACTAATTTTTAACATATTTCTGTATAAATCATCTATAGGAAAGACAGCTTGGTTATACATTTATAAACCTCCTGTCTGACTCGCCTAAGTTGAAGGGTATCCTATCTACAGTAGCTCCACAATAGGAATACATACAGTTAATACATTGTATCCTTCCTTCCCTATATTATCAAGACTCAAGAGAGAATTTATTACAAATTCATCATTTTCGCTTTTTATAACATATTTGCGCAGAATGACTTGTGTTGTGGCGGAAACTTTCATTTCGCTCGTCTAATTTCATACTTGTTGTATGTAATCTTATATTCTGAGTACTGTGGTACAGTAATTAGTATATCCTCATCTATACTCGAGTAATCTCTTGTTTAATCTGTCTTGTACATACTCTCTTGTATCTCAACTCTTGTCTGTAAACACATATATAATCCTCACCACTACTACTCGAGTATAACATGACAATTAACAATAACCCAATTCCTAGCAATCTCCCGTTAGCCCTCCCTTCCTCCCAGAACATTCCTCTTCTCTCCTTCGGAGTGCTTCGCTTCATCGAATAGATCTACCGGTAGATAACTCCTCTTTCCATTTAACCCCTCCTTATCTTATTTCAATGGCTTCAACTGTTTTAGCCATTTACTACTTTACTGTCTTTTCCAAAGGCTCTTGTATCTGTATAGTCGTGATTGGCTATACTATGCTATACTATATCATACTGTATCATGCTGTACTATACTATAGTAGCATATAGTAGCATATACTAACTAATAACTAATACCCAATACCTAACTCTATACTCGAGCATTATATAACAATATTCAAATATTCAAATATTCAAGTTATTCAAAATCTGAAATGTATCTTCTACAAAAGAATCCAAAAAAGATAATCCTACCAAGATTCGTTTCGCATCGGTTGTTCCGAGTCCTATATCTATAATCTATCAAAAAATCACATAACAGTCAGATTAGAAAACTATACTCATGCCAATTCAAATTGATTATTACCATCTAATTTTTAGATAGTAGAGTAGAGTCGAGTAGATTCGAGTCAAGTAGGTTAAAGTTGCACTCGAACAAAATTCGTAATATATACTCGTACTTATAAAAGTATAATTGACTCATAATTACTCGTAATCTATCCACTCACAAATACAACCAAACACCCGTACAAATACCCGTAAAAATACATATATATTTTCAATACAATATAAAGCTATGAATGGTACGAGTACCGTAGTCCGTAGTGGGATGAAAATACATATATATAATATGTAGTAGGTAGTATGTATATATATGAGAATGTAATACGAGTACTTAGTTGGACTTTTTCAAGGTTTCAAGGTTTCAAGGTTTTATATGAGTATGCCAAATGCCATATGTGTATCTAGTAGAGTAGTAGGATTTGAGATGGATATGATGTTGTATTTATTGTTGATGACAAGGAGCTTTATTTGTAGTATAGTACTGTACTAGACTAGAGTATTATTGGCTGTACTTATATTTCTCTCGTCTTTGAAATTCGCTTATTTTTCATCCCTCCCCTCTCCCTCTCCCTCTCCCTCTCCCCATCTCTCCCCTCATGTTCCTACAACATACTCGATACCCCCCTCTTCCTCCTCTCCCCCCTCTCACTTCCCCATCTAAACCCCATCTAACTCAACCCCACAACCTGGAAATTGTAATTACACAAGTCCGCCTTACTCACCACATCCATCGGACCCTTCCCACCCACCACAACCAATCCCGCCTTATCCACCACACTCATCGACACCGACCCCGTCGTAATATTCCCCACAACCAATGTATTAAACCCCTCACTCAAAGTCTTCTCCCCCCACACCTTCCCCCCCACACTAATCCTACCCACTAATCCCTCCACACCCTCTGCAACCAACACCACCGCCGTAACACTATCCTCCACCCCCTCTATCCCATCCGGCTTTCCCAATCCCAATTTATCCCCTCCACAATCGCCCCCCTTCAACAGCGTATGATGCCAAAAAGTCCCCTGGACATCCTTCCCATTCGTCGGAACCATCGTATCCGTACTCTTCGCCCCGCTCTTCCACACCTTTATAAAACTCTTGAGAATCTGTGCATATGCCGTATGATCATAATCCAAACTCGACAGAGCCTCGGGTGTACTATTCGAAACGAGAGATTCGGGCCAGCTATTTCCCATATAATGCGATTCGCCCGCATCGTTCCACGTTTGGAATTCGATGAAATCGGGTTGCAGAGTGAGGATTTGTTGGAAGCGGAATTCGAGGTTGGCTTCGCCGCGGCGGTACCAGTTTTGCGTCTTGGAGATGTGTTTGAATTGGAGTGGGGAAATGCCCATCATGAATCCTTTTTTGGAAGCTTGAGCGGCGGTTTGATAGATGGTGTCGTCGATGGTGTTGACGGGGACATCGCCGGCGGTATAGGTGGGCCAAGAGTTCCAGTTGAATGTTCCGTTTAGGGTGGGGTATGTGGTGGTGAAGAAGGAGGAAGAGGGGGCAACATCTTGGAAGGAGGGGATGAAGTAGATGGGGTGGCCGGAGGCGGACATGGGTTCTTGGAGGCCTTTTTTCCATCCGTCGTTTACAGTGTCTTGACCAAATTTGAAGGCTGAGGTCCCTCCGTTGAAGGTCGATACGAAGGGTTGTCCGGAATCGGAATAGGTATAGTAAGCACTGTTGGTGATGTAGGTGTTTAGGATAGGGATGAGCTGAGAAGGGGATGTGAAACCAGTCATGTCGAAGGAGAAACTGGGATGGTGAGTTAGTTGATATCTTTGAAGAAATGGATGGAGTGGAATGTGATAAGTACAAGAGTTTAAAGTCATGAGCTTGGGCATATTTGAAGAGACAGGCGACGGTGTTGACTGCCCATGAGTGGCTGGAATCTAGTGGTACGGCTAGAAGTATATTAGATTAGATTTGTACGTGGAAATGCAGGGTAACTGCACAACTTACCAAGATTAAGAGCAAATGCATCGGCTCCTAAAGCTACAGCATCAATGATATCTCGCTCGCAGTGAGAATCGGTAATTCCTCCGACCATATAGTGAAAGAATCTAAGATAAGATTAACAAGTTTCTAGTATGTATCAATACGTGATACTTACACTGGTTTTCCGGTAGGTGCTGAATTAGAACTTGCTATCACATTATTAGATGCAGATTTTGAGTTTGCAACTGCACTTGATGAAACTTTAGAAATTATCGATGTTGCCGCCTTGGACGAAGAGACTTCTGTAGTACCAGAAGCAGAGGAAGCTAAAGCTTGAATATTGTCACTGATGTCCTTGGCTAAAGATGTATTAGAAATAGGTCAGAACTCAAAAGTTAGGAATAAAGGAATAGGTAGAAGGAAGAAACATACCAGAACTAGACGCCGAGGTGGATACCTTGACAGAAGTGATTGAGGTAACACTGTCGGTTGTTGGCACGATAGTCGATGTTATCGGGGCTGAGGTAATAGTAGTAGAGATTGAGCTTATAGTAGCAACGATTGAGGAATCCGTTCCTGTTGATCTCTGCAAATTTGTAAGTTTCTCCAACCCATCGAACTGATCAAGAGGGCACCCAAAACAACTTACAAGAACAGCCGAAGTAGTAGGAGCTACAACAGAAGCAACGCAAGTTCCAGCACGATGAGAAATATGATCATAAGCCCCCAGCAAGCCCACCTCGCAACAAAAATCATTTCCATCCAATCCAGCCCACAAACTCCAACCCGCATCCGCACACTTTGGAGCTGCTTCAATCACCGCACGACATTCGCCCGCTTTGCACTGTTAGTCTTCTAGTTGAAACGTATGGGAGGAATGTAAGATTATCTTACTGGTTGGACAGCAGGCTGCAACTTCAGAATTCGCAGGTTTGGCACAGATCATACTTGACGGACAGCATGCACCGCTCGCAGTAATCCCACACGAGGTACTTCCTACCGGACAAACATCTGACTGAACAGACCAACCAGACAACCCAACATCACGACCCGATTGAAAGGAGTTGCGTGGTACATTTCTTGCAAGAACTAAGCTCGAAGAAGCCAACATGGAAAGGAGTGACAAATGCATGATTGTAATAACAATATGCTCAAACAATAACAAGTGATACTCGATCTAAAAGGATGACTCGAAGAACTTGCTCCAGAGAAGAATAGAATATCGAAAAAGAATGACTCGAAGGACCTATACCAAAGGAGTGTATGACCAAAAGTCGTATTCAAGAAGGAATGTCGTGGAGGAAAAGAGGCTCAGAGGAAAGAGATGAAGGAAGGAAGAGTAAATAAAGTAGAACCTTCAACTTGTATTACATACCGCACCCTTCATCATCAATCATAAGATTAAAGTTATCTTGCTTGCATACTGATCATCGATCAGATCCCATCATCCTACGGCCTCGACCGCGGGAGGAATCACTTCCTTGAATGTACCTGTAATTCATACAGGGCCAAACATCAATTCCGCTCGACGTCCTTGTTGCCTAGATATCATATTATACATTATACCCTAACCTACCCTACCCTATCCCGCTATCCCGCCCTTCAACCCCCTCCTCCCGCCCCCTCCCATACCTCAGGACCAACACCAATACCCCCATAAAACACAGGCTACCCAGGTACATACACAACATCTTCTAATTGGCCATCCTCAATTTTCAGAGTATTGTCTAGTCCAAACAAACAGCGGCACGCCGAACCCCTGTGTTTCCGAACCCCTACCATAAGGATTTAAAGGATGAAAATGGAAGATTGCTCGATTACTCTAGACTCTAGGCTATTGGAACCTGTTTATCTATTAACCGTACCGTACTGTACTAATTTCTCGGTATCGTTTAGTTTATCAGCCAGATCTAATCTACTCTAGGGGGGTTCGTAATCAACACCAAACATCAAACACCAAACACTACCAGGACCATTTATTTATCCACCACCACCCATAACCAAAGTAGTCATTCTGTAGGCAACAACTTAGAATTTATCGCTTCACTTACTAATTACTGTATCAATACTGGTATTATTCGAATATCAGTACTGGTACTCGAGTGTATACAGTACAGTAATGGTAATACATTTATTAGTACTGAGTACTTGAGTATCAATAACAAACCATAAACTCCCAAACCACAACTGGCAACCCCCTCCCCCCCCCCAAAAAATAAATAACAAATAACGCATAAAACTCCAAGTGAGTGCTCTAGTACTCTATATCAACAACCACAACCACAACCACGACTACATCTAACAAGAATCCCAGAACCTCAGAATCCAATCTCCTAAATTATAGTCACGTCACGTCACATCATATTATTACGATAATAAACGAGGAGAGCAAGTACCTACCTACCTACCTATACTCAAGACACACCATACCTACTGAAATAGGGTATATAATACCCAGTAAATTTTATGCGGCACACGAATAACACTGGTATCTATTTCTATCTACTCGAGTATCTATATCTATCTATACCTATATCTCCTCTCCTCTCTCATATATCCACACATCCATACCACATATACACATACACATACACATACACATACACATACAAATCAAATCAGAGACAGGTTACTACTCTATATACTACTGTATATCTATCTGTATACATATATATTGCCACTGAATTCCAACTATTCTATACTACTTAGATTTGATAAGTAGTATATCCATATCCATATCCATATCCGTATATATATCCACCCCTAAATTCTAAATTCTAAATTCTAAATTCTAAATCCCAAATTCCAAATTCCAAATTCCAACTACCTAGTATTCTACTATTCTACTATTCTACTCAAGTACATACTTATCATCTCTAAATCTAAATCTAAATTAGAACCCCTAGAAACCCCTAGAAACCCCTAGAAAATATAGAAAATATAGAAACCGTAACCGCTATTATATTATACTGTTATACTGTTATGCTGTTATACTCGTACTCATACTCGTACTATACGTACTATATCTATAACTCAGAGAAGCGAAGATATTTATAGGGGAGGGATGGTGGCGGAATGGAGACGAGGTCAATTAGATAGATATATATATATATATATATACTCGAGTGATCGGATCGGGTTGCTGGAAAGTAAGGTAAGTTAATGAGATGGATAGGATAGGATAGGGTAGGTAGGTACATGTACTGTAATAGGCTATACATGTACATATATGTATGTACATGCAGAATATAATATAATATAACAGAATTCATCACCAAAAAGAGAGAAAAAAGGTAAAGTAAAGTATGAAGTAAGAAGTATGAAGTAAGAAGTATGTATTCAATTAATCAACAAAATAGATAAGTGTATCAACCCCATATGGTCGAGACACAGGCTATCTAGCTTACTCGAGAGAACTAATCCATTCATTCCCAGATCCGGTCACTAGTAAACAAAGTAAATCATCCCTTGCAACGCATTGTGTATCAGCGAAGTAGCCGCCTCGGCCTTTGAAGTAGCAAAACAAAACAGAAAATACGCATTCATCCATAGCCATATCCATCAAGCATTCATTCGACAAAAAAGAGTATGAAAAGGAAAAAGTTTTGATTTGATATCCATTGTTATGCTAGTGAGAAGCTCCCCTACACACAGAGGTAAAGAAGAATCATATGACGCCCGAGTATCTATGATTACTCTACTCCACTCATAAGAAACGATATGATAGTTTGATAACATATTTATGCTATCCTATCAAACTAAGCATCGGTCTTGGTCTTCTTCTTTCTAGACTTTGGTGCGGATTTTGGTGTTTCAATGGTTGCCTCTTCTTGCTCTGTAGTGGCAACTGGCTCATCTGCTCCCTTCTTGGCCACACGCTTGCGCTTTCTAGCTGGACTCGCCTCCTTTTGAGGTGGTACAATTGAAGCTGAGGATGGAGGGGGGATTTCTTCAGCGACATCGGATTTACCCTTGGCTTTGCGTCCTTTGGCCTTGGGTGTTTTTGGAGCGGGGGTTGGTGATTTTTCAACTTCTGCCTCGGCCTCTGCCTCGACTTCCGGTTCAGGTTCACCTTCTGCGTCTTCTTCTTCTTCGACAGCAGCTGGAACGCCAGCAGTGGCTTCTCCTACGAGCTGAGCATCTGCTGAGGCATCTGCGCCAATGTTGTTTTCATCTGCATATGCAGCGGCAGCGTCATCACCCATCTCCTTAGCAGTGAGGTTACCTCTGCGATAAGAGTGCATGCGCGCGTTGTAGAGACGGAGGTTGTCCTTGTAGGCATCTTGCCAAAGCTATAATGAATCATTAGTAGTGAATGAGAAAGCTTCGGGTCATATGACTTACAGCTTTATCCTTGAGAGCCATATCAGTCCATCTCTTCGTACCTTCGCTCGAAACCTCTCCCTTGGGAACATCACCGAGATCTTTTGCGATAATAGGACGAGCGGTTTGCATGTAGAGGAAGAATGGAGTGAGAGGACGCTTTGGCGCATTGGGATCATGTTGTCTCTTCTTTCTTTCTTTCTTCTCTGGAGCTTGCTCGACGGCCTTGATCACCACCGGGCTTGCAGCGCGTTGAAGAGCACCGAGACTTCCGAGGAGAGGATTTTCACCAAGCTTGGATAGCGCTGTATCGATATCATAACCTGCGCCGTGTTCTCCGAGAACAGCATTGGTATGTTTGATGTAGGCCGAAGAGACACTTTGAATGGCTTCTTGTAAAGTCGCGAGACCACCGATAAACTTTGACCACATTAGCGTTTGTTCACAAAGGTACAAGTTCAAATCAATCTGCCGGCGGGTTGGTTGGGGGGCCATTGTATCGAGACGCGAAAGCGGGATGAATAGTAAACACGGTTGACGCGTGATAGATCGAGGTTGATCTAGAGTTTGAGTTTTCCAAAAATGAAAATACACGCAATAGAATCGCGTCAATGTGCAATATCAAATGTTCGTAAAGATTTCAAATATATAGTGACTGTGGTTGTTGAATGATACCTGATGGCATGTTGAAGTTGAAAATTGACAGACGATGGCGGGGAAGATAGTTTTGGTTGAGTTTGTAGGAATGCGACGAAGGGTTTGGAATGGGATTGAGACAAGGAATGTGAAAAAGAGTTTCGATGAAATAAAGAAGAAGAAAACTTACTGTATCTCTGGTTCTCACAAAGCTTGCAACATCAATTTGAAGAGTTGCTCCATCTCCTCCCTCCTTTGGTTTCTCCTCAGTCTTCTTTGGACGTGCCATTATTGATGGATGTGTTGTGTATTGTATTGATGTAATTTAATTGTTGTAGGCTGTCGTCGCTGATTTCCAAGCCTAAGAAGTGAGTATTTTGAGGTTTTAGTTGGGGTTGATTTGGGGGGGGAAGGGTTAATTATAAGAGCGGGTTATGGGCTTTCCCGATCACTGCGATCACTGACTGACTGGCAAGGCCGCACCAACTAATAATTATTTTCCTCGTTTGGCAAAAGAGAAAAAAGAAAAAAAAAGAATGGTAGTGGGGTGGGGTAGGTAGGGTAAGGAAGGGAAGGGGTAAGAAAGAGAAAGTTTTTCTTTTCCCTTTTCCCTTTTCCCTTTTCCTTTTCCACTATGGGTTATGGATGGATGGATATGGGTGTGAGTGGGTGTTGTTTCTTCACTGTTTTGGTAGGGGTAAAAGGGTATAATAGAGTAAAGGGTAAAAGTAAAAGGTAATAAATACAGTGGCTACCGACAGTTATTGGGGGAATACGATGTACTTGTATTATAATAGTGTGTTTTCAGGAGAAGTTTCTTTCCTTATTATTACTCTGGTTTTTTTGGTTTGATTTTTAGTACTGTATCTTTGAAAAAAAGAGAATGATATTTTGAGAGTCTTTCAAATACCTAGATATATATACCTTATTCTATATCCTATCTACTTCTTTGAAGACTTCTACTTCCTATTATTCTGTATTCTGTTAATTGCTTGCTTGTTGCTTGCTTATTATACTGGCACTCCGTTTTCTCACGGGGCCTTCTATTTCGTTCACTAAAATTACCTAGCTAGGCATAGATCTCGGCGCTACAAGCCTAAAGTCTCCGCCCGATTCCGGTGGTTTTGTGCTACATACAGTATAATAATCAACAGTAATAACATAATTTCAGAAGATAACCCGGGGGGTAAGGCGGAAAAGAAAGACCAACACTCACTACCTTTAGAGCAATCAATTTGTGAAAATCCCATTTCTCATCACTGCCCATCACTTGCCCATTAAGATATTTATTCTTTCAAGGAACGTACAACCAACCATCTACTCATAGGCTCTATCGTGAGTCCTTAATTCTGCAGCAGCAGCTGAAAGAACTAAGTTTCGGTTTGGTGAAGCAGTTGGCAAATTGGCTTGTGGGGTTGGGTTCTGTGAGTGTGTTACAGGGTATACCTGAAGTTCGTTCTCGTATAACGATGCCCGGACAATTCTACCGTATTAAGCCTAATGCCTCTAACCTTAATGCTTTTACTCTTAGTAGTAGTGATTCCCGATATTCCAGCTTCTAGTTTTCAGCTTGTTACTTTCTCTTCAACAATGATACTGTAATGCTATTTTGAATGCCCCAAATCATATGAATTTTGGGACTTCTCATTTGATAATTTAGAGGGTTCACACTTTTCTGATATCTAATCCAATCCAATCCAATCCAATCTAACAAACAATCTCAGAATTGGGCAGTAGAGATTTAACATGAACATGAAGACGAACAATTGCCAATCCTCAGCAACTCTTCAAAACTTCAAACTTATTACAAACTTATCACAATTGTAACTCAAGGTAACCCTCCAAAACCCTTCATTTTTGGGGCATCCTAAAACGGGCCTCCAAAAGAAGGTTATCTTACAGTAAAAAGAACACTAATCTGAGTCTCTCTCCCTCCTCTCTCCTTTCTCTCTCTTCTCTCTACCCACCCTCACTACGCTCAAGCTTGTACGATTCAACGGTGGGCGCAGCTCATCATGCTCATCCTCTGTTCTTGTGTATCAGTCAGTGATTGCGATCAGATCATAGCCATTCACTACTCTACAGGCTCACCAATCACCCCTCTATTGCATTGTTACACAATCTCCCTCATCAAAGCTGACTGCAGGATCATCATAAAACATAACCTTCTGTTGCAAATCTTCAATTTTACTGGATCGTCTTGACACCATCTTGACTTGGCAGACAGCGAATTTCGTATCAGAACCCCACCAAAACCGCAAAGCATACTTATTTGCTACATACATGACCCCTCAAAAGCCTCCAATTTGTTGGTCCACTAATCTCCTTAACATTCACTTACTTTTCAGGTGTTCTCTTGTGTTCGAGTTAACCCCTCCATAAGTTCAACAACTTACAACTTCTTCATACACATCGTCGCAAACATGCCTTCGTTCAGCAGCTCGACGCTGCTTCTTTCTTTCGCGCTCCTTCTAGTACTAGCACATCCAGCTTATGCATTCGGTGCTGGAAATATTGCATCTGTTTCAAAGATTGAGGGGATAAACTGTGAGTTCGCACTTGAACCGCCTCCGCAAGAGAAGATTTACTGATTCATTATTCAGGGCGCCATGGAGATATTGAAGATACCCTTTTGACGCTCGTTATGTCAAGAGCTTGTGGTGGAAAGAAATTCGATAAAATGACAATACAAAGAATCTACTTTGGTAACTGGCTTAGAGATTACTGTAAGTGCAAACTCATCATATCTCAAGTTCACAGCCCCCTCCATCTCATTTTGATCTAAGACTAATATCTTTTGCGATTCCAGCCCAAGCAATCGATGTTGGTACCGTCAAATATGTTTCCGCCGAAGCCATCCGCATTTTACTCTGGGTCCTTGGATTTATGACATTTGGATATGGCACAAGAGAATTCGAAGTTACTGCTGAAAGACTGGGCTGCTACCGACCAGAGGATCACATTGACAACCCAAAGGATTATGCCGATAATCTTGATGCTTCACAATTTGATCATAGACTTCGAGGTCCAGTCGACGAAGAAATTGAGCTCGCTATCGATCCTCAAACGGGCATGAAGAATTACATTGCGAACGAGCACGCTGGGATCATGACATCTGCTCTGCACGTCAGAAAGCTGTTCCGCGAATCTATTCGACTTGGTAGATCTTATGCACGAAGCCATAACAAGGACGAATTATACGAGGCACTCCGCTTGTTGGGTACTGGACTTCACTGTCTGGAGGATTATTCTGCTCACAGCAATTATACTGAGCTTGCTCTCATTGAGATGGGCGAACGTGATGTCTTTCCACACGTTGGAAGACGAACTCGGATCAACCTCCAAGGTGCTCAACACTCCGTTTACCCAATCATCACTGGTACTTTCGGTGGTGTCGATTTCCTCCACTCCGTAATGGGCGAATTTGACGACAAAGCAACTCAGAGCGAAATCCAGGGTCTTGAAGGAACCATGCAAGAAGGTAGTCAGGGTAACAATAGTGTTCTGAAAGACCTCCTAAGCTCAGTTCCTTCCGGACTCTTTGGCGATAAAGATCAAGCTGGTAAAGCAGATGAGCTCCAAGCCAATGCTTCTGCTGCTCAAGAGTCTCAAGAGCACGTATCCCCAAGAGATCCGGAAGCTTTTACCGAAAAAATGCAAAACGTTGCCAAGGAGATTTATCCAATCATCCAGTGGCATGATGAGACTATGCAACAGATTCGAGAAGCTATCGAAAAGATCCCTATCCTCCCAGATCTCATTGAAAATATTGAAGAACAAATCAACATCTTTGTCTTCTCCCTCCTTGCTCCATTCGTTCTTCCAATCATCGGCCAGATCAAGACTGAATTGAACACGGGTTCTTCGGAGGTTATCCAAAGCAGTAAGGACAAGCAGTTGATCGTTTTCAACGATGATCACTCTTCTGATCCTACGCATTCTATGTTATCGAAAGATCATTTCTCCAACGTAAGTCTAATGTTTCCTTCCCATGGGTTATTTACTACAATATCATTTTATCTTGTTTCTTCATGTTTGGGCATTTAAATTGGGTGACAGCATGTCATCTATATGTCAATCGTTATTGACACCAATACCTGCTTTAGGTCCTCAATGAAGTCGCTGGCAGGATCGCCTCTCAAGTTCTCAAATGGGCCGTTCCACAACTCATTTCTTGCTGGGATGATGAAAGCATTGACCCTGAACGTACAATTGATCGTATCATCCATGGTGTTTTCCATCATCCTGCTTTACGCAACTACGGCGATGATGGAGCTTCCGACGGTCGTCAACTCATGTTCAGAGTTGTAGAAGAATGGTGGCGCAACAAGGACGGCGACGAGCAAGATGAATTGCGAAGAAAGTTAAGTAGAGAGGGAGTTGAGGAAGGAGAAAATCATCTCGAAGGTGTTCATGATACTGGCCACGGATGCGGTGCACCACTCAAAATGTCCAAGTCGGGCCCGGACATGTCTTCCAATCCATTAGCCAATGAAATGATGGGGGGTCTTGCTTCTGCGATGGGTGGTAATGGTGGATCTTCAGGATTGGGTGGACAGTCATCTGCAGGAATTAGCAAATTTGCTGAAGAAGCAGTTGGTGGAGGTGCCCTGGGTGGTATTTTTGGTGCTCTCGCTGGAGGTGTTGGTGGAAGTCTTCTATCAGGCTTCCTGGGTGGAGGCAAAGAAGAAGCACGTTCTACTGAAGGCTACAACTCTCAGGGCAATTACGAGCAGAGCTATACTGAGATAGGCCACTCGGGTGATCGCTACGCTCAAGCTGAGTACACGCAAGAACAACTCCCCAATGGAGGCAGACGAACAGATTATCAACAATACGGTCAGCAAGGAGGACAAGGTGCGGGCTTTGAACAAATTTCCGAGCAGAGACGTTCATACGGTGGAGGGTATGAAGAAACTAACGAGCGCATCTACGAACGTCCTGATGGCAGAGTCGAGACGGAGACATGGCGTGAGGGTGAGACTGCTGATGGACGTCACTACCATGAAGCAGAACATCACAGAGAAGAGAGATCAGGTAGTGATGGTGATAGCGACAATAGTGAGCGCAGAAGACATGGGAAACATCACAGGAAACACCACAATCGTCGGGGAAGTGGTAGCAACGAGGGTAGCGATAGACCTCAAGAATATGTTCCAGAGAGAGAAGAGAGAAGAGAAAGATTTGAGGAGCCTCCTCGTCAGGAATATGGTGGGTATGGTCAACAGAGAGAACAAGGTGGTTTTGGAGGGCTGGCGGAGAGATTCGGTGGCATGGGATTCGGTGGTGGAGGTGGGGACCATGGAAATGAAGGTGGCTGGGGTGAGAGGGAGAGAGAGGGAGAGGGAGAGAGAGAAGAGGAGTATCAGGAAGAGAGGAGAGAGGAGAGGAGAGAGGGACATGGATGGGGTTTCTAGGGTTATGATTGTTTGGTCATGAGATATGGACATGAGAGATATGAGAGATGAGAGATGATGATATCATGTTACTGAATTCGTCAAAAACGACACGAACGTTTTTCCTAGGTAGTTAGATTAAGGGTATTTTCAATACTATTGTGATGCATTCTCCCTTATGATATTGAGAATTCTGAATGCTCTACTCAGAGTAGAGACTATATCCTTCCCGTGGGTTGGTTGGTTGTGTTGTGTTGAGTATGGTAGTGGGTGGGGGCCTATGGTTAGGTATTGATAGGTATAGTATAGGATAGGAGAAAGTTATATATATGTGAGGAGTAGGATAGAATAGGGTAGGTAGGTTTGGGATTTGGGATCTGGGGTTGGAAGTTGGAAGTTGGAATTTGGGGTGGACCTTGGACTGCGATTGGGATGGGGATTGGGGATGGGCGATGTATAGGGTAAGGGTAAGGGTAAGGGTAAGGGTAGGTAGAATCTGGGGTTACTGGGTTAATCAATTACTAGGTCAGCGGGTTACGATCTCAAGATCTAGATCTAGATCTTGATCTTGATCTTGGGATATCGAAACTATATTACCTACCGGTATATACCGTACTGTATATGTAACACGAATACAGTATATACTCGAGTATAGAAAAGTGTTTCGGTTTCGAGAGGTTTACTTGCTTGTTTGCTTGCTTGTTTGCTTGTTTGCTTGTTTGCTTGTTATTGTATTGGTATTGGTATTGGTATTGGTAAGGTTATTGTGCGTGTGTGTGTGTAGGGTATAGTAGGGAGTGTGGGTAGGGTAAGGTTGGGAAATTACTACCTAGTTACATCACATGCGAGGTTGATGTTGATATTGATGTTGATGTACTGTAATGAAAATCGGGGGAGGGAAAGGGGGGTAGGGGGGGTCAAGTTTTTATCTTTGGGTTTGGTTGGTTGGGTTTGTGTGGGCGGCGTGGGCATATGGATAGATAGATATATGTTAATACGAGTATATATTAATGTTGATGTGATGTGATTAGAGGGGAGAAGAGAAGAGAAGATGATATAAGATAAAACGAGATAAGGATGTGTAGAAATAGGCATCGAAATAGAAATATTGTGGAAAATGAGGTTGGTTTGTTATATTTGCTGCGTACTCGTATGATGCATTGGTGTGTATAAAGTGTAATATGTACTCGTAGTGTAGGTAGATATACATAATGCATGAGTTAAAGTTAGAGAACAATTGTTTAAATAAATAGATGGATATCTACTCAAGTATCTACTCTATGAAAGTAGCGAGTAACTTTCAAAGTGGTAGAATATGGGGATTACAGTACATGTACGAGTAGATGATTCGGATTTGTACTGTATATAGATAGGTTTTTGGGGTGTATGAGACTATGAGGTGATCGTTGTGAGTGTATATATAAGTGTATAAGTGTGTGAGTGTATATGTATTGATTCGCTTGGAGAATTATCATCTAAAAGGGGGCGGAGGCGGGTAGTGTTTTGTGACTATGATATGATGAGAAATGGAGAAGAGATTGAATACACCTATGAGTACTGCATGTTGTATTGGTTTATATGTGTATATTGCAAATAAAAGAAAGCTATCTTCTATGAGCTTTTGGTGCTATATCTACATGGGTAATGTAATGTAAATCCCTTCTCGAATTTGTCCCGTAAAGTATACTGTATGTACTTTTGAATGCTACATATGTATTCTCTCCCTCCTCGTGTCTCCCATTTCACCTCCATGCAATGCAAATCCCAATCCCAATCCTACACACTCAATCGTCCATACACCCACCCACTCATTCATCGCCCTCCTCATTCTCTTCCGGATCCAAATCCTCCTGATCAAAAACCGCCTTCTCCATCAATGCCACCGTATTCCTAATCGGCAACCCCACCACATTATCCCAACTCCCCTCTATCCTCTCCACCAACATAGCCCCCATCCCCTGTATCGCATAACCACCCGCCTTATCAACCCCCTCCCTCGTCTTCACATACGCCTCTATTAACTCATCGCCCACATCGGCATCAAACACGACTTTCGTCTCCACAACCTCATTCTCACAATTATACCCTGGGTATCGCGCATCGTCGCGCGGAGCCAGTATGGCAATGGCGGTGAATACTTTGTGGGATTTCTCATCGCGCAACCGTTGCAACATGCGGATGTGATCGCTTTGCGAACGCGGTTTCTCGAGTATGACGCCGGAGTTGGTCACGATGACGGTATCGGCGGCGATGACGAGGGAGGGGTCCGGGATGCTGGCTAGGGAGTTTTCAAGACAGTGTGTGTATACTGAGAGACATTTTTGGATGGCGGTTTGGAGGACGTAATCGAAGGGTCCGAGGTGGTCTTTGGAGAGATTTTCGGGGAGGGGGGAGGGGATGATTTCGAGGTTGGTGAGGCCGATCTTGGGGGGGTGTTAGATGGGTTTTGTATTTTTGGGGAATAATTATATCATATCGCATTGCATTGCACAATATAATATAAATCGTCAAATCCAAAGAGCTGATATAAAACCCAAAAATAAAAATAAAAAACATACCGAAGCCAAAATGTGTTTCCGTCTCGGACTCGCAGAAGCAAGTATGATTCTCTTTCCCTTCAAATGTTGCAACAGGGGAATATCGAGAGGGAAGGGACCGCGTGGTAAGGGACCCGGGGGACTCGATATGGATTTGGAGGTGGGACGGTTGGGGAGCGCACCATGTTGAAGAGAGGCGGATTCGTAGGTTGGGGGTGAATCTTGGGGCGGGGATGTCGCGAGCGGAGTATATTTTTCGTCGGGCATGGTGGGAGTTTTCTTGGGTGAAGGGGACTTTTTTGGGGTGGAAAGGAGGTTTGGGGTTTGGTGGTTGATACTTGATAACTTGATAACTTGATAGGGATGGAGATGTGGCTGGCTTTATCAGCCTCGTGGTTGGTTGTTGGACAGGGGTTTTGGTGGGGATGTTTTGGGTAGCAGGGTTATAGCTTCATAAATAAATTTACTCGAGTACAACAATACGGGTGTCTAATCTCATCAGAACGCCGGAATGAATCCTTTTTTTTTGTTCAATTACCTTGATCGTCTGAGAAACTGAGATAGTTGGTAAAGCTTTTGGATTTCCAGCTCCAGAAAATAGATTTGTTTAGGTTAAGAAAGTTTGAGTATTCAACTTGTATGATCTACCGGTAGACTTGTTGTTACCGAGTAGATAGTATAGGACCAGACAAGCTAGACCATAGACCATACCAAAATACATGTAACAAATGTCCTCTCTCCATTATGTTATTATTAGATAGCCCCTGAGCTCAAATGTAGGCGCATACATTATCCGAGCCTACTCAGCTACGTAGGTGTAGATCTCTTATCCCCGTTTAAGCGGCCGACGGATATAGAGACAGCGGAAGATCGGAGTCGGAGATAAACTTAAGAAGATCTGATAAAGGCTTAAGTTTTGAATGTCAGAGACTAGACTCAGAATACAACTTTTATAGAGAGAATCGGGAAGGATACTAATATATGCTTGCGGTTATCAATACCTACCTAGCCTTACTATTAAATATGAAGTTCTCTTTCCAAAACTTAAATTTATACTTACCAGGTAGTAGTTACCCGTTCTACATGGGCTGGAGTCTGGCGTTATTCGGTGAAGTCGGACTCGGAAAATAAAAATACCGATGGATTGAATAACGCATCCATCTATAAAAGCCCGTTTTACTAATCATTATCTGACCGCCTTCTACCTAACCACCAATTAAAGAGATGAATTATTCTGCTTATACCAAAAACATACACACCTCAGTTAATCAGTAGTATCTTTTTTAACTTTACTCTAAGAGGGTCCTACGTTAATAAGAACAAAATATGTTCCTTTCCCGAAATCATATATAACCTTAAAGACTCAGCCTCATTCTACACACTCATTCACACCACTATAGGATTACAAGTACAAAACCTATTGTGTAGAGACAGTTAGTTCTGTGTGTGATCATTTCATTCAGTCTGTTAGTCAATTCAGTCAGTCAAATCAGTCAAGTCAGTCAAGTCAGTCAAAGTCAGTCAAAGTCAGCCAGTCATAGACATATTATATCAATCTTTAATACTACCTACCTCGTCTCATCATGAATACGAGTCCAGTTGTTTCTACCACCAGTAGCAACTCAAACGCTCAACAACCACCTTTATCAAAAACTCTTAGCTGTACGAATTGCAGAAGACGTAAGATAAGATGCAATAAAACAACAAATCCTTGCCTCCCATGTCAGGTGAGTGAAAACTGTTTTCCACCCTTTCAACCCTTCATTTTGGAATTTTGATATTGATGATTAGAACCACACACACAGTCATCTGGCACCGAGTGCATTTTCCCCAACCGTGTCCGGAATCCTCGGCCGAGACAAAGTAACCCAAAGTCTCGGGACGCTGAACTTTTGAAGAGGATCTCTCACCTTGAAAGTTTGGTGAGTAAAATTGATGCCTCAAAGCTTGTCGCTGGTGATAGTCCGAGAGAAGATGATGTTCGATCAATTGAACCATCATCAGCAACGCGACCTCATCATTTTTTAACCTCTCCAAGTGATCAATACAAAGTCCACGATGTAGGATTAGTACCAGGACGTATGGACCATCAATTTGCTTCATTCATCAAACGCCAAGAAACCGAATCGATTTATACTCAAGACGGATTTTGGACAAGATTAAGTGAAGAAATTGATGGATTAAAGCTGCTCATCGAAAATCCTAGTGATGATGAAGACGAGCCTTTTGGGTCAACTACGAATTCGCCAGCATCCAAGTATGACTCTCCTTTACAGTTTGTACTTGATCCCAAAGTCACATCTTCAAACACGTTGATTTCATATCCATCCGACGACCACCGGGATATTTTATTCGGATTTTATTTCAGAAATGTTCACCCCATGGTGACCATTATGCATAAACCAGCGATATGCCTTATGGCACAATCGGATTCTGAGCTATTTGACCACGATACTGGTCGATACAAATTCAAAAGTCTTCAGGCTGTCATGTTTGCTTTGTACTTTGCTGCAGTAACGAGCATGACAAATGAGGAATGTCTCGAGCATGTAGACGAAGAAAGGGATATCTTAGTGGCACGATACAAAACTGCGACAGAGTTTGCTCTCCAGGAAGCGGACTTTCTAAATAGTGTTGAAATTGTTACCTTACAAGCTTTGATAGTTTATATTGTAAGTATCCTTCTTGCTCTCAACATCCTGGCGGGTGATTCCGCAATACGTTTATTTATAATTTCTTCCAGGCAACCATGCGCTCTCATGATCGAAGTCGGTCCGTATGGACATTTGTTGGTCTTGCAGTTCGCATTGCCCGTGCTCTTGGACTTCACAGAGACGGTAATGGCACACCTTTCGATCTGGAGATGCGAAGAAGAGTTTGGTGGGCTTTGCTCGTACTTGATACTAGAGCTTCTGAAGATCGAGGCACTGAGACAATGATCACAGATGGCTCTTTTGATACGAAAATGCCTGCCAACATCAACGACGAAGACATGTCGATGACGATGAAGTCTCCTGTGGTTGATAGGATAGGACTCACCAACATGACATTTTCTTGTATTGCCATGACAGTCAGTGCAATAGGATTGAAAATGAACTTCGTACCTACGCAAAAAGATGCGCCGGTCTTAACCTCGGAGCAGAAAGAACAGATGATCAAAGCATTTACTGTCAGAATCGAATCAACCTATCTTGCAGGTTCTGATCCCTCAGACCCGGTAGGTTGGTGGTATTGTCGCATATCACGACTATTATCGCTCAAATTGTGGTTGACTACACAATATCCGCTTCAGCGTAGAAAATCCACGTTTCGGATACTTCCTCGAGGACAATCGTTGCGTACTGCTATGGCACTTTTAAACTTGATCGAAGAAATGTTTCACCATGAAGAGTCAAAAGGGTGGTTTTGGTTCTTCCGGACTTGGGTCCCATGGCACGCGATTGCCGTCGCTTTAGCTGAGCTTTGCGCTGAGCCAAATGGGCCGCTGGCAGACCAAGCCTGGGGTGTCATCGAGTATCATTACAATAAATGGAGCGAACATGTCGCGGATACAAAAGATGGCATGATCTGGCGCCCCGTCAAGAATTTGCTAAAGAGGGCCAGATCAGCGAGAGGCCGAGAGAGAGCCTTCAGTGGTTCCCAAGCTTCGACCATCACCTCGACTTTTCTCGAGCCTAACATCTATAGCCCAGATCCCCCCAGGATTTCCTTCGACAATGTTGGAAAATAACGACTACCAACAGCCTTCAACAATGGGACAATTAGACCCATTTGCGCAGAACTCATACGGTGAAATGGCGTTCGACCTTCCCATGCCCATGACTTCAAACCCCATGGATATGAATACAAATATGGAATCTCCATTACCTATACCGATGCAGGATGCTTATATAAATACACATTGGAACGATTTTATATTTGGATTAGGGACTGTTGGTGATGATGGCCCTTCAAATCCTAATATGTGGGGTTCGTTTCAAGATTACTTTGCTGGCTCTTGAGATTTTTTAGAGCGACTGTATTGAAATTCTTCAATTCGCGATACTCGAGTATACCTTTTACGCTTATGATGTTATGATAATTAGTGGGGGATTACTGGGGGGGGTGGAAGGGCGGTGGCCAGTAAATATAATGTAAGATCAGAAGAAGAAGAAGAACATTAGAACAGTTGTAATTATGATATATTTCCCCTCGTTAAAATTCGCTTCACACACACATATTTGTGCTCGAGTAGAGTATTAGAGTAGAGTCGATGCAATCAATATCTTTGAACAGGACAGGACAGGATAAATCATAAATTAAGTTCTAGTACACATCATATACACATCATAGAATTCTGCACATGGCGATATTGATGTTTGTGTGTGATTTGGTGCAGGCAGCAGGCAGATATATGCATGGGGTCTGGTATTGATATTAATATTAATACCAATAACTCGTACAGTGTGCGGGCGTATTGTATACTGATTTAATTACCGTATAAAGTTTATAAGAGATAGATGAGATGAGATGAGAACTTGAGAACTACGGTATTTACAGGTTTTATATCGAAAACTTTCGAATGCATTGCATTGTGTTGATGTGATGGGATGGGGTGGGATGGGAAATCTTAATACAATACTTTGTTATTCATTATTCATTATTGGTTACCTAGGTATGCAATGCTTATATATACTATTACTATACTATAGGGGATTATTTGCTTCAAGAGGGTTGGCTTATTTTTTATGGCTGTTGTTTTTCATTGTACACGAGTACTTGGTGGGTGAATGGTTGAATGGTAGAAGAAAAGAGTGGCAGGATAATATAAGTAATCAGTGTGACTACTCGAGTACTTTATATTGATTATGATGTTATGATGTTAATGTAATGTGTTTATTATTCAAGGAATCTTCATTCTGTATATATTATATACTCGACACGGAGTAGAGACTTTTTTCTTTACTAGATTTAGCGATTGGCAGTTGATCTGTCTGTGTTCCTCCTGATATGATATGATATGATATGATATGGATTTATATTTATACTGAAGGTATACAGTATAGCTAGCCTCTTTCCCTCATTAGATTTAGCAATTAATCTATCTGTGTTCCTCTCTCCTGAAATGGATTTATGTTTATTACTTTACTCGAGTAGCTAGGTAAGGTTATACTTTATACTCAGTATAATCGGAATATATTTTGATCAAGAACTTAAGACTCCAAGTTGATAGAGTTACTCGTAATTACGAATCGTTGACGATGTGGATAAGTTCCTAGCCTAGTACTTGTCTCTGAATAGTTCGTAAGACTTACAGTACAATTCCTGGAGTTGAAGATATGGAATGAGTGGTCTCGTGATCATGTATTGTCTATATGTATAGTATAGTATCTCGTTCTCAATATTCAATGTCGAAAATGCTACCTCACTGGTAGAGGAATCTTTGCTGCGCAGCGGGACGACCGATGAAGATAATTAGTTAGTCTGTGCAGATATATGGTACTCGAAGGGGCTGTCTTAGACAGGTTACTTTTGCAGATGGCGAATAATGTACTTGGTTGTACCACCTGTGCCGGTTCCGACTTCTAGTATATGGAATTCACCTCGTCGGTCTGGATTCGCTGTTGGTTTCTCGAGGGGCTTGTATAATGAAATCGTACTGCGATGCATAAGATACCTATTTGTGTAAAGGTTATCGTTAACATCACGACGATAGCTCGACGTGTAGAGATGCAGGTGTTATGGCTTGGTTGGGTGTGATATGAGCGTTTAACACTGAAGAGATAAATATAGGGCTCGCTCTCAGAGTCGATGAGAAAAAGTACTTCCTTCATTCATGCTTGAATTCGAGAATTTCAAAAACGGAATAAAGTGGTATGAACCTTGAAAACGGGCGCAACCTTTGAGACTGGTGCTAGAGGGCTATTTGATAGATGAAAAGAAGTCAATACTTGATGGTCTCGAATTGATATAGAGGAAAATTTTTGTACTCGAAATGACCTCCTCGTTGACTTCGCCGATGAGGCCAGAACTGAACATGAATGTCAGATTTTCATCGCTTAACCGCAGTCTCTGCTAAGAAAGAAATTGCATTGGGCCTGTTCATGAACGAGGGATTGTACAATTGCTGCTGTCAATGTAAAATCGATGTGGCGATGTGAAGTTCTTCAGCATTTATTCAATATGCATAGATGACGATACTTAGGAGGCATCGATATCGACTCTCAATTGCTCGTAGAAAGGCGTGTGAATTATCCCATAACAGTCAATATATGTTGAAGACATGTAGTTTTTGAGCGTCTTGATGCAAGGCTTGTGATGTGTACATTTCTCCGATACCAAGACTCAATAGCTTGCAAAATACTATATTTGTTAATGTTGAATATAGATTCCTGGCAGATTCGATACTTTAAAGCATATAATTCACTGTCTTATATTCTTCGCCAATCGCAAACTGATCTCTTGGCCGCTTGGCTACGAGAAGTCTCTCACGTCAGTTCGGAAACAATCATTACTTGATTTATACTATAATACTTTACTATCTCCCGATCATTATCTTCTTACGCCTTGGCAACTAGGACAATCAACGAGCAAAGGAGTTCTAGAGTTCTTCAGCACGATGTATACACAGCTTACCTTGCTTCAGTCTCCTCGATATTGAGTCTAAATGACCAACGGTGTTTATAATTGCTATATATTGAGGGAGTATATCTACAGGTCTAAAGAACGTAGATGATTCAAAGAGGTACTCCTATTACTGTACTATGTTAACAACTTAAAATGAAATACTAGAGCAAATGAGTACACTTCCAGGCAGACAAAAATGGATTGGACATTGATTCGTTCTAGAGATGTGAAAAACTCGCAGCAGGAGCGCGTGGTGATGATGAATATTGATGTTCGCTTACGGGTAAGGCGTTGGAATGGGGTTAGGGGGGTGGGGGCGATGTGCTAAATTTCGGCTCGCTCTTTCTTAGCCCTCCCTTGGAACAATTTTTTTTAACGAATTGTCTAGTCACGATTTCTTCATACTACTGAACCAGACTATCGGGTCGTCGCAAAAGTAGAGTTTATGGTTGTCAGAAACGATTGCAGTCCTTCGAATGACTGCATACATCCCTCCAAACCCTCATCTTTGGCAGGTTCGCAAAGACATCTGTCTCAACTGATAGTTGACTTGAGTTAAGCTTACATATAACGTTCTAGGGGTTCAAATTGAGCCAGTGAGTAACATATATGATGATCATACGATACAGTACACCTATCTGAGAAAACAGAACAACCGTTTAATTTTGTCCATTCGATACGGAACATCAATTGATGTCGGAAAAGTATATCCTCAAAATTTCACAGGGGACTAGGCCACTGCCTTATGTTTATATTTATACAGCGATCATGCAAATTCGGTAAGCCGACTATTTAACCTCTTTTCAAATAACAGTCACGGTCATGTCAACTTCATTGCTGGTCAAATAAGCTTTGCTATTCAAGTAAGCCATGATTTCCAAGCTTTCTGTTGTCATCAAGATATCACTTTGATCGAGTTTTCTCCCACATTACGCGAAACATAGGTACGGTACAACATTTTGTCTAGGTAATAGTGGGGGTTATGAGCCAAGCACAGGACTGAAAGCACCATGCGCATTAGTCATTTCACTACATGACTCTGTCTGTGACGAATGCATGTCCACGCACACATACATTGGAGAAGGACTCCGAATAAGTCTGACCCCAGTCACATCCAGCCCTCAATACTAGCCCAGGTCACTACAACTTTGTAGGAGATTGGACTATCGTCAGGAAGTTTTCATAGTGTCCACCATTACCAAAGGGTCGAACAGATACAGATCAACCACCAGTGGCATTTGGAAATTGAGGTGGTAGTCAACGTCAAGTTTTGCATCGCAGTCATGAAAATTGCACTTGAATTTTGAGTGTTTTTCAACGCAACTTCAGGACCAAAATCATCACTCATTATCAAAGTTGCGGGTATTCTGTTAGGTTGTGATCTCGAGAGAAAGATCGTTCTTAGGAAGCATAATTGAGAAAGAGATATCGCTGGGTGAACGTACACACGTCTACAGTACCATAATTACTCGAGTATGATACCTTGTGTTTTCTCTAGCGAGCTGCGAGCTTCAGTTGATCGCAGATTTTGCTGCTTTCAAGGAGTTGTCATGCGAATGTTTGCTTTGCGTATGAATGAATATTCCCAAAAACAGATTCAGCGGTTGTTTGTTGTCTCGATATTATTACTGGCGATACATCCTTGCATCTTACAGTTCAAAGGCTCGAAAACCATGGATAGTGCCCAAATTCCCTGGGGAACAAATTAGATTAGGTGGAGCAATCGACATTTACATGCTCTTTTGTCCATGTCACATATCTGCTCTGTTACTTGACTCGGTATGATTCACGGAATTAGAAGGCAAAAGCTCGGAGATAACGGCTAGTCGGAACCAGCAAGGGGATAGAAAACCTCGTCTATAAACCTCTTCTATAAACAGTTGTAGCTCTCCTGTCTAATTTCCATTCTATAAAGGTCTACTCCTACAATTTGACACTGTACCTAAGTAAAAAGCACCCCCTGTTTGAGTTTGAACTCGCACTTACTTGTCTTCATTCTGTTTTCTTGTGACATTGATTTCAGCCTCTTGTTTTGATTATGCGATCTTACACTACGGCAGCTTGAGGATCCACTCCACAGCCTGTTTCGCTTCTAAATTCATCTCTGCAGTCATGCCTACCAATGCAGTCGTGAAGCGCATTCTCGACGCCATTGAGAAAGATCCCTCCAAAGTGCTAGGCGTCACTGTCAATGGCAAAGCAATCACAACCAAGCAATATATTCCCCGCGCTGGTAAGTCTCACTCTCCTATATTCATGCCAAGTCCACCAAGAATAACCTAACCATCTCCATAGAAGCTCAAACTACTCCTGAGATATTCTATGATGTTTCCAACCCCTCCGCAACCTACATAGTCGTTGCCCTCGATCTCGATGCTCCTTTCCCATCACTTGGATTTCTTGGTCCCATACTTCATTGGATTCAGCCAGGCTTCAAAGTAGGCCAGAACAACATCTTGACTTCCGATGCGCCTTTTATCGCCAACTATATCGGCCCTTCACCTCCCCCAGGAAGTGCTCCCCATCGCTACACGTTCTTCTTATTTGAGCAGCCTGAGAACTTCGATGGCGAAAAGTATGCTCCATCTGCAGGTAAACTTCTTAGTAATTGGTTCCGTATGCGTTACGATTTGGACGATTGGCAGAAGACGGCGCAGCTTGGGGAACCTCTTGCTGTCAATTATTTTTTGAGCAATTAGATACCTTGTTGGGGGGCGGAGAGGCCTGCAAAATTGGGCAAATTGTCGTCACGTCTTCTATCTGTGATGAGAACTGAAGTCTCTCTAATGTTTATCAACCTTGACTTCTTATGCATGATTGGTACTAGAGCCTAGTTTACATATTCGTAGCATCCAATACCAGCTATCATCACCGACCTATCCGAAGACGACGAATTTTGTTTTCGAGCAGGTTGAGTGTATGAGACTCTTCCGAAATAAAAAGCCAGTGAATTGAGTTGCCAGATAGAGATAAAATTGAGTCTAGGCGGAAACAATAAGGTAGTGGCAGCCCATTTTCGACTCGTTGGTCAGTATTTTGGGTTTTTTAGATTAGTAGACCTGTCACATTTGACGACTTTAAGTATCACTGAATATATCAAGACGGCGAACTGGACCTTTATTTGAAATTCTCTTCAGTCGCTATGACTGCAGATAGATTTATATCTGTACTCGATTGCCAATATCGAAAATAAATTCAATATTTCGAGAGACATTCTTCACATTGGTTCTTGTCAGCAACGTCATTCGACGCCTTGAGTTTTGACATCTTGAGTGCTTTGAAGGGGTAGCGATTTGAAATTCAAAAAGATACACCGAGTGTTGCTTTTTCTTTACAATTCGTCCGAAGGCATCGAAGACTAAAGCAACCGTGACTGCAAATGTGTTACATACCATCCTGGGAGTTCTAAACAACTAATCTTTGGTTCGTGCTAATAATCTAACCAACCAATTGCCCATCTTGTCAGTGTCACGATCTTTCCATCTTCGTCCCTACTAAGCGGCGCAACTGCTCTACCTGACACCACCGAAATTCCAATCGCAGACTACGTGCAAAGTGTAGTTTGGCGGGTAGATATTAGCTCTGGCGCAATGAATGTAATCTACAGTACGAACAATACCGCACTCGCTACAAGCGATGTTGATAGAATCCATGTCCAAGGTAACGGCTATCCTTACTTTACCAACACGGATACTGGTAGCTATGGTAGAATACTAGAATACCCATCTGTTCGACCGGCACCGACAGGTGCTGCAACAATTCTTTTCCGGAATAGCACAGTTGCTTTATATGACTTTGCTCTTTATAAGAAAGTAAGCTGTACAGCGGATTTTCAATCCATGGCACCAACGATCGTATTATGTTTATACCAGGAACTAAAGGTACTGAGTGACTTGGTGATAGCCAATATTGATAACCTGACGGCAGCGAATTTTGGGAGAAAATTAAGCAATGCAAATAGCTTGTATAATAGCAAAACGCACAGGAGGAAATACAGATTACGCTATCAATAATGTGCCAGCTAGTCAGATTTTGACGAGAATTGTTCTTTCGGGCCTGAGCTAAAGAGTTGAAGGTTGAGATAGAGTATTATTGAAATATTCTACAACTATCTGACCCCAATGGATGGCTGTATAGTACAGAGCTAGCTTGTATCTCTTCACCGAACACATTCTCTCTGCTAATCGAGGCGGAATTTGCATGGTTGTGTTGACTCCTTGAATGGAATCCATTACTCAATATATAAGGGATAAATCTGCGGATGCTATATATATATCCTTCGCCTCATAAATTTTTTGGGTGCATCTACCAGCGTTTATTTGGATATTTTCCTCAAGCTGAAGATCTTGAAACTCTTCTACCAGGTATGGAATTCTCATTTTCTCGGTCCACCTTGAACATCGAGTCGCGGACAAACGCTTGTGATATTTTAGCGTAGGACGCCTGGAATTCGCAGTCTGGTAGTAGAGTGGGAAAAGCAAGCGCCTGGTTCGGATACGGACGGACTATCCAAACGAAATCGAAAAGAAAAATCCTGGTCTGCCTTAATTTCTGTTGTGCGCCCATGGTTTTCTTGTTTGGGGTTTAAGTTTTTGGAAACGCTTTTTCACAAAGGTCTGGAAATTTGGAAGAAGGTATTGCGGACGTTGTTGTTTCTTGGGAGAAGAAGTGGGATATGGATTGTGTCAAATGGAGATGAGGTGAAAGGTATGGAAGTGAAGCATTCTTTGCGAACAGCGAAATTTTGGTATTCCAAAATCTCTTCATATGAGATCATAGTGATCCCACTTACGGCCGAGAGAGATGTTTGCATGATCTAATCACCCAAGTAACGGGAGAGAGGAATATTCTTGAAGTGATGCACCGGTAGCTTATGTGGAATTCCGCTCTTTCAGTATCTCGCTATTGGTCAAAAAAGATTCTTGCTCGACATATGGCCACGGTAGCCATTCCTTTGGCAAGTCGAAATATTGACGGATCATGGGCAAATATTTGCTGTTGTTCGGACAATACTTCATCCGTTCGAGCTCGCTCATGTTATGAGCCTCGGGTTTGATATATTTGAAACAACCTGTGTGCTCTTCCACATAAGCTTCTAGCTTACTCCAATCACGACAGGTTCGCTCCTGTCCTTCGCCTGGCTTTTGGCCATTGCTGTCTGTCCATCGTGGTGTGTCGTCTGCAGTGCAAATGATTTCGGAACGAAGGGTGGACAAACAATGCAAAACGTGCTGGTGGTTGACGCTTTGTGAAACTCCAGTAGCGTATTGGTCAATGGCAATGTATATTGTACGCTTCGACTAAAGTGAGTATGATAGCCTTTAGATGGAACGAGGTACTAACGAGGCAATGAAGATTATGGTGAGCATTCGTGATGTATATACTTTTAGATGTTGGATCCCAAGGAAAGGGTTGTGACTTGGGTAGTCCAAGCAACCGGGCTACGTTGTTGTCGATAGCAATGATGCCTTTATCCGCGTCTTCACTTTCGTACCATAGCTTGTTTCTCTCAGTATCGTTTGGGTTATTCCATGGGCTATTCCACGAAAATGGTGTTTGAACATCATTTACTAGTCCAGCTATGTGAAAAGATGAGTATGACTACCTGACGGGATGAATCTTGCATGACATACCATACAGAGAGCCGAACTTCGACCCAATTACTTTATAAACTCCAAATTGCATAACAATTAGGATATTAAGCATGACGCTGGCGCCCAAAGTTGTGACCAGGATTATAGTGGTCCACGTTACAGGTATCTTCCTTCTTCCGCTCCATGATGCAAATAGTATTGAGTTGCGCTTTGTGTTGATATCACATGGTTTTCGGCCACAAGTGAGATTATCAGTAGATGATTCTTCATCCTGGAGAGCATGATATGTTGGCTCCGACATTCTATTCATATCCTTTTGAATTGAAGGTTCAATCCGACGATAGGGATGATGGCTGACTGTGGATCATTTTCCATATCGTAGAAAAGACGGTCGTTGACGTTATTTGACTGATTAGACATCGTTGATGTTGATCTACGGGTAGATATCAATTATCTATCATTCAAAAGCTAGGGCATACTCCACTTTCACTTGCAATGAGTCTAATAAGTTTTTAAGCGGGTTCCGCTTCGATACATTCCGCCAAGACTTACAGTACCCGTTGAACAGGAAGAATAAGGACTTGCAGTATGCTGAGTCAGCACACTTGTATTTTCACCAATTTTCAGACCTTTCACAAATAATTCACACTTGGTGACGATAATATTACACTGCCCATTCGCCCGTTGGCTCTACCCTCAATAGCTTAACATGTGCAATGAAGCTTGCGAGCATACCTATGTATCAGTTGTAACAATTGGAATCAAATTCGAGGTTCCTTTACAGAACCTATTGAAGCCCTGTGGGTCACCGTAACCGAGTAAACAGGGGTTACTGTGGTATAAGCTTCATTGGCTGGAGCCTTCAGAATGAACGCTTGGCATACATTTTTCTCACTTGTCTGCTAGGGACAAATCTGCATCCAAGGGTTCGTTAGGCACAGTGGGGTTTTATCTGTTGCAACTTCAAAGTATTAGGAACCATTCGTATCATCACCCAGTACATTCCCCGTAGGGTGTAAGTACACCCAAATAGTCTACTGTCTACTCGCTCCGAGACCAATTCCCACAAAATTATCATGGGTATGAACGTAATGCATTGTGATCGACTAGTAGTGCAAAAATATAACTTCAAAGCGGTACGTAAAAAGAGACCAATAAGAGGTATATGTACTGTATATTGAAACTCTCAGCCTACCATGATGATGTAAGGAGCAGGCCGCCTACCTCGGTGCTTTGAAGATATATACGGTACATACACCAGAGGCTAGCTAGAATTTATAGCGCCCCATGCAGTCATACAGCTTGTTGAAATACCCCAATGGTTCTCAACCATGAAGAAGTGGCACAGAATGGTACCCGTCTAAACTCAACTAACTGGGTTTGGAGCGAACCGCATTGGTCTAGCTGCAGATCATGTCAGACAGATGAATGGATGATATGATTGAAGGAATTCTGAAAATGGAGGTGATTCTGGTTCCGTATTTGTACATTAGCGTTTAAAACTAGACTGTATATAGCCTGGCTTCGTCCAAATACGGTTCGCTCCAAACCCAGTTAGTTGAGTTTAGACGGTAGTCTCGTAGTTGCTTTATACCCAGAAAAGAATTGAGGGAGATTTCGGAGCGATTAAATCATTTTGTGAGGGCGGCATCTCTATATCTATATAGGAAGTTCCCGCCTTCCGGACGTAAACATTTACCAGAAATCACCATTCAGACCACACGCAGTCTCACTAAAAGTATTCGGAATTCTCCTTGCACAGTTCAAACATATTCAGAGTCTCAGATCAAGTAAATATTCCTTGTCCGTTCAAATTTCATTCAAGCTTTGAAACTCAGCTCAATTAATATAGAAATCATGCAATTCCAATTTCTTCATCTCGCGAGCATGGCTCTCATGTTCACCCTTGCGGCTGCTGCCCCAGCTAGTGAGTTATCCTGTCAACCTGATTTTTCATACAAAATGCATGGCATAGCTGACACATAGTTGTAAAGGCGTCGTTATGAAGACGGGTGTTGCCATTCCAGTGGTAGGCGAGGCTTTTGAGAATGGATATCTTGATGAAGACACCTCATCAGCATAGAATTGTCAGGAGGTTGGAATATTTTTGGTTTTTGGAAGGGGTCTGTTTGAAATTAATTGGTTCTTAAAGAAGGACGTTCCAGAATGGAAGGATCCAGAAACGCATAGAGTAGCTACTGAGTGTTTCAAATGCTGAAAGTAACTTGATGGATATTTCTGCTTGGATTACTTCTGCTCAATCGATCATCCCAGTGAAGCTGCTATAATAAAATAGTTTAGCTATCAATGCTATTTTTCTATGCTCATTAATAGCGCTTACTTTCATTGTCAAGTGATAAGATGGCTGTTCCCGTTTTTGGTGTCCTTGTATGTTACATCATGAGTAGAAAGGCATCCTCAACAATATGGTGCAATTCTGTACGTGACATTATCATAGCATTACCGGGGTCCGATCACTACCTAATTTATTTGATCCTAGTAACCACAAAATCCAACACCATATCGCCCGGTTCCATCCATGCGGAATCTTTCGCATCCCACCCCATATCTTCCCACGTTCTCAACCACGCCTCACTTCTCCACTCAGTCCCCGTTTCTTTCCCTACTTCATCCCACATTTCCACCCAACTTTGCACATTGTGTCTCCACTGCGGTATTTGCAACGCTTTATTTAGAACTTCTTTGTTTTCTACGTTACCAATTTGATGTCCGACGATCAGAGCAGCCGGTCCATTTGTGTATGCCACTAATTTAATGGCACATGCTAATTGGTCCACGTAGTTCCACTGATGCAAAACTGCTGAAATAGAGAGGATGGAGAAGGATCCTAAAAGTTGAAGGAGGGGGCTAGGCTGAGATTCTGGAGGGGTGGTGATCGAGGCAGCAATGAAGTGCGCTCCAAAGTGAGAGCGATCATTGAAGAGGGAAAAGCCCACATCCCAGTGGCTTACTATGTCGATGCCATATAGGTTCGTAGAGGGTGCACCATCGAATACTAGGCGGCGGAAACTAATAATTAAAGCTGTTAGCACGTTCTAAATTTACGAATAGTACGTTGTTGAAAATAAATTAGGTGAACCGATATGCTCTGGCTTTTCTACTATAGGTAGTAGATCTGGAGAAAAGAACAAGAGACTGGAGACAAGAAGCATCATACGTACTCTCCGCCTAAGAAACAACCAATATCAAGCAACTTTTCCCCTTCTCCAAGCTTTTGAAGGATAACTGGATAAGCAGGGGATCGGGAGATGTAAGGTACTAGGAAGACCCCAAGGCCCGTGCATGGATAGGAGCGGATTGCCCAAGCCTGATCTCTCTAGTTTATAAACATATTAGTTAAGGTTAAACATGAGAACTCAAGGGAGATAGAGAGATACATACAATTTCATGCACGTGTTTTGATTGTTCTTCTCGTGGTATGTTACTATATTCCTCGAGGAGTTTTTGTGTCTGAATAGTTCTTTGCTGTTAGAAACCAAGTATATGTACAATTGTATAGTGTATTAGGGAAACATGCTTCTGGAAGCAAATGCTTATCGATGCTTGGTAAATGCCAGGGGTAATCTGTCTTCTTCTTCTCAGAATTTGCGTAGGCCGGCTCCGTATGAGACGGTTCAGCTGCCGGTATAGTAGAGGAAGAAGCCATTATGTTCGGAGAATGCGAAGATTTGGGTACTGGTAAGGCACAAGTGTAATGGAAAGACGGTGGGTTGAGGAAGGCAAATAAAGAAGACGGCTTGAAGATTCCCACAATATAGAAGGTTGTCTATAATATCTAAGGATAATCTTATCAAACTATATCCGAATAGTACCATACCTGCATTTCACCCCAGTACATACCATCGCTACTGTAGATGCCTACTGTACACATGCCTGCTATGCAAACTAAAGATGGGGTGGTTTTGAGCGGAGATACATCCCCATCCGACAGTTTTAACAAATGAGGCCGTGATTACCTGCAAATCCTGCCTAATCAAAACTATACTATCTGGATCAAAACAATGGCTTCTCTCTTCCAGCTTCGCAAGAGCATTTGTTGAATATAGGACTGTAGATTCTGTCACAGAGAAGGTTGAAGCGAAGTTCATAAATGTGATAATTGGGTTGACCCGCCGAAACACTATTTCCGGCGGCCGCTAGTGCTTACCTGCATTCACAATCTCTCGACGACAAGTCCTCAACCAGCTTTTGACTTTTACTCCACAACTGCATGATTTCACTTTAGCCGCAATTCTTGTTAGTCTTTCAATGATGTACAATTTTCCCCTCTAGTTCCGGATATGTATATCACGAAAAATCGTCACAAACGCTATTATTTACACAAATTATCACAATACAGCAAGTGTACTTGGTTGTCTTAATTTTGGCCAGTCTCCTCCCATTCAGCTACCACCTTCCAGTCAAGCACACAATACCTTGCCTGTCCCTTTATCTTTGGCTACAGGCTAGACATGGTCACCGGCTACCGAGATCTCCTCAGATCTCAGGATCCGATCATCTGGAATGTTCGAATCATGATGTGTCTCCGTATCGTGACCAATATGTGTGCTTCGATTTGCGCTTGAGTCGCCAAAGATTTGCAACTCGTGGCTTTCGCTGGAATGTAAGCCTCTTGAGCCTTTACTGTTGTCGCGGCTGCGAACAGACGCGAGGGAGAGTTTGGAGCGCACGCTATTTACAATAGATTCGGGCATCCGAGAATTGAGAAGTGGTCGGAGTGTTGGGAGGCAGGCCGCGATGATGCCTACACCAGCTTCGACATAACCCCAGAGCATGACGTTGGTCTCTTCACCTGAATAAATGAGTTAGATTAGCTTGAAGAGCTACTGACATAGGAAGATTTAGGTTGTACCTCTAAGATTTCGGGCTCCTGTGGTTGTTTTGTAAAGATCATCATAAATGAAGACAATTCGAGCTGTGGCTGCAGCAGTGGAACTAATCGCACATTAGTCAAAGCCGACGCGGACAGTTTTCAAAGGTGCGTACATATAACCCAACACGAAGACACACATTAAGCTAAGCTTTTGCGACATGGTCATCTGCAATTTCCAAATAATCGGCAGTGGAATGAAAAGCACGAGCAAATCAGTAGCAACATCCGAAGTCGCATGTCCAAGCTGAATGTACTTGTAGTCTGCACAATAAGTTGCTACAGCTTTAGGACTCGACCAGAGCCAGCTCGGTTTGGTCCCGCATTGGAATATGGTTGCGAAAAAGAATGATACTGACCAGCCCACTACGATGGTCATGGCTATGATGGATACAATGTTGAATATCTTGCCAATAAAGATACGGCGGAACAGTATCAAAACACTCAATTTCAAGAGACCGTAGGTGACAATCGAAATGACTTGAGAGAGGAAAGCAATCTATAACCATCAGCGAGACCGTACGAACAAAGAGAAGCATGTGTGTTGAATCCTCACATGTGAAATTTCGACCTCATGGTGCGTCACAATAATAGCACCTGTCTCAGGATTCTGCAAAGTAGTTGTTCCGACAGTACCTCTTGCAGTTCCTGGAAAGACGTCAGTAACAAAACAATGATATCAGGATAAATCACACGAACCCCAAATGATGATGATAGCTTGGGCATACGAAAGGAGCTGTATTAGATGGAGTTAGCAGACCATTGAGCTGCGTCGCCAGTGGAAACCCTCTTATGCTGATAACACATCCATACATACCAAAGCAACCGAAATAAAAAGATCATCGAAACCAAGTTTAGCCTCCTTGATCTTTCGAATCGTCATTCGCAGCCCAACAGCTATCGTGGAAGCAATTAACAGAATAACGGACGCTGCATAACAGCCAGCCTGATTGGCGTATGCCATTATTGCCTAGTAGAAATATCAATGATTAAGGTAGAAATCTAAAAGGCTAAGAGCTATGAAAGAAGAGCGACGGTGGAACTCAGACTTTTCGACAGAGTAAATAATGCTCTCATGATGGGTTTGTATGGGCACTTTACCTTCCAAAGGAGGTTGATCCATCATGGGATGAGCAGGCCGGTGTTGCTCGGTAACGATTATTGGCATATCGATTATGGATCTGCCCCGAGTGCACCTGCTGCTGCAACGACCTAGGGTAGCACAGTTTGATTGGCACCGGGCAAGCTTTATCCGAGACGGGGCCGTTAATTGGTTCGGTACCCTTGTTTCGCTTATGGGGCGAGCGGGGGTAAGGAGATTTCCTCTTCCCCGGTTCTTTACCGAAAAATATGTTGAGGATGAAGTTCCTACACAATACGACTACAATCTCCCGCTACTTTCTATCTTTCTCATAGAAATCCTTCGTAAGTTCGTATATCGGTAGTGCTGTACCAATATGGTTTCTTTCGCCAACAGTGTGTATGTTTATTTGTATTCTTGTCCTTGTCTTGTTGCTGCACTACTGTTAAATGCATTTCTTCACCACAATAGTGGGGTCATGCATATGCAGCGTTCCCTGTCCGGTGCCCCCGAATAATACCCTTCACCTAGTTCTGCAGCAGCAGCATCCCAATCCATACATTTGCTTTGTCATTTACCCTACCTGTTCTCGTCATTATCGTCAATATTCGATTGGAAGTTTTGATTGGAGCGGGTCCGAAGACTTCTTTCTGGAATTACACCGTCAATATCTCGCTTAGACTTGAGGTTTTACCAAAGTCAGAGTCTTGCGATGTGGTATGATAAGATGAGAATCGTAAGATGCTGAATCTATAGCAAGGGGCTCTAGATCTTAGGGATTTATGCAATACAGTAGTGCTGTGCTTCCTAAGGTGGGACGGCCTCAAATATGTGGCATTGTCTAGAAGGATATTTCATTCAAGAAAAAATGCATGGTAAAAACAGAGATTGCGGTGGGTCTATATTATCCCAACGGGTAGCCCAAATATGAGCTGTGAATGATTCGATTTCGATCGTGTGCTGATGTAATTTCCCAGTGGATATGCTCATGAACCTCGATTAAAGTTTTTCGGACTTCTCATTTATTTTACGTGGTCTTGAATACCCAGGAATCAACGTGAAGGAATATTCAACCATGTCTCTCCCCAAAGCAATGTATCAGAAAGTGGCGCACGACGACCTCGAAAATGAGGATCAATCTCCGAATTCATCTGCCTTCGCACCTCGGAAGTCCTCACCCATCCGACTTATCGTCCTCTTTCTGTTATTCGTATTCTCAAATACTCTGACCTGGTTTATATCTACGAGATTGACGACAAAGTACCAAGGAACTTATACCGATCCACCTACTCCATATGGTAGGCTACCTAATATTACCATGCCTGTTTATATCTCTATAATTTCCGCAGGGTACTGACCTTTTTGTTCTGCTCAATAGCCGGTCTCACCAGAGAAATCACCGTCCCCATGGACGGCCATGATGCCTATACCGACCGCAATGAAACGTTCCGCGATGAGCTTTGGCTAAATATCAATATCGACGATGGCATGATCGCCCTCCCCGACGAATACGTGGAAGAAAAAGGATTATTAGAAGCGCAAAGGTTTCCATGGGATGACCAAAAGGGAATATATCTCCTACATGGGCACCACAATCTCCATTGTGTCGTGAGTGTCCATATCCGATCCATTGATCCATGGCCCCCATTCGTCATGTATAGTTTCAACCATCGACCATACAGCTAATAATCCCAAAACTAGCGAGCAATCTACATATCCCTAATGGAATACCGCACCAACGCCCCCCAATCTCGCAACACGCGCCACATAATCCACTGTCTAGACGAGCTCCGCCGCGACACCCTCTGCCACGCCGACGACACTCCCCGTCTCACGACCAACAACTCCATACCCGAAACAGGACACGGTCAGTTCAGACAATGTCGTAGCTGGGATAAGTTAAATGAGTGGGCCCAGCAGTACAATGCTTGTTATCGGTACATCAACGAGACGCAGACGCCCGACGAGTTTCCCCAGATTCAGAGGTTTGTGTGGTGTCCAGAAGGGAGTCCGTATCGGAAAGAGGTCGAGAAGGTTTTTGATGTTGCTTGGTAGTAGGTTAATGGGGAGATGGATCTGTCTTAGTTCGACGTTTGAAAATATATTAGGGATCTGGGTGTTTAGCTTCTGCTTATTGTGATTTTAAATTACCGGTTAGACTGTAAAAGATTCGGAATCCGTAAGATCAGTCACCATTTATGCAAATCCTCTAAGTCTCACGCAATATTCAATTTTGGTGTCGTCTGATGCTTATGAGAGGGACTTTCGTGGATGGAGAGTACGTGTATTCGACTCGAGTGTATAGATATAGTGAAGAGGAGGGGGAAGCGAATGTGACAAAAGAGGGATATAGAAGATAAAACATGTGCTTTGGGAAAGAGTAACAGTAACTATTTACTATTATTCAGAGGACGAGTAGACATTTTGACAAGCTCATTATCAGCCTAAAATATTATAAATACTGGCACGATACAGAGATAGTATATAGTGATGTTGAGGTTAATATTACATCACCAACATTGAAAATTAACTCTTTTCACCATGGATGAATCTATTCATAATACAGTATATCTCACAGAAATCACATGACAATGACATAGTATAAACATATTTCTCAGCCAGCATCCCGAGTAGACACTACAAACTCGCCTTCTTTCTCTCCAACCTATCTATACTCATAGTATTTTGTATCTGTATCTATATCATCCCTCAACCTCAAAAAGCCCTGCTGGAGTTTGTCTTCTTAGAGTACCGGTATTGTAGATCTTGTATTTGCGAATTATTGAGTTATTGACTTGGAGAGAGCGAGAGAGTACTCGTATTTGTAATGGATGATAGGTAATAGGCAATAGGCAATAGGTAATAAATACTCGAGTAGGATGGGAGAATTATATATATATACGAGTGTAAATAAAAATCTCTCTACTTCTCTACTACTCTCTGATCTACAACGAACTCAGACTCGCAGATTTACAAAAGAAAACCTCAAACTCAAAACTCAAATTTCAGAGATCTACTCCGAGTACACATTGCGAGAGCCGAATGTACGCTGCGCACTGCGCACACAGCACAGCATGTACAGCAACTAATCACTAATAATACCATACAAAAACGACTTCTTCTGGAAAGCGGCTCCCACCCTCATCGAAAGAATACTCGAGGCTGCGTAATTTACGCGTTGTCCTGATACTTGTATTTATTTTAGTGACGGGCGGCTTGTTTGTTCGCAACATATTTTCTCTGGCAGGCGTTTTTTGTAAAGAGATGTCACGATTTTGCTGCACGTTACCGTCACGATACTGTGGGGGAATTTATACTCATGTTGCTTCCATGTGGTCTTCTAATATTCCGGCGACCCTCTAGTTCCTAGTCTATATTCGCTTCGTCTTCATAACCCATAACCCTTACCCTATGTCTACCCTACCCTGACTCTACACATCACCATCATGCCCCGAAACATTCCTTCTCTCTAATAAACATAAGCATTTTGTGCCAACGGCAACCACTCGGCCGCCTCACAAACAATATGTACACCATCAGCCTCCACCCTATAATTCTCCGGATCAACCTTCATCTTCGGCATCTGATCATTAAATTTCATATCCCTCTTCCCAATCGTCCTGCAATTCTTCACTGCCTCCACACGTTTTTTCAGACCATAGGTTGCAATCGTACCCGAGGAAATTGACGACTCGGAGACGAAAAGGATGGAGGTAGAGGGGACGAGGGGTGCAAACATAGGGCGGGAGATGATGGGTTGGACTGTTGGGATGGAAGCGTTGGGATCACCCTGTCAGATTTCGTTAGCGAAAAACTTGAGAATGAAGGGGGTGGGGTTTGATCTACCATCTGAGCATAAGCGATCAAACCACTCTTGATAATGGTCATGGGTTTTGTCCCAAACCAAGCTGGATCCCAAACGACAAGATCCGCGATCTTTCCAACCTCCACGCTACCAATAACATGACTCATTCCTTGAGCAATTGCTGGATTAATAGTGTACTTGCTAATGTATCTCTTCACTCGGAAATTGTCTGCGTCGCTCCCCATATCTTCTCCGAGAGTACCACGTTGAACTTTATTTTTGTGGGCTGTGTTCCATGTTCTCATGATAACTTCTCCACAGCGACCCATTGCTTGAGAATCAGAAGACATCATACTGATTGCTCCTAGGTCATGGAGTACATCTTCGGCTGCAATAGTTTCAGCACGAATTCGAGATTCTGCAAAGGCGACATCTTCGGGAATGTTCTTGGAAAGGTGATGACAAACCATAAGCATGTCTAGATGCTCATCAAGTGTATTTCTAGTATAAGGTCTCGTAGGATTAGTAGAAGATGGGAGAACATTTGCATGCTCAACAACACTAATGATATCAGGTGCATGACCACCACCGGCACCTTCAGTATGATAAGTGTGAATAGCACGATTTTTGAACGCAGCAATCGTAGACTCAACAAAACCTGACTCGTTTAAAGTATCGGTATGAATCAGACATTGAATATCGAATTCATCGCAAACAGTAAGACAGGAATCAATAGCTGAAGGTGTGGTGCCCCAATCTTCATGTAATTTGAGACCACAAGCTCCAGCAATGACTTGCTCACGAAGTGCTGTAGGATCACTATCATTTCCTTTGCCTGTAATGCCAATATTCACTGGTAAAGTATCACAAGCTTGAAGCATTTGTCGCATATAATTTTTCCCTGGGGTGCAAGTTGTAGCACTCGTTCCAGCGCTATTCACTTATTAGATAGCATATCACAGATGTTTATTTTTCACTTACCTAGGACCAGTTCCGCCGCCTAGCATTGTAGTAATACCGGATGAGATAGCTTCATAGACTTGTTGAGGGCAGATGAAGTGAATGTGAGTGTCAAAGCCACCGGCGGTAATGATCTTACCTTCCCCAGCAACAACGTCGGTACAAGATCCAACTATCATGTTCGGACTGACACAGTCCATCACATCTGGATTACCAGCCTTACCAATACCTACTATTAAACCATTCTTGACACCGATATCGGCCTTGTAAATACCGGTCCAATCCACGATTAGGGCATTGACAATGACAAGATCCAGTGATATTTCGTCAGATACGCCGGTAGCCTGGCCCATACCTTCTCGCAGACTCTTGCCGCCGCCAAATTTACATTCATCTCCATAAGAAGTCAAATCCTTCTCGACTTTGATCCAAAGATCTGTATTACCCAAGCGAATGGTGTCACCTACTGTTGGGCCGAACATAGTTGCGTATGCCGTTCTATCCATTTCAAATATATCGATATAAGCAGCATCACCACTTGGCTCAGAGGTATGTGCGAATCCTGCTTCTTGTAGATTGACCAAAATTTCATCCACTCGAGTAATATCTACTTTGCCAGTAGCAATATGATTTCCACCTCGAATGATTTTGTTTCCACCGATTTCAACCAATGTGACGGTTTTGGTATCTCCAGGTTCGAACCGAACTGATGTGCCAGCCGCAATATCAAGACGGTAACCATATGCCTTTATGCGATCGAACTCGAGTTGAGGATTAGTTTCGATAAAATGATAATGTGACCCAATCTGTAAAATCAGTAAACAGTTATAACTCTGCAATTCTTCGACTCACTTGAATTGGCCTATCACCCTTACTCGTCACCCTTAACTTTGTTCTCTTCCTTCCTTCATTCAGCTTGACCTTACCCTTCACGGTGATTAAAGCACCCGGACGTTTAGTCGATTCGTATTCCGCATCCAATGGCAATGGAAAAAGCTCCATTTCCGGAATTGGCAGAAAACTTCCATAAAGCGCTTTTGCCAAATCTCCATCATCAGTACTAATAGGATGATGCACCGTCACCAAGTATGTTCCGGTTGGAAAAGTTCCTTCGACCATAAGTTCTGTGAGAGTCGAGCAAACCGCGGGGTGAACATGACGACGCCCGAGCATTGTTGCGCCAATTGACATGAGATCTGCGACCGTATGGTTTCCATCACGAATGAGCTTTCAAGTCGTCAGTTCGTACTCTTCTTCCTTCTAAGGGGGAAAAGAAGGTTGTCGGACCTCTTGAAGATTGTTTGCTATAAGTGCCTTGCATCAAATTATTAGCTATGTTGATTAGATAAGACCTTGAACGATTAAAGAGACTCACAACTGCTTCGGAGTGATTTAGCTTTACTCCTCGCGCAAGTCTTCTCTGTGCCAGCAGACCAAGCTGGGAAATGGCTAGCTTATCTATCTGTTTTTCGGATGAAGAGAATTAACTTTTCTTGCTTTTGCGCTGCTGCGATAAGGCCGTATACTTACTTCCTTGGGTATGAGATGCATTTTTGAGTCTGCTACCAATATCTTATCGAATCCGAGTACCTGGATGTGGGCAATTGCATTTAGTAACGTTTTGACAATATAAATTGGAGCTCTTGAAATGCTCTCAATTTCTGGTAGAAAGTTTAAAGATAAGATAAGTTGATAAGATAGCTTGTGACAGGGAGGGATGTACATGTATGTGTCAATGAAGCTTGGCAAAGTCGAAAACACAAAATCAAACTACTCGAAGTACTAGGTAGGTAGGTATTACTAGATAACTCATCAAATAATTCTTTGCTTTGTAATAATTACACACAAAAGTAATCTTGGATAAATTATATCATTACATCGTCTTCTCTACAATTTTCTTTTCGACAATCTATGATATATACCACATCTTCGGTGACAGTATTCCACAGTAATTCCATACAATACGCCCAAAATCCCAAATGATTTAATGGTTGGTATCTCTTCCCAAAACACCAATTCCTGACTGAACCTCAATACCTATTCCTTTTACTCGTAAAAGCACACTATATGCAAGGTATAAAACTCCAGGATCTGATAGAAGTACCCATGCTACGCTGAAATGCACATCAATTCGTTAATATTTACAATTAGAACCCCTAAGAATAGCCAGGGAAAGCTTTCGAGAATGCTCGACGCCCTATCGTGGCTCGTTAGTTTTGAAAGAGGATGAATTTGAGATGTGCATACAAAGTGGTTGTTGCCTCGTGTAAACCAGATCACGGTCCTCTATTGTGGGTTGCTGTGCTGCTAGCTCGCGGATTCGTTGCTGAGCTCTTTCCTGTCGAGAAAGTCCCTCTTGTAACACCTCCACGCCCAGTATGCTGTTAGCCTGCGACTGCGCAGGTACTGCACTAGTCATAAGTGGAAGTCCTGTGGAAATTGGTAGTCCGACCATCATTTGTGAGTTGTTTGTAGGCACTGTGGAGGTGCTAAACATTCTTCTTTTCAAGCTAGAGGCTAAGTTTCGGGCAAGGAATCTTGAATGACCAGCCTCATCATCATGGTTGTCCTCTTGAATAATGATGCGAGATCTCAATCTTCTCATATTCCTTTCCCTATTGACCATTGAATTGGTGATCTCTAGTGGGCATTGCCCCACAGGCAAGACACTCTTCTTGCACATAGGACAGAGTGAACTATTGTTACTAAGAAATGGATCAATACATTCCGGGTGGAATATGTGGCCACAGGGCAACTCGCGAATTGGAGTATTGCCGCTTTCGAAATCATCTAAACAAATAGGACAAATTGGTTGGGAAAATGGTACAACTCGCTGTTCCAGGCGTGAGATGGAAAGCGATGGACTTTCTAAGTCAGGTATAACAACTGGCGACAGTGCCTTAGATGTCGAATCATCGCAAATCGAGATTTCGTTTTCTTCTGCAAGCGGTCCTTTATCAGAAGGGATCTGCCCGATTGTGGTTGAGTCTCTGTGCGCGACAGGAAACTGTTTGCCGTCAAAATTATATGTGAATATAGGCATTTTATCGATAATATCTTGTGGTACGGTAAGCCGCTTGATACCCAGTGTCTCCAAGTTTACTTCTCCGTTTTCCACTCGTCTCCGTAAAGCCTGTCTTCGGCGCCTCTGGAGATAATGCATGGAGCCGGAAGTGACGGTTAACATGACAGCCAGCGCGGCTACAATAATCAGCAGAAACTCCCATAGGCTAGGCAGATTTGTGCCATGAGTCACGCTCAGCTGAGTATACACTCGTACATAATCTCGAGGGTCGACACCGGGGAATGTTGAGAGCTCATGACCATATGGCACGTCGGTAAGATTGCCAGAGTACAGACTTATTTCGCGCATCATCCGCGCTCCAACGCTTCCAGGAATGGCATATACCGGATATTTATTTGTAGTCTTCCATGATCCACCATCTTCAAGTGCCCACTCCTCGGAACTAATCGGAGGTGGTTGAGTTGTGCTATTATCTGGTTGATAGAAGATGAAAGCTCGTACAGGGTCTTGTCGTGCAGCAGCTAGATAACCTTTTGTACATTCTATACTGATCCAAGGTGCCAGCGCAATCAGTGTAAAATCCGTTGCGGGGAGGTTGGCTCGTCGAGTAACGTTTGAAGGGACATATTGTTCTGAGATATTGTAGCATGTGTGTTTCTGGTCGAGATCCGGCACGTAAAGAAAGCCGCCTATAACACCGCTGGCATCTGCATTATGAGTTGATAACGTTTGGAGATTGTCGGATATAAATTCGGCATAGGAGACATTAGGCTATCGACTTGATTTAGATTGGTACTTCCACTATAGATCTTCATAACATACACTCAATTGAGATATAACGCTCGTGAGCTGATCGTCTGTGGCAATGTCACTCCATTCTTCATTGGGGAAGAGAAGACTGTAATGGTAGTCAGTAAACACCGAGTCTTGAAAGTATAAGAGTTTGTGTTGATTGATCGCATTGAGGTGATGAAGATGAAGATGAAGAGGAAAGGGAGAGAGGGAGATTGATGATGATGATGATGATGATGATAGAAATTGATGATTCTCGATTCTCGATTTTCAAATCTCAAACCTCAAACCTCAATTCTCAGCACAAAACACGACCTCGTATTCAGTAAAAGAATCAAAGAGGCGGACGAGAGGGACATTGAAACTTGAATGTACACATACACGAAATTATCGAGTTCATTTAAAGCTTTCATAAAGAATTGTCAGTATATATATAGATAGATGTAGATATGAAGATATGACCCTTTCAAGGACTTATGGGGAGCCAAGAATGTCAACATCTCGGCGCCAAGCACCAAGTACCAAGCATCTTTGAAAAAGCTGGGGGATCAGGTAATCTGATCTGGCCGTGGGAACTGGAAACTTACACATTTTATTGCGCAGGATCTATTGCACCGGGCAAAGACCCTTCGGCGAACGGAATGGGTTATTGGAATTACCATAAGCTGAATTGGAAATATAATTTATAAATTTTTTATTTTTTTGACAATTGTTGAAGGAACTGATCGTTCAATGAATGCATTTTCGTACAAGTTAGTTAGTTACTAGGTAGGTACGGGAGCCAAGGAAGCCAAGGAAGCTGGCATGGGCGGCTAGCGAAAAAGCTTGATTCTCATGTCCGCCAGAAAGTCTGCATCTCGGGAACTAAAACTGAGTTTGGAGAACTCTAGTATAGGTAATCTCAGCTCTCAGACCCCTCGTGTAGAATAACTGATTTACCACTTTTATCGATAAACTGTAATTATTTTAGTACTAAAATGGCTTACAGATTTACTGATGTGGGGTAGTTTATCTAAGATCTTATGATTATGTAATCGCCGTGGGTAAAGTATAGGTAGTTTTTTCCTCATTATATTCCCGGCTTGAAATCAAAAGCACGTGACTTTGATAACCTTGGCAGATATTCTACAAATCTCGGCAAGTCTCAGCGAATTGAAAAGAATAAAAGAACATCCCGTTGACTTATTGTTTTCTTGTACTACTTTAACTTCTATTTGTACAAACTCACTCTGTACTCTCTTCCTATTTGAATTATATATTGATTAATGGTGGTTATCATAAGAACTTCTGATCTACCACCATTACTATCTCCACCACCCTTCCCATCTATCAATCTTGAACACCAAATCTTCCACGAAATGAGCGAAGATGCAAACGAGCCAGCACAAAGTTCTACAAGTTCAATTTCTTGAAGCGAACTACAAATTCGAACTTTGTAAAACGAATGGTGATCAACAAACGAATCTTGATATCTCGAATTCAAAGACTGTTACTATAAAGGTTACTGCTCAGCAAATCAATCAACATGGAAACAATCGCATGTTCATCTGTCGATATCTTTCAGCCAATGATCAAGACCAAGATCAAGATTCCGATCATAACAACGACTCGAAGCCTCCCAAGATATTTATTGCCAAAGAGTTTGGGGATAATAAAGATGAACTTGATACTTATGAGCGTCTCGCATCTTTACAAGGCGTTTATATTCCTAAGTGCTTCGGGGAAATTTGTTGGAAGGATGAAGATGAGACAGTACATCAAGGGATTGCACTTGAATTTTAAGAAGGATTTCGATGCCTGAAGGATACTGATGCCGAAAACGATCTTATGTATTACAAATACAAAAAGGCTTTGGAAGTTATTGGAAATAAAGAGATATTTCATGGGGATATTGCATTTAGGAATCTTATGTGGTCGGAGAACAGAGGTGTAAGGATTATCGATTTTGAGAACGCGAAAATGGAGACTGAAATATTAATGAGAGGTGGAAATTCGGTTCAGCGACAAAACTTTATCGATTTGAAATGTCTTTTCAAAGTGGAGGATAACGATATCATTCGTGAGAATTTGCCAATCAGATTTACCAGACAGGTATTGGAGCCACCTGTTTTGTCAAAGGAGATGCTGGAACGATACTGGCTGGACCGGAAGATAGGTGAACGATTGGAGGAAAATTAGCATCGTACTTGGAAGATTGTGGTGTACTTTCAAAAGGTTGATTGTAAGTCAAACCATAACCCTCTCGTACTCTACCCCAATTTTGGAGTATCTAACGCTTTGTTCACATCGACAAGGTACCATCAGTATTCTCCATCAATGAAGCGTCTTTTATATCCAGCTGGATATTCCCAATATATGTGTTCTCCCTGAACCCAATATGGTAATTCATCGTAATATTGAAAGAGTCGCTCATATCCATTCTTATTCTAATCGTCGCTTTTTCGACGGAGCGTAGCAACTCTGACAGCTAACTACTGTAGGGGTCCGTGCGAAGGCGGTGAAAGGTGGATATAGTACTGGAGCAGGGGTGATGATATGAAATTCAGGTCTAAGCAAGGTAATTGCCAGGGTGCAGTTATAGAAACTCTCTAATCACACATCAAGATCTCAACTCTACCCTACATGAGGCGCTAACCGGATGCGTTATCTTCAGATTCGGGTCGGAAGAACCATCTCCGAAGCACTGAAGATAACGCATCCGGTATAGCGCGGTATGTGCACGGACCCCTACAGTAGGTTGCTGTCAGAGTCTCTACGAGACGAGGAAACCTCAGAATGGCTCATATCCATCAAGATTCAAACGTTGTGCACGTTCCGCTATAAACCTCCGGAACAACCTTCTACCTAGCCTTCCTTATCTGATATAGACTAGCTCCATTAGTTTAGCCAAGCAAGCATCAGTCAACTCCTACTCAACTTCACTTCTGACAGGAACGTAAAGAACGTCCTGACGAGTCGACGTTGATATTGGTCCACAACTTCCAAATTCAATATGATCGTCGTTGCTTACTAGTATTTAATAGTTTTTACAAATTAAATTGCTCCCGAGACTCCTCATACTTACACGATAGACTTACGATTTGATATGAACAATGTTCTAGAGTCTTGAAGTCCAGTTTTAAATCATCACTCATGCGCTTGCGCCTCTGATTAAAATGCCTCCTATGCCTGGTCAAAATGGAACAGGAAAGAAGAGTCGAAATCCGCGTCAATCTCGCAGTCGAAATACGACACCTAGTCTAGTTGATGCATCGAGCTCTGTTGCGCCTCCCGATATCGGGAGAACTCCCTATACCCAGATTCCAATCAGTATCCTTCGGACCTCTGTAGCAGATGAGATTGCCGAGCAACATGCTTCCACGATCCCTAACTCAAGAGAGCTCGAGGCTCTCATGCAACGTATGGAAAGACTGGCCGCCAGCGTAGATGAACGAGCTGCTGTATGTGACAAAGGGATGCGTCTTTTGGCACAATCAAGAAAGGAGAGGAACGAGGAACTCGAGATCGAAAAGCGGGACGAAGAACTCAAAGAGAGAATGAAAAGAGACCTGGCAGAAGAAGAGGAACGGGGGAGACGTAAGGCACATAAGAACAAAAAGAGGAAGGACGTCAGCAGTGCTAGAGAAGAAAGGCCATTGACTCATGGTGCCCATGGTTTGGCACCACAGGATGGATCTAATATTGGTACGTTGTCAATTTCAACTTTTGATATGATTATCATCAGTACTGCATCAGTCCCCTTTGCTGCAGAGCGTATCTCGCTAATTCAATTCACTAACAGAGGTTGCCGTTCCGAGCCGAGATTATACACATAAACATCATAGGAAAATCTCAAAAGAGAGAGATAATGATTCTGTAAGCTCATCGCTTTCACCACCCGCGCCAGCAACACCATCTGCAAGTATGAATATCGATGCAAAACAAAACGGCGCCGTCGAGGATGAATCTAGCTCCGATGAACATCAACCTCCTCCCGCGGTCAAGATTCCCAATTATCAGACTTTTGGGGCGGATCCCTCCACCTTCCCGGATCCAACGATCTACGAAATTACAAGAATAAAACCTGGGGACCCCAAAATGAATGAGGAAGAAAAGAAAAGGGTTTACTCCGTGGCAGCTTACCCAAAAAATGATCTTCACGATCTTATTCCAGGAACACCGCCAGACAAAGATTTCAGCAACGCAAAGCCTACAAACCAAGTACAAGCTAATACCTTTGCGACATATCTTGAACCATATTTCCGACCATTTACGGAAGAAGATCTTGCCTTTCTCCGTGAACGTGGAGATCGCGCGAATCCCTTCATTATTCCCAGACGTGGAAAGAAGCACTATACTGAAGTTTGGGCCGAGGAGGATGGTGCTATGTCAGTCGATACACCACATCAAGGACGAGATAAATTACCTCCAAACCAAGCCCGTGGGAGCATTGATGATATTGATGACGCCATAGCAGAGACGGATCAGATTTCTGCTGGTCCAATGCTGTCGAGGTTGTTGGCTACTTTAAGGCCGGAGCATCGAGCGCCCTCTTCCGAGGATAGACCTATTACGAACGGTATAAGTAACGGCGAAGGTAGTTTCAGTGGTGAAATGAATGGCGACATAGGGGAACTAAGTCAACACAGCGACTCATCTCCATTACCTCCTGCAACTTGCATGCCTGATTCATCGTCCGAATCATGGAAGAAGGCCAGTCATCCAAAGCTCGATCACGCTCAAGTAGATGAAAGGATCAAACAAGAGCTTCGTCACATTGGATTCCTCCTACCTGACACTGAACCCGATTATGATGCTCATTATGATGATGAGATAGCCGCACGTTTGCGTTTCCTCCAAACCAAACTTAAAGAACAATCAATCATCAATGGTGCACGTAAAGCTCGATTGCAGGAGATTACGAAGGAGCGTATGGCTCATCAAGAATACCAAACCATCCTCGAAGATCTCGACGGCCAGGTAAATGCTGCTTATACCAAACGGTCCCGCACGATAGGAAAAACCAAGAAGAATAAGAAAGCTGGAGGTGCTGGTGGTGGTAATCAAGCTGCCAATGGCACTGCTGGTACAGCAAGACCAGGTCTTGGCGACTTGACTAAAACTTTGATGGAAAAACGGCAAAAATGGATCAAAAATATCGGGGCTGTATTTGATGATGAACGAAATTTGGGTAAAGTACCCCGTGCAAAAGATGAGGGCAGCGCGATCTTCAAGCCTGAAATTATGGGGGACTTCATCCGGAGGGAAAAGGATGGGTGGGATGAAGATGTAGAAGAAGAATAAGCTTGTAACAAACAGTACAGTACAATTGATAACAACGTATCGGCATGAGGATGGGGTGTTTTTGAGCTGCACCATTGGTTCGGTAGGTAGGGATGGAGTTCACTCACGGGAGGTTGCATTATGATTCTCTTAAATTTTCATTTTTACAATTGTGGTTGAGCTGGTTATAGTGATTCTCAAGTGAATGAACAGATGTGTAGTAAAAAAGTGGATGAAATAATCAAAGGCCAATGACTTGTGAGAGAGTTACACAAATCATCTTATCTACAAACACGGCATATCCATAAGGGGAGTGTGATATATTGAAATTGGTGTTCTTTGTGGGTAATTGCATATCATAAATTTCTTTTGCTTGAGATGTGCGTTATGGTTACTTTTGTATGGATAGTGCTGTCGAGGGTTTGCTAACAATAGGGTGCTTGGATTTATATTGGTTATTGAAAGTGCTGATTTGATGGTTTGGCTTGGCTTGGGGGGATTGAGAGAGAGTTGGGCCATTGTTTCCATGATAGTTCATGAAGCAACAGATGAAGCAACGTTCCTGCCGCTTTTGGAATAATCGGGAAAAAGTATACTAGGTACCTAAGTAAACAAACAAACAAATTTAATTTCTTCTGTAAACAACTCACCTTCTTCAATATAGCCAAGAACGAGAGTGTCTTCGATCTATCTTAAAACTTTCAAGGATTACTTGGAAGCTTTAATCATGGAGCCTTACAAGACGCAGCAAGATTTGATGGCCAAAAAGGCCAAGGAAATGGGAATTCCGATATCTGAAATCACAACACAATTTCAGCAGAAATTGAGCCAAGTGTATGAGGAGTACTCAGATTGTGCGGAAGTCTGGGCATTAGGCAAAGCCGAATATTTAGTTGTATGTAATTCTCCATGTATTTTCATCTGGTTGAATGGATCAAGTACTGACAATTCGCTCTAGTGGAATCAATTCTGTGAGTTTTGACTTGGCAGACAAGGCAATAGTCAAGTCATTTCTAATTTGAATCCTAGTCCCAAATGATCCATGGCCAGGCGCTTCCCCCATACATTTTTCCCTCAGTAGTGAAACACTTGGCTCAGAGTCCGGCGAGATTATAGAATCGCCGGATGAGGACCCATCGAGCTTACCGCTCAGACGGAAGCCTGTCTTTTCACTCAAAATCGAAGAGGTATTGTCTAAAGCAGCTGGCAATTCAACTATATTAGAGGTATACAGAAAGGTGTTGGATAATATGAAGGATAGATACCCACGCGAAAGCGTGGAGTGGCAGCAGTGGATGTCGGGAAGCAAGGTTTGGCTGTCAAATTGTACGTATTTGCCCAAGTCATTAGATTGCACGTATCAGAGCTAAGGAGACGTTAGTTCGCCAGAATGGCACTTTTCCCTGCAATGAGCCACCTAGGTCATATGCTTTCCTCTCCTCGGACGAACAACTTTACAACGGTCTGCCTCGCCGTTATGGCGAGGACAATACCAGGACTGGGCAATTTGGCGGCAGTCGGCGGGCAGAAGACGATGCAACTCGGTGTAGATCTAGATCGCCTCCCACTGGTCCCGGGGTCGGATTGCATCATAGAATTGCGTCCGTCGAAACTACAAGACAGGGAAGGACACTCAAACTTGGAGAATCATCAAGACAGGGTGGAACAATGAGGCTTGGGGAATTGATAAAATACGGCGAAACAATTGACAGATATCGAAGTGAGCATCGGGTTCGTTCAGTAGAGCGAGCCGGAGGAAACTCCAAACCAACCCCCTCGCCAGCGAAGGTCACAAGCAGCAGCATCGCAGAGAGACGTTCATCATTGGCAATTCCTTTACAAAACAAGAGCGCCATCAATTCCAGCCCTCAGGTGTCAACCTACGGGACCAAAGAGAAGGAGATGGAAAAGAAGGCATTTAAGATGGGTGGTGAAGATTTCAGGCATGAGTTTTTCCGTGCTTTGCAAAATAGTAGAGATATGGTGAGGATTTGTCATCCTGATCACGACCGTTCCTTCAGACATGTAAGTCTAATAAGCTCTGAATCACCCTCACTGTTCAACGTCAACTCCCACATTCTTCCTGGCTCAATTATCTACCTTCGACTTACACATTCAGTGTACCACCCTCACATGCCTAATTCCTTAGAAATTACTACTAACTTCATACAGTGGCTCGCTGATCGAATGACCTGGGAGAAAGTTTTTAAAAATGTGCCATTTCCCTGGTTAGATAACAAACCACCAGGAATCTCTTTATCAAACGACAGACCACCAGGAATCCCTTTATTAAATGACAGACCACCAGGAAAGCGCACTGGCAATGTCTCGATGGCGCCCCCACCATCTTCAGAAGTTGCGAGGAAATTTGACACCAAGACTACAGTGCCGGCTGGAAGTACCTCCTTGGTTCTTTTACGACAGGATAATTACAGCCAAGCACATAGTATGTCACGCAACAACTTGAATCAGTCTACTACCAAAAACGTGCTGCAAAAGGTATGTGCAGTATATTTTGATACTTGTATCAAGAATTTGAATTCCTAATCCTAATGCGGATTTCCCGACTAATTACCAATATAGACCTATTCAAAGGGCCACTCTAGAGCTTCTTCTCAAAGCAAGAACTCATTTAATCGACCAGCAATATCGGGCGGTGCTACCCACTTAGGATTCAGTATTGACAGACCAAAGAACTTTCCAACGGCGCTACCTAACAAAGGGGTGATGAAGACTGTCGGTGAAAAAGACTCGGAGAAGAATAGAGCGGATCCGGGCGAAGGCATCAGAGAAGTGACTATTAGAAAGAACAACATCTTCCGTGCCATTCTAGGAGACTGGGGCAGTTCATTGAAGTCGATTCAGAGAGCTCTTGGGGTTACAATAGAATGTGGGTACTCCTTTCTAAGTTACGAGCCACATTTCAATTACAGGTCATCGTTATAGAATTGACGGTCCTAGATAACGATGATATCTCTGAGCACCTCAAGTTCACCATTGAGCCATATCAACGCGGAGACAACGCAGCAGTCGAGAAAGCATACAAATTTCTTGATATTTGGAAGAGACTGATATACTCTGATCAATTAATTAGACTTGATCAGTTTTGGGCCCAGTATACCAATCATGACCAAAGGACCATTGTGAGTATATTCTTAGCACGCTACAAAGTCCGTTTACGATACAAGAAGACCCTTTTAGTCAGTGATATTTAAGATTTGACTGACTGATTGTTAGGTTAATTGCCAACCCATGATACACGTCAACGGTAAGAAAATCCTTTGCCCAGGACAATTCGGTTATCTCTGCGAGTTCTTCTCGCATGAGATTCAGACCTACCAATCCGCCATGGCTAAATTCACCGACACTGAATATGCACTTGCCTGTAGTACTCTTTTCGAGGCTAGGCCGTACAACATCTACCTCAGCAGTTATCCACTTCCTACAATACTTGAAGTTGATACCAAGACAAGAAACAATACTCTAGATGCGAATGATGTCTTCCTGGAAGAGTGGGTTCGAAGCTCGATCAAAAACCCAATAAGCTTGTCCGACATGATTAACGAATATGGAAGAAGACGGCTTCAAAAGCATAAGGGCCTGGACCTAGACCTGGATGAATTATTGAAGGAAGGGGCAGCCAAAGCCAGTCAAAAGAGGAAGTCGAATGCGAAAGAAGAAGGTGAAACTGATGGAAGGATGGAGAAGAAGCCATGTTTGTAGGATTTCGCAGTTTAGCTATACCGGTATATTTAGTCATAGAATCCTCATGACTTTTCAATCTATAACTGCAACTTGAACATTCAAAAGCCGATTTTTTTCTTTCGGGACACAAAGCAATGAAGTCTTTATTATTAGATTAGCTCTCTGCATCGGCCGAAAAAGGCCGAAAGTGACATTTCAATATCCCTGTTTGATTGGGAAAATCAAAGATTTAAAGAAGGAAAAAGATACTTTCTAGGTAACGGTAATGATACTTGAAAAGATTTTGATAAGTTTGAGGCAACTTTCAATGTTTATTCCATTCAGAAGAATGAATTGGTACTTGTATCGACGTCGAGTAATGCGGGATGTAATCACGTGGTATCCTGTCCTAGCGCGTCTTTTGTCGCGTGTACCTAAAGTGCGACACCTTTTACCTTTCTTCATCAACATTTATTCAAAGTGTCGGACCCCTATTTAAAAGCTAGATTCGATATGTTTTGATGTGAGATAATTTCTCTCCCTCCAAATGATGAGCACGAGGACAAACTCTTTAACATGTCGACATTTGGCGGATACATTCCTGAATTTCCGGACATTCGTGGTAAGTGAAAATCAATCCATTTAGAAATAAAGGTTTCACGTTATTCTTCATTTAAACCGAAAACTCATATGGTTATAGTCGACTATTTCGTCAAATCCTAGGACGCACAGCTCCGCTAGTATGCTTCTTAAGCCATGTTCACAGTGATCATCTCAATGGACTTGATAACGATCGTGTTAAATTGCCGTTCATTTACTGTTCGGCTGCTACCAAAGAGATCCTGGTGAGACTTGAAAAGAGGAGAGATCGGTTGAATTTGGCAAAGGGCATTTTGGAGAAGGAGAAGAGAACTTATAAACATTTGAAGAATGTTTTGAAACCGATACCGTTGGAGACTCCAACGTTGATTGAGTTGGCGCCAAGAAATGAGGTTAGGGTTACGTTGTTTGATGCTAACCACTGTACCGGAGCAGTGATGTTCTTATTCGAGCGCGAGAACACTGCAATCTTGTATACCGGGGATATTCGATCGGAGCCATGGTTCGTCAACAGTTTGACACGAAACCCGTTCTTGATCGAGTATACCAGCGGAATGAAGACTTTAGACTGCATATATCTCGATACAAGCAATACTGGACCAATCACGTTCCCGACAAAGGCTGAAGGCCTGAAGGAATTGATTGGCAAAGTCAGAAAATACCCGCCAAAGACCAAGTTCCATTTCTCTGCTTGGACATTTGGATATGAAGATGTTTGGTTGGCATTATCACGAACACTTGACTCACAAATTCATGTGGATAAATACAAGATCAATCTTTATCGTTCATTGCGTCACGAAGGTTCTGATGCCAGAGAACATTTTTTGGCACCAGAAGGCCCTGTCTTAGCAGGTTGTGTTGTGGGCAATGGTCCAAGAGAGGGATGTCTTACCACAGACAAAAGTGTACGAATTCACAGCTGTGAGAAAGAAATGGGATGCTCCGTTTATGATGAAGAGGATGTTGTGCTGATTCGGCCCATCATTACCCGTCTACCATCTAGAATCGAGGTGGCAGAAGTTGGTATTGGAGGTGGTTGGGGTGATCTTGTAATGTGACGGAACGTAGTGAAGCACTTTACCACTAGGCCAACAACCCCAAAAGGGACTAGAATAGATTGGGAAATCTATTCGTGCTTGACTATATATCTTATGATTCGTCACATAACCAAGCCATGAACTCGCTTTGGGTCCCGACGATATTAAGGAGTTGTTAGAGACAGTGTTAGTCAAACCACATTTCCGCTTGATCTGTACTAATGATTTTATTAGCTTTGCGGAGACAGACGAACCCATCGTGGAAGATATTCGGCGTATGCTTCTCGCCGAACTAAAAACTACCACAGACGCTATATCACTAGATAGCATACCAAGTGGCGGTGATCAAATCTCTTTGATAGATGTGGGCGAATCTCTTTTGCGGAAGTTGGCCCAGAAGTCCAGTGAAGCGTCCGATGAAAGACGAGACTGTACTTCTGGAAATCATGGTCTCCCTAGACTAATCACCTTTCCATACTCACGCCACTCCTATCCTGAGCTTCGTCATCTTGTTGAAACATTCCAGCCGAAAGATGTGTATCCATGCACGGTGGATGAAGAGGAATGGCATGAAGGTATATGACCCCTTATTCAGTGTTTTAATTTCTTGTTTCCTGATACCGGTTGGGCGTTATTCAAGGCATTGAACCAAACTAATCATCTCGCAGGCCTAAGTATAAAAGCTCTTTTTGGCGATTCTTGCTCTGCTTCCACATTTCGACATGATGACGAAATGCGACACTTGGTGGCTACTCGTGCTGCCGAAGTTGCAATGTTAAGTCAGCAAACGCAAACAACTATCGTGTCCCGGTCTTCTCCAATTCCGAGTAGCTCCCTGGAGGACACAATCTTAAGATCAGCCAGATGGTCAGAAGAAAGAGGTCCTTCCACACCAACTCCGGCCCAGAACACTATAGCTGGCGCTAGTCGAAATCCAGTGTTTGTCTGGTCAGAAGAAATAGTCTATTCTCCACCAGCTCCGTCATCACAGAAAAGTCTGGCGGGCACCAGTCAAACACCTGATACAGCCGCTACAAACACAGGCTCGAGCTCAGGCAGTCAGAACTCTAGACGAAGAATAGCTACAGAGATGATTAGTCCACCAGCAGTGAAGCGTGTTCGACTTAGCGATGACTTCCAGATGGATGACACAGCGTAAGCTCAATCGACTTTCTCAAATCGTACTCCCCAATGCCCAGCTCTTTGTGACTAATTTGCCATCTGTATCTTCACTTTCTTACACAGCTTGTGTTCCTCATTTCCCTCTGAAGATCTTCCTTGGTAGGTGGCTACTGACTTTCCGATGCTGCAGGTCACCAAAATCGTTCACTCCTTCGACTGATGCTGCAGGCTCGAAGCAACAAAGCCTGGAGCCCGTCAAAGAGCCTGGCAAAGGCGATAATGACTTAATATTACCACTCACAACAATGATGGAGCAACTCGGAAATATCACTGCACTCTGTGACCAAGCAATCATAGCTTTAATGGCACTCAATATTGGTGATATAGGTATTGAAACATACCTCGCCCGGCAGTCCCCAGTTCTAGACTCCATTCGTGAACGAATTGATCTGCTCGTATCACCACCAATGTTGTATTGGCTACACACGACTTTACGAAGATTTTCTCAAGATGCTCTCAACATCTTATTGGACTTCATAAATATTCAGGATATGGAGTCAGCCGCGGAAGTAGACGTGTATTTATATTTCAATCAGCAGCTGCCACCACTGCAATCTCTTGCTAGAGAGTTCAAACAAGCCACATCATATGCACAAAAGTCTGATATCAGTCAACATCGGCCATGGAACCCTGCCAGAAGTTTACATAGCATGTCTGAACTCTTTCAACCAGGAGCGAATTACGACACGGACACAGTCAATAATCAAGATTGCCTCACGCTTGTCAACGATAACGAGCGCGCAGCAAACGACGGCAGTGGCGATCCTAGCGACAATTACCAGTCTTCTTTAGTCGCAGTTGGAGAGAATAACTATGGTAATCACATTGAGTTTGACAACCAACCCTTTCACGATCCAATAGACAACATCCTTCGATGCGCCGATTGTGGTCACGAGATATGGGAAGATAATCAAAACAAGTTCGATTTCATGCCCGGTTTCTGCACTGGGTGTGGAAAAGGGGCACATCTATTCTACAAGGAGAGTGACTTTGCAGGAGCTTTTCCTCATATTTATGATGATGATGAAGTTTCAAGCGAGGTTAGCCCCGAAGATGCCCGCGTTTTGATCGGGGAGAACCATCTCGACTACCAGTCTTCTGCTTACGATACTCAAGATGAGAATTCCGAGCTTGTTCTTAATGAAGATTATGAAGTTAATAGTTTTGTTGAAAAGGATGAGTCGCTCGGGGATTCTGACTCGGATGACGATACCGATAACGATATCAATGGTAGCGAGATAAATTACGAAGTTGCGTTTGAGGATCTTCAGAGAGAATATGCGGAGCTTCGTGCGGAATACTTTGGTCTTGTGGATGAGTATTCGCAGTTTAAGTACGATATGCTCGGTACGACTGAGGAGGAAGATGATGATGATGGTGATGATCAGGGTGAGAATGAAGAGGGTATTCGGATTGATGGGGAAGGTGCACATGTGGTGGATGTGGTGAGTGCGCAAGGGGATCATGCTGTTACGGATGTGGTCGTTTCATCGTTTAGGGGTGGTGGGGAGACGGAAAATGAGAAGGAGATCGAGAAGGAAAAAGAAAATGATGGGGATTTGAGATTAGGTGAGGATGTGGGAGAGAAGAAAGACGAAGGAAAGGAAAATGATGTGGCTATGGATAGGGAGGAGTCTGAGATTGAGATTGAGCGTGGAGGTTCTGATGAAGATACTCTGTCTAATCAGATGACCAAAGGTCTCATGGTTGATAGTGATGATGAAAGACCCACTGTCACTAACCGGAAGGCGAGAGGAGAGAGTATGGAGTTGTGATGGCTTTTTGAGGGAAGGGTTCGGTAAGGGGATGGGATGAGATGGATGAATGAATGAACATAGCTGCTAACTTGCTTCTTTGGCGAATTGTTTTTTGATACCTAGGGGTTTCTTTGCTTGGGGTTGTGGCTGTGATGGGATGGGTATGGGAGGGGTATGGGAGGGTATGGATGGAATAGGAGGTGGGTGTTGGCTGGAATTGATGGGCTGGGATGGGATGGGCTTCTTCTACACGGATTTATGTATGTACTCGAGTACTGAGTACTTGTCTTGATACCCCAAGTTTATGAATGGAAAGAAAGACAGAAAGGAGGGATTTGCTTGCTTGCTTGCTTGCTGGCTTTAGCATTGAATGTTTGTTATACGAGTAGTTATTATGATTAACAATGATTTACAACAATTCTTTTTAATAAATTTCATTTGTGAGAATTTAGAATGGTAGGGGGGGGGGGGGGGGGGTGGGCTAGAGTTGAATATTTGGATTTTGGATTTGAGTTATGTAGGTTATGATGTGAATATGAGTTATATGAAAAAGAATAAGAATAAGAATTGACTTTGATGGATAATGCATTATCTATCTATCTAAATATGTATGAATAAGGAGATGTGAAGTGAAGTGAGGGTTCTCTACTCGAGTATATTTAAAACTAGTATATAAATTAAAACTAGTATATCTCGGCAGATTACCCGGGGAATACTCGAGTGGGAGGAGCGGGAGGAACGGGAGGAACGGGAGGAACTCGGATGTATGCGGGGTGGAAAATGAAAATGAAAATGAAAATGAAAATGAAAATGAAAATGAAGAGGGAGGAAGGAGGGATTGTGATTTGTGAATGATGCGTGGAGCTTTTCACTTGGCTTGGTCTAGATAGATCCTTAGAGTAGAGATGCATGTGTACTTACCTAGGTATGCTACTCTGGTCTGGTAGCTACAGCTGCATCTGTAATTCTCGGAATTTTACTAGGTAAGATCTGATCTTACTATGTACTGAGGAGCTGACGACTTTTCGGGTGTGCTATACTCGAGTAATAAATCTGTCTTGGTCGGTCTATGTAACAGTACGAGTGAGTATAATAGGTATAACCTTATATAACCTTATATTCTTACTGATTAGGTATGATGGCTGTATGTATGTACTATGCTATGTTATGTTATGATATATTATGCTATGTAGTAAATAGAAGTAAATAAACCAGAATTGAAGTATATCATCATCAATAAATCATGGTGTAACACAGACAGACAGCCATCGTATCAATATCAATATCATTATCAATATCAATGAATCCATGTACAGCTGTATTCATATATACGAGTAGAGAGATATATATGTGGGCACTGGGTAGAAGGAAGCCAAGTCAGCCTTAATTATAACCCGACCGAACCCCTTATCTCAATCTCAATCTCAATCTCAATTTCTAGGATGAGTTGAAGAAAAATGGATACTATAACTATACCGATACTGTGTGAGCTGTGAGATATGAGTTGTGAGCTGTGCAAACAATATAAATACTGTGTTTGTTGTTGTTTGTTTACTCGTACAGATACAGGTATGTATATACAAGTACCTACTCCACATCTCAGCTTGTGATGGATCTGGATCTTGAGAACTTGTTAGGGAGGAAGAAAGGAAAGGAAAGGAAATCACGAGGTGGGGGTTTGGATTTGATTTGATTGGGTGGTGGAGTATCTTGGGCTTTTTGGTTTGGGTCGAGACTCTTTCTTTCTGCTCATGTGGATTTGTGGATTGATTGTGGATTGTGGATTTGTTTTTGTTTTGATGATATGATTGTGTTGATGATTTGATTTGATTTGACTCGATGGAATTATACATACATACTCTAAAAGGTACTTGCAACGAAAGGAATGAAGGAATGAAGGATTATTGGGTGGATTTTTAGATGGTGATGAATGATGCTAGCTATTGATGTGGGAAGATAGTTGGAGAAGGAGGAGGGGGTATAGGTATTAGGTATGGTATTACTTGATAATTGATTGGTTAGTTGGATCTTTCATCGATAGATATCCGAGAAGAGATGTGATTTCAAGATGTAGATGGTGATGCCCGTGATTGGATCTCTTCTACTGCCGAGAAGTAGGAGAGGTACAGTAGCAATATTGTCGTAACTCGGAGTTTGTGTGCATTTTCACCAACGCGTGATCATTGGGTAGCAATGGAGAGGAGAAGGAAGAAAAAGTATTCGTAATGCAGGAAATGTATTAATGCTACTGTAGGTTATCCGAGGTTGCGTTGCGTTTGTGTTGTGTTGTGTTGTGTTATGTTATAATGTTATATTGCGTTGCGTTGCAGGGCTGGATCTGAAGACCAAGTGATTGGATCTGATGACCTGCAGCAAAGTATTTGTGGAAAGGAGTTTGGGGAAACATCCATTTATCTTCGTAAGAATGGAAACGGACATTGGAGAATTCGGATGTACTGTATGGATTGGATGGAGTAGGGGGGTAGTATGGTATGGTATGGTATGGTATGGTGGTAATCATATGCAGCTTGTGGAAAGCATTCTCTTTCCATCCTTTCTGGCGACAGGAAGTCAGATAGATATGCAGAAAAGAAGGTCTATGGATGGGTTATGGTCAAATACTGATATACTGATTGGGACCTTGTTGAAAAAGAGACCTACTTCTTGTACTCAGTACTATATATGATAAGGTAGAGAGTGGAACATCGACGTGGTCAATGAACACGACAACACAACAACATCATATCATATCATATCAACTTCTAGGTTGCGAAAGAGGTCTGATTCATATACTCTTGAGTACTCGAGTATGTATACATACAGATAGATGATATATCGAATACCTATCATGGTACTTTGACCCTATTCATGACCTTTTTTCTTAAATGAAGATGTTGATGTTGCAATTGTAATTTTATGGGTCGACGATGGATTTATATATTGAATATAACGATGAGTTCTTCTTATTATCTATGTATTGGAATTAGATGCACGATAGGAAAATATATGACTTGGGTAGTATTTGTCTATCTTATGCATGTAAAGTAACCATGGTTGATGTGTACAAAATAGATGCGATCATTCATAATCCATCTAGTTCATTTATTAGATCTAAACAGAATTCTATACTTTATACTGTACTCGAGTATAGGTACATTCTTGAGGGTTCATCAGAATCCTATACTTTGTACTCCTTACACCTCTCTCTCTCTTCTCTCTCTCTTCTCTCTCTCTTCTCTCTACTCTCTCTACTCCCCCTCTACCTTTTCTATAACATCATCAATCTAATATTTTTCAATCCCAGCCCCCAATTTATTTATACATCCATCTACCATCACAGGTGGGGTTTAACGTTAAAAACTTCCCAGCAAATTCCAAGCATTCCCCGGAACATTGGAACATTGAACAAGCTGAGAATAGATCAAATCGAGGATTATTCCATAATTCGATAAAAGGGCTGCATATCTACCGGCGCGAAAGAATTGAGAATTCGATAAAAGTACCTAGGTATATATATACAAGGGTCGGTCTTGTTGTTGTTTTCCATGCAAACAGAGCTGTTTTTATACAGAATCAGAATCAGAATCAGAATCAGAATCAATCAGTTAACGACATCGACTTTTGGATTTATGAAAATAAGAGGAGTTGGAATCATAGGAAGGACCAATCAGTCATTGCTCATACTCACCGTCACTGTCACCCGTCACCGTCACCGTCACCGCCGTCGTCGTATTATTATCAGAAAAGAGAAGAGTCAAGAGGAAATTGAAATAGAAGTGGATTGAATTGAAACAAAAGCATTGCATCACTCAAGAAATTGTTACTAGTATCTTAAGTTTCTAACTACCTAGGTAATTTGGAGTTTAGGGTTGTGTGGGCAATGATTTAAAGAGCTTCTGGTTTCCCTGAATCAATATTCACCTAGCATTTCTTTTTTTTTCTCAACTTCTTAAACAACCCACATTCAAACATCAACATCATCATCATCATCATAATAATCATCATCATCATCATCAATCTATTCATCACCAAAGACCAGCTCATCACCATAGATTACCGACACCGTATCACCCAATCCATTACAACAACAACCCTTCCTTAATATATCCACTTCAACTCCACCGCCCGACCCTTCATCAGACCTTCTCTCAGACCTTCTTCTCCGCCTCTTCTCAAAAAAAAAACCTCCCAATCGATTGTACACATCTCACTCATTCCTTCAATACTTCAGCTAGAAACCCAAAACTTTAAAAAGAGATGCGATCTTTCCTCTTCAAACTCAAACAAACATCACTTCATTACTAGGTGTGCCTTTCTTCCACCTAGATATCCTCAAGTTGTACCACTTTAGTACAACATTTATTGTGTGAAATTTGTCCAATCTTCGTTCAAATACCATATCATCGATAAACGCCAAGTACAGATTCATCCTTGGGACTTCGTGGATCATTGCACATTGGGATACACACACGGCAACTGCAATTGGCCGGAAACTTCATTCTTGATCAAGAGAAGGCCGGACTCACCTAACACAGGATCCACCATCACTTACAGGTTTTCTTTTTCGAAAATCCAAGTATTCATCAATCGTCAAATTACACAAGCTTCGAAAGAGGAAAATCCAATCCTTCAGTGCCTAATCATCCTTCGAAGGATCGTTCCGGATATCAAAGGTTTTTATATCCACGCCCTCTATCAGCTCGGACACCGCCACGGTCGATTGTGAAGGCCTCCCCCGCCGCAGAATACAGTCTTAGTTTTAACGTACAATCGCCTCCTCAGCCATCATGAAGGGCTATCCTATTGACCAGCTCGTTTATGAGATCATGTTCCCAAAACCGAAAACAGGCGATCCTCAAAGTTTCCAAGCCTTTTTACAGCGAAGTCTTGTGCCCGAAGTCCGTCATGAGACGCAAGCATTCTATGGCCACTTAGCTTCGCAAGAAGCAAAGTACCCCGGCTTAGACTACTCATACTCGCCGCATCGCGTTCGACTCTCGAGATTCCCGTGGCACAGACGACTATTTCGAGCCTTCGAAAATCTGAAACTCACGAAACACGAAATTGCGACTTTGACAAAATGGGAGGGTACACGATGGGCAAAGGAGAGATTTGAGAAGGAACAAGGCATTACAATTAGGGATACAACTGGTGATGATATTGAGGATTGGGTATCGCCGGAATTAAGATGTGCAACTGTGCTACATGCAATGTCAGCAAACGAGGAAAAGGAGTTGGAAGAAGCTGGTCAATCGGAGCAAAATGAGCTAGAGGAAGATGATGGAGAGAGTGATGCCGAGATTACAAGTGTGGGAACTGAATTGAATGAGAGACTGAGGGCTGCTGCAGCTCAAAGACATGCGGGTAACTTAACTGCCCCAATGGACGCAGAGTGGGAACAATGGTTAAAGGATGAAGTCGAGGGAGGAAGCATTGACATCTCAAATATGGAACTGAGTCCGGATGCCAATATCATGGGTACTCGGCCACTTCCTAGAGTATCACATGTCTATTTGAATGATAGGATACTATCAACATCCACACTCGATACAATGACCAATCGACGAAACGCAAACATCAATAGGACCATCGACTCAAACACATCTCTTCGTGTACAACGAGAGTCCGTAACCCGACGTCTTCCCAGTGAACGAGATCTAGCGAGAGGCCGCGCCGAGACTTTTGTTATGGACCACTCTTATAGAAATCCTCCTGCCCGTAATGCAGAAGAACGCTCCGGTAATACCGGTGATAGACCAATAGGACATCCATTTACCATGGTCAACTATTACCGAAATCTTACTGCCCTCAGTAGTGCAGAAGAAGAAGCACATCACAGTTCTTTGTAACATGACTCGGCAATATTCCTATTATCCACAAAACGATGTGTTCCACCCATTTATGTCATCTCATTTCGCATGCATCAACCAATTTTCCTTTATTCTCACTCATCACATCACCTATCGGCGTCCAGATGTCCCACACACCATCATATTTTCATGGTCAACTTAAGCATGGCGTTCTCACCACAGGGTTGGCGAATCAGGCAGGCAGGGTGCAAATTTGGGGGGCTCTACTGTGTTTTTACTCGTTCTATTGTTATCCAAGACAAACTTTCTTTATACATTCTATCATTATCGTCTGATGTCATCAAATCACATCAGATCATACCTAGGACTTGCATCACATACAATACACATAAACCAACACACATTTTTCTTTCTCATCATCGGCGAACATTTGAATTTGTATGCATCACAATTTTGGGATTTTAGAGGGCATGGAATGGATGGAAGGGAAGAGAAGGGAAGGGAAGGGATGGGATAGGGAAACGTTGTGAAATGGAGTATGTATATATCGATAAGATGGGAAATTTTCTTCAAGTTCTCGTTTTAAGCAGGGCATTTGTGCACGGGGGAGGGCATCAATGGGTGGGACGGACGGGCGGACGGACGGATGGATGGATGGCTGGCTAGATGGGTTTAATCTGATATTGGGAACGGTGTTGGCATGGCATGGTATGGGAGGGAAGGATAGGAAAGACAGTTATGCATTACAATTTGAATTGGGAGAAGAGGGGGTGAGGAGAAAAGGAGCAAAACTGAAAAATCCCAAATGGTAGTGTGGCGTGGCGTGGTATGGCATGGTATGGTATGGCATGGTATTGCAGCAAAAAGATAGATAGATATCTGAGCACGAGAATAAAAATTTATCAATACTAAAAATCGAAATGTGGGAATGATTCGTGTGGCTAGCTTCAATATGCCCCCCTAGAGGCACACCCCTTTCCCCGCCCGCCCGCCTCTCGGATTATTGTATTTGCTGTTTGCTGTTTGCTGTTTGCTGTTTGTTGCGATGCTGAGGTTGATACTGATACTTACTTATATTTCGAGGTATATACCGTATTACTACGAGTACATACATAGCAGCGACATTTAACGTCAACCGGTAGATACTTGTCATTTGATGCTTCTACTTGGAGTATGTGTAAGTAAACCCACACTTCAGATATTAGATTCTGCATGAATAAGTTTGTTTTTGAGATTGAATATTACGTTTATAGGAATAGATTATTATCCTTGTTTGTCCAGCATAATACTGCACACTGGCAACCATATGACACCAAGTACTCCTCCGGATTTATCCCATCCCATCCTGTCCTGTGCTGTCCTGTGCTATGATATGCAGCCTATGCAATGCAATGCTATGCTATGCTATGATATGTTCTCCCATTTGATATCGTCCCAATACATGTCCAAGCAACGCCTAAAGCCCATCTGCAATTCATTTACTTGTCATCCAATAAATACGACCACTCTGGAATCTCTTTGATGAGACTCCACATGGTTTTCTCCACCTTGGTCGCGCACTTTGCATATGGAGTTGTATCATTGTTGTATTTTCTACAATTGTTGAAAATCAACATTGCGTCTGCAACAAATTCTTCCGGTTTCTCATATGAATCTTGTTCGAGCTTGGTTTCCATGGTTTGAAAATCCATCGGGTTCAAAATGACATCGTAATAATCCGCGACATCATCTCTATTGACAGGTTGGAGGAATGGCCAGGCAAAGTGATGAGTTTGAAGCGCACTCAGGAGGCGTTGAAGTTGTGAGAAATTTGGTCCGTGACGAGGTTGGCGCGCTAATTCGTCCATGGCGGGTGTCCATCCTGAGGCGCGGATAGCGGGAATAGACATGGGGTCTATTTTGGTGACGCCATTCTTCCATTGTTTGGGTGGTGCGTGAACTTCGTCGGATTTGCTGAAGGCGAGGATTTTCGCTAAAACGGCCTCCTTTTGCTTCAGAAGCATGCGCCCAACTTCGAGGTAACGGACCCTTGGAAGCATCGTACATTGCATGATTGTTCCACCTTCATAATCCTTGATATAGCCCATCCAAAGGCTTTTATCCAACGTGATTTCTTTGGTAAATCCTTGTTTCTTAAAATATCCGATGGCATAATTGTCGGCGTAGGTGAGGAAGTGCATGACATTGGAGGAAGCTTTAACGTAGTCCTTGAGATGGCACATTAGATGTGCACCGTATCCTTTGACTTGCTGGTCGGATGATATGGCACAAAAGACAATTTCCGCGAACTTGCGATCATCGAATGGTCGATATGTGATTCCTCCTATTACTTCCAGCGGTGAGACCTTTACTAACGCTATGGATAAATGGTTTCGATCATAGACCAGACGGGCAATGTAGTCCTTTGGCATCTTAGGCAATTGCTTTTGGAATATGCATTTCAATCCAGATAGAATAGTGGTACTTTCAGGCGCGTCATCGTTATTAACAACTCGAAATTCGATTTCACCTTGTCTTTCTTCGATTACTGCGGGCTTAAGTAATGTTAGGTAACAACAATGGGGTTTGATCGCGCCAGGGGACTCACTTTTTCGGGGAAAGGTATGATCTTGCTAGGAATGCTCATGTTATCTAATATTTCGCCCAATTCGTCTTGATTGAGCTTAATCTTCTTGGAAGCGACAGGAGTACTAGGCGGCTCTTCTGTAGCTTTTCGCTTTGGTGGATTTTGGAGATTTGGAGCCATATCTGGTTTCAATCCACTTCTGCCTCGTCGTCTTGTATTCTCTGGAGTTGGCTCTTCCGACTTTGTATCTTGGTGTTTTTTCTTATGGGAGCGAGTACTCCGTCTCTGTATGTTCTGCAGAGGTGAACGCCCTCTTACCGGGACTGATTTACTTTTGCGTCGAGCCATATTAGCGATTTTCAATAATGTGTACTTTGGATAAGGAAAAACGTACTTTGCGGCTTGAAAGTGACTACAGACAAATTATACTTTATGATCTTTGTTGCCCCTTTCCTTTTCTTGTTGGTTGATTGAAGTGGTGCATTGTCGCTGCTGAATATGTTTGATAGTTGTTATACCTAGGTAGGTTGTATTAAAGGTGGAAACCTGGAGAAGTGATCATCGAAGTTCACTATTATGTCATCATCTTAGTGGCCCAAGGATGCATTAGGTAGTGTTATCGGTGGAGCTTTATTCCGATATTGATTAGTAAGCTATTCCAGGGTGTGAAGGTTGGTGTGAAGCCAGATTGCTGTGTAAATTGATATCAAAAGGTACTTACTTACCTACTTACTGTACATAAAAACAAACTTAAACAACAAACATCATCTCAAGTTTCATTCAGAGTAGAAAACAATTCCTTAAGTACAAACTTATCATCCTTTTTCAAGAGTCGATCTACTATTACCTACACAAATTCCAATCTTATGGAGTCCTCATTACACGGAGTTTGGGAGAGTGCCGTTGGCAATCCCTTCATCCCTACTGTCGGAAAAGACAGCCAATTTGTCTTGGGATTCTCATTGTTGTGTATCGGGGTTCTTCTTTCTGGACTGTTTGGACTTAGTATGCTTGTCAATATCATATTTTGAAGCTTGTTCTAACAATTCGCTTTAGACCGATCAGCTCTTACCGTTCCACTACTTGGACTTCCTGCATCAGCAGCCATTGCGTATGTTATATCCAAATCTCAAACTTCGTTTACAGGCACTGATATCAAATAGGTTTGGTTCGGTTTATATGATCTGCGCGGTCGGAGTTTATGTTTAAGATACCCCTCTATCATCGAGACGAACATATTACATGCCGCACTTTTGTACAATAGCTGGATGATATAAAAAGCAAAGGAGTCCATACAATTCTCATATCAGTGATTTCGCCAATATTGTATTCAAGTTTCTCTTCAATTACCAATCGCTCTATATTTCCACATCATTTCCACAATGTCAACACTATCTGCAGACGACGAGCCGGCAGTGCCCATCTTTAAAGCTGTATCCAGTTCTGCTCGACAACTCTTTCAATTACTCAATACTATACGATTCGCACCCAAAGTCCAAGTCCAAATTAGTACTCAGGGTATCCGATTTGCTGTTGAAGAATCAAGAGTAATGCAAGGTTAGTTCTTGTGGTTCAATGGGTGTAGTTCTTCTTGTAACACTCTTTTAGGGATTGTATTTCTTGACAAAGCCTTGTTTACCACCTTCAACTGCACACTTCCTGAATTAGACAACGAAGAGGACCAAGAAGATGCACCTTCAGATGATCTACCTCTCTTTCAAATATCTCTTTCTGCCTTGCTCGAAACATTGCAAATATTCGGCGCAGCAGATGCTTCCACCTCACGGTTCTCCAAGCCCGAAAATGATGGCTATCATAGCAATATTCGTCCCAATCGACCAAATGTATTCAGCAACCAAGCTCTAGGAATGGCAGGTGTATGTCGATTCTCTTACGCCGGCACAGGATCTCCATTTAGTATTATCCTTGAAGAAGCGGGTGTGACTACGACTTGTAACCTCAATACTTATGAGCCCGAAAGCTCGGAAGAGATACCATTTCAGCGAGATGCGATGCAAGTTAAAATTATCATGCAAGCTCGTTGGCTTTTTGATGCCATTCAAGAATTGAATTCCACAACTCCAAACCGACTTGATATTGTTGCCCTTCCTTCGAAACCTTATATCAGCTTGTCGGCTAGTGGACATCTTGGTAGTGCGAGTGTTGACTTTTCAAAGGGTAGAGAACTATTGGAGACTTTCACGGTCAAAGAAAGGTGGTCTCAAAGTTATCGATTCGATATGGTGAAGGCTGCTGGGGAGGCTATGAGATTAGCGAGTAAGGTTAGTGTAAGGGGTGATGAGCAAGGTGTTTTGAGCTTACAATTCATGGTTGAGGTTGATGGCGGTGGTGTTAGCTTTGTTGACTTCAGATTTGTGCCATTCATTCGAGGGGAAGATGATGATGATGAGGATAACAGTCAGGAGGAAGAAGATGAGGAGTTTGAAGAGGAAGGCGATGACTAGCAGTAGCTAAACCGAACAATGTAACCCAAATTCTACAGTACTATCATGCAAGCACCTAACGTATCAGATTCTTTCAGGCTTTAGCCGAGCTGTCCTTCAAAAGACCCATCATCATTGTGAAATAGCTTCCAATTGTGCAACTATTATCTAGACCAATTAGGGGGAAATCGAGATGGATATGGGCATTTAAAAATTCACTCAAAAGAAGTAAATATCGACATCCATGCACGTGATTCTCGAACCACATTGCTCTAGGCTACGGCTTACAAGCAAAAAGACACATCTCCATGAGGTCCGTCACTTTCTCCGCGTACATTCACCATTCCCTTCCACAACATTTTGACCGTCAACTCTCAGCAAATTCACCCCAAATAAATCCAGTTAGATAGTCATCACACACCCACCAAAACATGATAACATCCCACGACACCCTCATCGGCATCGGCCTCACAGCCGCGCTCTTCGGCTGTTACAAAATCTCCTACGAGGCGGGTATCAAGAATGGGACGGTGATGGAACGGGCGCGTGTTGTGGGGCAGTTACTGCTGCTTGGACCGCGTAGATTGGGGAGGATTTTGGAGGGGGAGGGAGTGCGGTTTGTGGAGGTTGGAGATGGAGATGGAGATGGAGGTGGGGAAGGGGAAGATATGAGGGAAGATATGAGGGAAATCGAAGAAGAATTAATACAGGATATAAGGAGAGAACTAAGCGGAATTAAAGAAGAGCATGTAGGGTGAAGTGAGACAAGAAGTAAGAACAGAGTTAAAGGGGGAGATTAGGGAGGAATTGGTTAGGGATGGGAGGGATGCGGGGTTGGTTGTTGAGGCGATGAGGGATATTAGGGAGGAGGTGAGGAGGAAGGTTGAGAGGGGTTTGAGGAGGGAGGTGGAGAGGGAGGTGAGGTTAGTTTTGTTTTCTGTTACTCAGGATGTTGGGATCTTTGCGGCTTTCTTGTTTTCGTGCATGAGTATTGATTGAGAGCTTTTCTTCGAGCGGATTTCTTGATGCCGTCATTGTATTACTGACTCTACAATGTTATAGAAAGACGATCAATGAGGAGAAGAGGGAGAGGGAGAGGGAAAGGGAGAGGGAACTTAGGCTAACCGAGTTAGAGAAGAAAATCGAGGGAAAGTGTAGGGAGAAGGAGACTGAAAAGGAAACTGGACGTGGGGATGGGAATGGAAATGGAAGTGAAGAAGTTATAATTTCAAAAACAACTACCGAGAGTGTTATTGCGAGGACAAGCTTGAGATAGACGTTTGTGTACTCGAGTACAGTGTACTGTAACTTATAACTGGCTTTGCGAGGATACCTAGAGTTTGTTTGTCTTGTTTGTCTTGCTTGCTATAGTTACATTTCCAATCGAATAATATTTCACAGAGTCAGCGGGGCATTCAATTGTACGAATACCGAGTACCAGTAATGCAAATACTGTACAGTAGCAGTCGGTAAGTACTAAGTAGATGATTGGGCAAAATTGGATCACGGTTATAGTAGTATTAATATTATAATAGGAAGGAAACCGGTGGATTAGTATCATATCAGAGCGAGGTACTGAAAAGAAATATCCACTCCACTCCATATCAAAGACTACACTCGTATATAGACTATACCTCATATACCAATCCTCAATTCTCAATCCTCAATCCTTAATATTGCTCATAGCCAACTCAAACATAGTATCCCCAATTTCACATTTTCACATTTTCACATTTTCCTAAATCTCAATTCACACCAATAGTCCTTCTGGAAACAAGCAAGCTCTTCAAGTTCTCAAAATACGTCTATGTATCTATCTATCGATAGACTATGACTATATATCACCTATATCGTATTGTCACAAGATGCGTTTTGATTTTTTGAAGGTGTAGAAGTACCTAGCTAGTAGTTTCTGAAAAGATTTATGTTTCGAAGTATGGCTGGAAAAGCTCACGTAGAAAGAACGATGCATCTTAGTATCTTCATAGCTTGAGATGAATGGGCCTGTAACAATGCTCTTGCGAATGTCTCATCTGATCTGGTTTCTCTGATGATTTAACAATATGGCGAGAATTGACTTTGTATTCTCATCTAGCATCAACCACCGAAGAGTTGATGTCCTCTGATAACATGATAATGTTCTACCTTCTTGTACGCCAGTGTTCCTGAGCTAAGTGCCAAGGCAATATTATACATATAATTGATAGAAAATTTGATCTTACAGCATGCCATTGATAATATTGTGAACACTTCTTCTCAAGCAACAACTATTTGTTCAAGTGAAAATGTGAAAAGCCCCAAATCACTCAATCGATCCATCTCTGCTGCTCCCGATCATACCCAATTGCCGCCAAATCCACATTCAATGTTCTTAACATCATTGCCATTGTAAACTCCTGTACAGTGTTAGTAGTAGAAAATTTTAGGCGCTTATGGACTTACATCTTCCTCTCCAGGATTCTCCCCAGTATCACCAAGGCCCGGGGCTCTCTGTGTCTTCTCATTCTCCGTCTCAGGATCAATGCTATACTCTGCATAAACGTCTCGCTTCTCTAAATCCTTACCGTCGTCCTCATTGTCGGAATCGTTATTATTGTTATTGTTATTGTTATTGTTATTGGCATCGTCCTGATCCCAGTTATTTTGAAACTCCTGTTGTCTCTTCTGCATTTCCTTCCAAGCTCTCGGTCCACCCATCCTTATTCCATCACACCATATCAGCACAACCCCCACACATCAAGAACGTAGTAACATACCTATTAACCCTATCTCTAACCTTCCCAAACAACTCTTCCGCTGCCAATCGACTCGCGCCCTTCCATTTTTCACATAATTCTACCAACTCCCCGTCAATCTCTCCACTTCCATCCTTATCTTTATTCTTACTATCCTTCTCAATCTTCTTCGCCTGTTCTGCCATGTCCAACTCCTCCTTGACTTCCCTCAGTTGTTTCTCTAACTCCCTCTGCTCCTTAAGTAATGGAGCAATATCTGGGTCGGCATTGAGAACCGCCGCTGAAACCGGCGACGTGAAAGATCTCTTCGTACGTGTCGCGGTACTTGGAGATGGGATGCTCACGACAGGGTAAGAACTCGAAGTTTTGGAAGATAGAGGAGTAGAGACTGCGGCTGCGGCAGTAGAAGCTCGAGTGTTTGGGGCTTTGATGAGGGGCGATTTGAACGGAGTCTTAAAAGGTGACCGGAAGGGTTTTTGGAGAGTGTTTGCCGCTTCCATTCGACGACGTTTCGCTGCTGGGGTAGACATCTTGTGAATTTGACTTGAGTTAGTGCTGCTGATGGTAAGTTATTGATCAAAGATTGTGAAGCATTATTATCGTGGAAGTCTTGGAAAATGGTTGCTTTCTGTAACTTACATGAAGTTACGGCTCGCGAAAGACCGAAGGCGAGAGTCTGGGGGAAAGCTTGGACCTACAACCAGGAACCACTTGCATGGCTCCTACTTGCAGACTGCAGTCTGATCAAAGTATTTCTTAATACCGGTACATTATTTATTGAAACGGTGGTATTAATTCAGTTGATTTGACATAGAGACAAAAGCACTAATCTATGACCATAGATAGGGTTCGTTTTTTTAAGCAAAGATGATCACAGAGGTTTCTTGATATTCTACTCTTGCTATTTTACTGTTTTACTTGAGTACATTTCTACATATAGAGATGTAGTAGTGATGTAAACACACTTCGTAACCTTGAAGGGCTCATGTTCAAAGTCTTTAGCTGTTCTTCCCATGCCTTGCCATTCTCCAATATGACATCTTCACCTAAGAGCTTCACAAGGTTCCGGTCTGGAAGAGAGTGCCCACCCCGCGGGATACCTGAAAGGTCAACTGTGACAGTATTATTGTCGATATTTTTGTTGCCTAGAACGATTATTGCACCGTATCGTTTTCTTTTGGCTTCGGAAATCTTCTTTTTGACTGATCGTGGACTACAGTCTAGCTCGATTGGAACTTCAACTGTATAACGCGATCTTGGCCATATGTTGTGATGTGAATCCTGTGCCAGCTGTTTTTGGATCCCCTTCGCGTAATTTACAACTTCCTCTGAATCATTCACGGTAAGGATAATGACTTTGGAGGGGTTCAACCAGAATGGCCAGTGACCATTGTAATGTTCTATCAATAATGCCATCATTCTTTCGACGGAACCCAGGATAGCTCGATGTATTAGAACTGGTGCCACCGGTCCTTGCATAGCCAGCAATGTGGGGTCATTTGTGGTCTCTCCTTTTGCCTCAATCTCTGGTGCAGGAGCTTGATACTCTAATTCGAAGCGTTTTGGTAATTGAAAATCGAGTTGAACGGTTGCAGTTTGATGCTCTTTTCCATCAGAATCTTTCAAAATTATGTCAATCTTTGGTCCATAGAAAGCGCCATCTCCTTCATTCATCGTCCATTGTTGACCACTTCTCTCCAATGATTGCTTCAATGCTGTCTCAGCATTATCCCATTCTTCTTTTGTTCCAATATAGTGATCACTCGGTCGAGTAGACAACGCCAGTCTATACGGACCAAGCCCCAATGTCGTATACACCATTCTAACAAATTCCAATGTACTAGAAATCTCTTCCTCGATCTGGGAAGGTCGACAAAAGATGTGCCCATCGTCCTGGTGGAATCTCCGTACCCTTGTTAACCCGCTCAAAGCACCCGATAACTCGTTCCTGTGCAATGGACTGAAATCAGTATATCTAATAGGCATCTCACGATAGCTTCGCTGCTTTGACGCGAATATTAAGCAATGACCCGGACAATTCATTGGCTTCAAACCATATTCTTCATTCTCTCCTTTCTGACTCCCTATTGTCTCACCAGATGCACCACGACCAGTCACCGCGTACATGTCTTCGGCATAATTCTCCCAATGCCCTGACTTTTCCCATAGTGACTTTTTATATATTGTAGGTGTTATGACTTCTTCGAACCCGAAATGTGAATATTGTGCACTGAGGAATTCGGTCAATGCTTTAAACATGCGTGCGCCTTTAGGAAGAAATAGAGGTGAGCCAGGACTATAAGGAGTAGTTGTAAACAATTCTTGTTCAATTCCTAGTTGTCGATGATCAGCTGCTGGAGTTGGAGGTATTGTGGTAGCTTTTGCGACATTCGAAGCTATCGATGGACTTTCGCAAGAGGCACAACAACGATTTAGAATGACTGTGGCATGGGCAAACTTTCTTGGGGTCCAATATCGAAGACATTTTGCTGATGAATTGATATTCAATCCATTCTGGAACAGTCTTAAGGCTCTAAAGGAGACCATTACAAAAGGTTGTGAATCAATATATATCCATCCATACATTAGCTGTCAGCCTTGTTAAACATGAAGCTTTGAATTATTTTTAGAGAATACGTGGGGTAAATCGGTAAATCGGGTGAATCACGAGTTGACGAGATATGAGACTGTGTATCAGGGCTACGATAGGTGGGAAGGCGACAACAACAAATAATGAGACAACGTCATCTATCTACTCTATAAGTATCTTCATAATAATAAGTGAATCAGAATGAAATTGTTTTCAACACTTCCAACATCTACTTATGTCTACCACCTTCAACTCTTTTTGATCATTTCTAGGAACCATCAATTTCTACGAGCATAGCCTTCTCATCTCAACACTTTGTACGAGTATTTGCTACCGTGCTACATATATCATTGCTTTCGCTCTTATTACTTACCAACCCAACTCAAAACGAGACAACCTAGAGCATTAATATCTAACGCACTTTGGTACAATGCGTGGCGGAAGACTAAACGTACAACTTGGTGAATCCTGGGTGGTAGAAGGCGATGAGGAGAATGAAGAATATCTGCCACTCAACGAAGCAGATTACGATCATCGAGCAAGAACTTCTACCCCTCGAGGATCTACCAGAGGTGACAACAGATCTCCCGAGCCTGAATTTGTGATGCCTTCTCTGGACGTGGAAACTCTAGAAGCTTCATGGTCTCAAGGTGAGAGTACCAGTCGAAGTCCTCGGCGATTCCAAGAATCCAGAAGAAGAAGCTCGCGACATGATATGAACCATGAAAGCCCGAAAAACACATTGAGGACGCAGCCGACTTATGAAAAATCCCCCTTGGCGCCTTCAATCAGAACTTCCAACACACCTCATCATCAAGATTCTGACACCAAAGACATTATTACCGCTTTCTTCGATCATACAATAATGGCTCTTGCATGGATACTGGGGATTCTAGGCGGTGCCCTCAGACTTTTAAGAACGCCCCTATCTTATTTGCTTGCTATATGCATGCTTTCCGGTTTCGCTCTCGTCGCACGAAATCTCATCACGACTTCCATCTACGTATCATTATCACCAATTTGTTTGCTCCCGGGCTCATCATTATTGAGCTTGCCATTTTGCCCTATCCATAATGGTGGTTCCAGTACTGGGTCTAACGTGCCAGTTGAATTTGAACAAGTAATGATGGTTCAATCTCAGTTCGAAGATATCTTGAAGGAGAGTGCCGGAGGTGTCTCCCTGCCACTGGATATGAAACGTGGGGAGAGTTTTCTGAGAGACCTACGTCAACTTGTACGATATAGTCAACTGAAGTCGAGGTAGGCAATCACTAGATCCTTTCAAATTGGCGAGCCTTCCATTACGAGTCTCGCAGCTGGAAAGATGCAAAATCAGTCGCATCATCAAAGCTAGATACTAACACTTTCGACTTGCAGGAATGAACTTGTCGTAGAATTTGATGGGTTTATCGATACGGCGAAGATTGCATCAATGGATCTCACAAGGTTCAATAGCCATGTGGGTAGAGCAGTAGATAGTGTCATTTCTATCACACGCTGGACCTCACGAGTTCTTGATGGTATTCAAGAGCGAGAAACTTCCCGTGGTATGATCGGAACCTTCGTAAACGACAAAATGCTTGCACCATTCCAGCCTGTCAAGTTTTCCGAAAGACTCGTACTTGATCAGTATGTAGAGCATACTCGAGCTGTGGAAGAAGAAATTGCCCGTCTGGTCCTAGAAGCACAAGCTCTGCAAGGGGTTCTATATAATTTAGAAGATCGTTTGGAGGTCATCTACGGAATTTCAGTACGAGATGGTGTTCAAGCACAGGCCAGTAAAGACGAGACTCTTTCGGAATTATGGACATGGCTTGGTGGACATCGAGGCAGGATCAACAAACTCAATGGCCAACTCAATTTGTTGAAAGAGATTGGAGACAAACGCAAAATTGCTTTGGCTCATGTCTCAAAAACCTTAGTCAAGCTGCTAGAGATCAGTTCTGGTCTGGAGGACTTACGGGAAAGGGTAGCTGCACCAGAATTGCTACGCGACAGAATTCATATACCCTTGTCCGTTCATATCGAACACATTCAACAGGGAATAAGTCGCCTGGAAGAGCAGAAGCTCATTACACAAAAATCAAAGGATGATATCATGGACAGGGCAAGAAACCGTAACGATATGGATCAGAATCTCATAGATGCATGACGCATCTGGGATCCGGCTGCTAATATAGTAGTCTGGTATGGTAGTCTGGTATGGATGGTAATCTGGCGCGGTAGCATTGTTAACGGACAAAATATGTGTAGTTAATCGCTTAATAGAAGGGATTTGTTAGTATCTTGTTGAAGTGACGCCATGACTTTATTCGAAATTTAAATCCGAGTTTCGGCATTGTTGAGAGCGTACCTATCAAGTTAGATTGGGGGGGGGGGGGGGGGGGGTTCAGAAAGGTTAGTTGTTCGAAATAACAAACTTTTCTCTGGTAGACTAATTATTAGTAGTGCTTTTGTCCGGTTTGTAGTAATCATACTAGCTTGGGAGATCCAATGACCTCGAATATAGTTTCCGTATATCTTGAGTCTATATAAGCCACATCATTTTCTTAAATTTGCAATTTTAGTTTTGTTGCTCATATCGTTGGACACTGCATTCTTACATTCTTCTCTGTATCTCTTAATCTCTCTCTCTACTCTTTAGTTTCATCTCTCGACTCTTCTCTCGGCTTTCTTTTCGACCTCATTTGCAGAAATGAACACCGATGATGGATCTGATGCAAAAGTAAATGAAGGCGGTACCTCGAAAGATAATCCTCCCTCCTCCTACATTCCTAATAACTTTACATTACCGGGATGGGGACTTCAAAGACTGCCAGTGATTTCATGTGAAGTTTCAACTTCACGCCCTCGCGCAATTATACCGGAAGTCAGAGCTATTGTTACGGAATTCCAAGTGCGTGGAAGATCCATTTATCTCGGTCCTGCGACCTCGAGTGCAGTCTCTCAGCAAATGCTCTCCGAGAGTAACGGGAAGCAGCGCGGAAAAGTGGAAGACATTATAATTGATCGAGAAAAAGAGAATGTTGAATTCGATAAACCAGCTCTAGAACCAGTGGTTATAGAACAAGACCTTCAGAAGGATTTAGAACCGATCACGCAGGATCTGAGTCCCGCGCAGTCCCTAACCGCCTCTATAAGACGTAGGAGAGCAATTCAACAACGCAAAAAGACGGTTTTGCAGCAGCCGTCACATAATGGTGTGAAGTTCAAATATGTTCGTGTGAAGGAGGATCTGTATCCGCGAAGGGTAAGTGGTTCTGGGCGCATCAAGTTAATACCCATGTTTCAGTTCCCGGAACGTGTCATCAATTGTGATGATATCACTATGAAGGGTAATACCATGGTGCTATCTGAAAAGGTGTCGCAGGATATGTTGAAGCATTGTGTACTTCTCGTCGATCATGACGATTATTTACTCAATGAAGCTTCATATTTCACAACCCTGCCCACAAAGGGTCAGAGTTCAGGAAAAACCGGATTTGATTTGGTTAAGAATCATTTGATCAATGGAAGATGGCTATGGATCACAAAAGAAGTCGGTGATTGTCGGAGGAGTATCATGGTTGAGCGAACGGCTAATCTCTATGATGCTCGATTGATGTACATTATGAGTGCGGATACACTGCAATATACCAATCGACTCGAACCTCTCCAAAGTTTTATCAAGTCCAGCGGTCGGACTTGGGATTCTTGGGAAGGAAGAAATTATCAGATGAAATTCCATATACCACTGATACAGGAAAGGCTCTTCAGATGGGTCCATGGTTCACAGTACATGAAGGGTGATGGGGGTCCACTTGCGTGGATTAATTTTGGTGACAATAATGTTTTGGCCAAGTACCTCCGCCCAGAGAATCATATATATCATACCTACAAGACAGCACTCGCACTTGGAAAGAAGCCAGATCTTTCTCCAGCTTTACCACCATTAAGCTTGAGCGATTCTGGTTATCAGTCAATCGATTCAGTCCGTATTTTCGGTAGATCATCGCATTCTGAGCCTATGCTTCAAGCTGAAGCCAATCCAGTCGATGAATCTCAACCCGAAGCATTGGTCATCAAATGGAGGCATAAACCTGGATGTGAGCTAGCAGGAGTCCCGGGATTTTCGTGCCCATGTCCAGGTCCTAGTAGTGGGGCAAGCCCGGAGCCGCCACATGGCAACTCAAATAACGCCAAAAGCCATAAAAGTTGTCAAATCTCTATGAGTAAGCCTAACAACAAGAAACGCTTTGGTAATATCGGGAGTCGTGGCCGTAAGTTGTTAGGGCTGAAGTCACGTCATGGACAGGACAACGAGATCTCCAAGAGCGATATGTAGGGACATACCGGTACTCGTGTCACAGTCCAGCAGCCTATATATATCAGGAATCTAGTGTCCTTCAAGATCTTGAACAATAGCCTTGGATGCCAGAGAAGATTGGTATTATTTGATTTGTGGACGTTATTATTTGATTTTTAATGGAAGATGGGAAGCAGGAGATGGGGGTTCCGATAAGAGTATTCGGAGTGATGATGTTAATTTATAATTTTTTATAGGGAAAGAGGAAACGAGATAGAAGGATTGGTCTACTACACACGGTCAGAATAACTTACGATTTACATGACTATATACCCTATAATTATAATATTAACGGTAATAATATTAATAGGGAATCTTAATAGTAGTTTTACAATACACATCGACTCGAGTATTCAGTATGCGCAAAAGAAATGGTGTATTTTTGGAGTTATCGAGTGACATGTCTTTCCATGGCACAAATTGAGCAAGATCCCGGATTCCCAGCCACATCAAATCATTCTTGAAGGTGGGAGGGGGAAAATACCTGTTTTCTTGGCCATGTATTGGGTTTGCTTCTCAGAAACTTTAACCGGCACTAACTAGGTAATGGCATACCAATAACGTTCAGGACTACTGTACACTAACTGTTCTTTGCTACGTCAATGTAAACAGTAGTACCCCGCTCACAATTCTACATCATTCCAATCCTCATCGAAGAGGAGATCTCCGTAGTACGTACTGAATAGACCAGATATCAACATTATTACCTCGATGATCCCCCCATACACCAGTGGCGAGTTTCGAGACTAGATCCCTAGTGGGCCACTATCCAAGTTAACTGACCCGTTGATCTTGAAAAGAACAGTTCTTGTTGCACGTCGAATTCACACATGGCATTGTTGAAATCCCATCTTTCCCAAAACTTTCCCATCCATCGCCATCGAAATCAGAAATTAAGTTGCGTTTATGTAAGCCTAGTGAGTCTAGTGATCAATTAGGCTCTTGATATCAGTGTCGTCGCTTAGTGTCGAATCGAGATGTACGGAGAGGTTCGGCAAAAGTATTTTGGGCTCCGGTGACCGTTGGTTCTAGTGAGAAGCGATTTCCGGAGCTGTGGAGTTGAATTTTCAGCGCAGGAGAATTCTTGCTTCCTTGGATATGGCTTGCGATGTTAGGTTTCCCTGTGTATGTATCTAGCTTCTGATATTTTCTCATCTCCTGTACCACAAAGTTAACACATCTCGAGTATCTCTGGTGAGCGGCAGCGTTTGAGAATCATAGACCTTGGGAAATTCAGTAGCCAATACAAAAGATTGGGTCTAGTTTCTGAAAATGATTAATTTGCCTTCTGGTACTAAGATACTTCTAGTTTTATAAAGATTGGAGGATTACGGGTAATTTTCGTATAATTTTTAAGATTCGTCGCCCAGAAGTATTTGGTGCTCGTGGTGTCAAAATGTACTCAGTAAAGTTGTTGGCTACATTTGGGCGGTGAGAGGCTTTTGAGGCGTTGCGGGGGCGGCCGCTAGTGGATTATTTGACTTGTGGATTCATAAGCATCTTGAAATAACGTCGCTACCTAGGTATCTATATCAAAAACTTATGAGATTCAATTATATACAATCCTTGTTGTAATTAAACCCTATATCTTTGGTATTATCTCGATGAATGGTTTACTGCGAAGCAAACAAGGTTGTTGGACCTGCCGTTTGCGCAAGAAGAAATGCGACGAACGGAAACCTTCGCCATGTTTAACATGCGAATCTTTAGCGATCACATGTTATGAACATGGAGTAAAGCCAGAGTGGATGGATAATGGGCCAAGAGAAAAGGAAATGGCGAATAGAATCAAACAAATTGTCAAACACACATCACGTCGAAAGGGTCGGTTAGCTAGTGCATCCGCGGATCAAAAGAATGGTGATGCAGAAGCATCCGCCATCAGTCTCGCACCAAAGCCTACAGCTGTATCCTCGAATAGGAGTTCTATAGTAATTGGAGATGTAGATCACCAGAGGCCAAATTCTGAGACTTCCCCTGCCCACTCAGAGCAGAGTGCATCAGCTGACGCTTCCATGGTAAGAGGTTTAGAAATGGGTATTTATGAATGACTAACAGCATATAGGGCTCGACGCCAGACAGCGGAAACAGCTTTCCAAGTACACCGTCAATTACAGGCAATGAAGCTGCTTTACTTATGCATTTCCTGGATAATGTGTTTTCACTGCAATACCCCATGTATAAGCCTGAAGTAGCTGAAGGAGGACGAGGATGGTTGCTCTCGCTTCTACTGAAAACTAAACCGTTATATCATGCATCTATTGGCTTAAGCGCATATCATCGGGGGGTTGTACTTCGTGGAATAAGTCACGGTGCGTGTACAAAGCCCAGCATTGCTGAACAAGAGGGTCACCTTGCTATATGCTTGACTGAATTTCAAGATGCATTCAGACTCGCCCAAAAATCTGTCTCTGATTATTCAATCTGTCCGGATAATGGTCTTGAGATTATGGCTTGTGTTGTTCAACTCGTGTTTTTCGAGGTAAGTTTCCGCTTTTGTGTAATGTATCAATTTTCACAAGCCTTACTCGATTCCCAAACAGCTTTTTGGTGTACGCAAAAGTTCTTGGCAGATTCATCTCCGTGCTGCCACGGATATATTTGGTCAAGCGTACCGAAAACATACCACCGAGCTTGGCTTATTGGTTAACAATGAGTCAACTTCCGACACACTGTCAACGCTTTGCAAGTTGGGAGATAGCGAGAACACTATAACTTTTCAGTTTTTATTTGGAGTGGTTTTATGGTTGGACATAGTATCTTGTGTAACTACAGGAAAGTCACCGCAACTCCTTGATCTTCACCCTGTGGCATTCGGCGCAAAGGCTCAGATCAAGCTGGAGAAAATCATGGGCTGCAAGAACTGGGCTATGACTGAAATAGGTCGCATTTCCATGTTACATGAATCTAAGCGAGACGGGCTTCAGGGTGGTATTTTTGATGCTCACTCATTCGAGAATCAGGTTGAGAACATCAGACAAACCATCCGACGTGGGCTAAATGAACAGTTCTTGTCAGAACTTCGCATTACAAACCCAAGCTCGACTTCGCATGTCGAATCACGGATAGGTCCCCAAGACATCATCACGCGACTGTTTACCCGTGCTGCTTACATCTATTTAGAGCTTGTTGCTGGTGGATTCAAGAGCATTGAAGAAAATCCGGACCTACACAATATTATCGCTGGACCGATGACGATACTTTCGACATTGCTACGTGGAGACACATTTCGTGCTATTGTATGTCCAATGTATATCTTAGGGTGTGTGGCTTGTGCAAAAGACCGAGACATTTTCAGAAATATGTTCTCTTCGCCTCCATTGAAGGACCCCTCAATGCATCATCGGAGTACCATCTTACCTCTTCTGGAAAAGGTATGGGCTCTCAGGGAGGCTCATTTAGATAATGTCAGCTGGGAAAGTGTCTTGCAACTTTCGGACGATAGGATACTACTTCTTTGAGCTGGAAATTTATGGGATTCCGCTTCTATGCTTCAGAATCGCTGCATGGCTACAAATATACGAATGATTGATCGAGGGACGTGTATCAAAGATTCAATATCAGTTGCCGCACTGCTATGTAGCAAATGCCAACAAAATTACTATCTCAAACCTCTGAACTCGCTCGAACAACGACTTACTACTCGGGTAAGCGGACGGAAGTATATTCTCAAACTTCCATTCAGAAATGCTATCCGAATACCACTCGATACACAACCAAGACTACTTCAATACGAAGCATCACAACAAAGACATCAAGAATTTACCCTTCTTCTCGGTATCTCTTCCCAGAACGTCACCGGAGCTATCAAAGTTGCATAACTGAGAGCCGCAAGAACAAAAGCCTGAGTATTGTTAACCCCTAGTACATTATGCCAAGGTATTCGAGCACATAAGCCCCACCAAAAGATGAATCGAAACCAGTACTCGCCCCTATCTTACTTGCTTGCGAATCGCTAGTATCATCGTAATAGAAGTACCAAGGGCTTCCCCCGAGCTGAGTCCCTGCATCTAATTGATATTCGTATAGAGCGCGTGGAGTATCCGCCCTGAAACACGAGAAATCAAGAAGAACCCATTCGACGATTGGTGACGGTGCTGAATCAATCAAGATCCATACACATAGATGGAACGCAAGTTCTTACCCGAGATCGATAAATCGAGCCCTCTATTCCTCAAAATCGGTTCAATCCGTGCTTGTTCTTCCATCAAACCTCATACTTCAATCCTGCCTGCAATTATCTAAGCGATGGCAGAAACTTTTCTCATCTAATTCCTTGGACCTTTGATGGTTCTTCGTGATGAGACTCTGCACTTTACTTACTACCACTGTAGTTTCAGACCTACGTACTTGCTTGTGATTGTGATACAGTGATACAGTGATCGAGACGCTGGAAGCGCAGGCGAACAGATATATATACTCGTATATATATATACCTTGCTGTGATGATATAATGTGATCGATGACCTAATAATAACACACGAGATATTTCGATATGAGCTAGCTGTATATCCTTAAATATGGCGTGGTAGTTTGTCACTCGGTCAGTATATGAAGAAATCATTCTACTCGTATAAGTATCGACAAGATGTTGCGAAATATCTTGTTGTTCTACTCTATATTCACTCATACAAAGTAAGACGAGATATGACTTTATGTTGCACTCGACTTACAGTAAATTTCAACTCGCAGAATAATGCTATGTACTCGAGTAGTAGCTTTCTTATAGTGATATCTCTTGATTCTCTTCACTGGAATGAATATTGATTACAGTACCCGACGCAATAATCGTTAGAGATAGGTTACTCTCATCGCGATCGCGCAAGCGCAAGCTCTGGGTATTTATTATTTGTTGTATATACCTCCTATTCAAATCGCCTCGCCTACATGTAATCATAGTATCATACGAGGAAATTATCTATTTATAATCAGAGAGTCTGATTATTTGATTCTTAACGCCATTTGAGAGGGCTCAGAGACCATCGTGAACGTGAAACGCGTTGACCCGTGATTATGGTTATTGTATGATGAGATAACTTTCCAGAAGGAGGTGATGGCTGTCAGGTCAGAAGCGTTAAGTGCATAAGATTACATTGAAAGACAAAGATGGATGGTAATTTGTCATTGCCGAGTTATTCATAATTCGCGGCGCTTACTTTACCTTGCTTTGTCTTGTCGCGACAGGATAGAAGTTCTAAGTCATCTGGAAGAAGTTGGAATATGGAAATGGAATTGCTGTGATGGCTGGGTTTGGTCATCGCTTCTAGGTAGTGTAACATGCTACGGTGTTTTGTGGACAGAGTATACTGAATATTGAAAGATGGAGGTGGAATAGAGGAATAGAGGGAATGTGCAGAGGATTATAGATACCGCGTTGCCAACGTTTGTATAAATAATTAGATACCGCGTTGCCAACGTTTGTGTAAATAATATAGGTAGCAGACCGTGGACTACATATACAAGAGACAGATATGGGAAGGGCTTTTGCCAGACAAGTAGGTGTAACACAAGGAAATCAAAAATTAATACGGCAAGTAATGCATCTGTTTGAAAACTCTTTCCAAGAAAGACATAGAAAAGCCCTACCTAAGCTGAGTATGCGTGAGAAACACACCTCGGCATAACCCAAAGCAAGTTGCAGTAGCCCTTTACTTTTTCTCCAGCTCAAAATGCAACCACCTCATCAAAATAATCCCTTAAATCCTGCTATGTTTTCTTCGGGACCCAGCCCAAATCTCTAGCCACATCTGCATTAGTTCTCGAGCTAATTTGCATTAGTTCTATGATACCATATCAAGTCGCACATCGTCCGTCAGACTTACTTTGAAGCAAACGCCAATTCAACATAATATGCGCTTCCGCCATACCAATCTCCAGCTTCCTCTAGAGTGATACTCTTTGCCTCTTTTATTGATATCGCACCTCGCTTAAATAATGCTTCCCCAGCATATTCTGAAAATTGCTGCCACGTGAATCTTCCCGCGGAAGAGAAAATAATGCCCCGTGTCCCTGTGGGAACTTCCTCGCCTCTTAAGATCTTGGAAATTACGATCTCGAACAAATTTGCCACGTCGGATACATGAACGTAATCCCAGATACCCTTGCCATCGCCAATATAAGCTGCTTGGCCATGCTTGAGAGCATGACGGACAACGGCGGGCGCCTGGATGGAATTTGCATTGAATAACCCAGACCCGGTACCGTGGATCTCGGGGGGCATGATGATCGTCGTATTCACTCCTAGCAAAAGGCCGGCTTCGGTTAGGGCGACGTCAGTTGTGCGGAGCGGGTAATTTGTTTTTGATTCTCGGTATTTCTCATAGCTGAAGATATCCTCTGTGTCGCTGAAAATTCGGTCCTCTAAGAAAGCCCCGGAAAGTGGCTGGTCACTCATTGTGGATGTCCCGGAAATCTGGATCGTGTCAGTTCCGCAAAGATGAGTAGCCACGGAGTCTATACGTGTAAATAATGAACTTCCTTGCCCGTCTGCTTTTTGCGGTCACCGAGACCAGTAACAAAAGCTACCGCGGCAGCAGTGTGAGGCCCAAAAGCAGCATTGATGATAACTTTCCCAAGTCAGTGATGTCGATTCACTAGGTTAGGGGAACGGTACCATCATGTTCACGAGCGACTTTTTGTAGGAACTCTGTATCGTCCAAAGAGCTGAAAAGGATGGTGTTTACTCCTTGGGCAGAAAACACCCTCGCCTGTTCTTCTTTTCTCATAAGTACTGACAATGAATATTTGGAGAGGAAATCTGCATCTTGTTGAAGAATGGTTGATAGAATAGATCCTCCACTGTGACTTGGTAAGCTGAGGAGTTAGGAGACGGTGCAGAAAAACAATCTTTACACATATCCAGTAGCTCCTGTAAACAAGATCTTGGTGGAGGCCATTTGAAATTGATTATAGTCGGAATTGAAAGTGCGTGATGCTAATTCGGTCACAGATTTGAGTAAAATAGATGCAATGGTCAGAATGGTAGGATAGATTGGAGAAAGAGCAAGGAGATGTGGGTGCTATGCCTTTTCTACATCTTGATTGCTGGGTGCAATTGTGTGTCCAGACTTAGCACTGACTAAGGTCATGCCGCCGTCATCATTTCCAATTCTGATTTCTAATTCATTGATTTCCAATCCATTGCATCTCATAGCCTGTACATGGGGCAACTGTGTTTGGAAGCAAATGAATAATTGTAAGAAACTGCTGAAAAACCTAGAGCTGCTTCAGCTAACTTATGATACTTTTTGCTGCCTAGGCTTTTTTATGGGGAGAAATTGTATATCTAAGATGTTGATCACAGATTCATTGGTTGCACAAGGTATGGTACGAGCACTTGATCGTTTCAAGCAAGATCTGGAGATTATAAGTTTCAACGTCTAATTTGAATGGGTATGCATCGCAAATTCACAGCTCTTCTTGCTCTCCATTACGGAAAAAAGCAAGCCGAATGTGATGTCTCGATATTCGCTTGTTATTGAAACTATTATCTATATGACATACAAAGGTACATGAATAATACAAGATAATGAAAGAAGTATTGCTCTTCATCCCTTTACAATCTGTATGGTTTGAATATCCAATCCATCTTAGAAGAATGAGATGATAGGCCATTGCAGCCACCTTTCATCCCTACCTGAGGGACGTCCACTTGAACTTGAAGAGGCCAACCTCATTGTTGGGTCAAGATAGAATTGACTATTCTATTCTCAAGAGACAAGACACTGATGATGGATGTCCAGATAAAAGACCCTCTGTTGTGTTCAATAGCCATAATACAACGAAAGGAGACACAGAGAAATCCTCCTTTATGTTGTTGTTGGTGGATAGATAGTGTGGTGTGGCTCGGACCACTGGAGCAAGCCTCGGAGCCCAAAGTTTAGCACAAGGCTGTATATAAATAAATAACAAGCGAGGTTCACCTCCATCTCCAATCGTCTTGAGAATTTCTATAGGCAAAGTAATTCTTATTCAGTATCAACATGCCCAGCGCCACAGATATGGATATCCCGACCAGAAAACGCAAAGGACGCGATGATGACTCTGCGATCCATGATACGAAGAGTGATGACGAGAATTCAATCAATGGAGCGCATCTAGAGGCAGAGCCCACCCCCAAACGACAGAGAACGACGGAGCGTAGATCAGTGCAGATTGAGGATGAAGAGGACTTAAAGAATGGAATGGAAGATCTTGATGTGGAGGATGAAGATTTGCAAGTCGTAATTGCTCGGGAAAAGGCTCCAATGGAAGGCTACGACGATCTCTACCTCGATACTATAAATCGCAATGTACTCGACTTCGACTTCGAGAAGCTTTGCTCCATTTCCCTTTCCAACATCAACGTATACGCCTGTTTAGTATGTGGGAAGTACTATCAGGGACGAGGAACCAAGTCTCATGCATATTTTCATGCTCTTGAAGTAGGACATCACGTATTCATCAACATGCAAACACAGAAAGTATATGTTCTGCCAGAAGGATATGAGGTCAAAAATAAGAGTTTGGATGACATAAAGTTTGTGTCAGACCCTACATATACAAAGGAACAAGTCATGGCTGTGGATCGTGAAGCCAAAACTTCCTGGACACTTTCTGGCAAAGAATATATACCAGGTTTTGTCGGCATGAACAACATCAAAGATAACGACTATTTCAATGTAATAATACAAGCACTTTCCCATGTACCACCACTTCGAAATTTCTTCTTGCTGGAAGACTTCAATAATAAGCCGGAACTTATAAAACGTGTGTCTATTCTGTTCCGAAAGATATGGAATCCAAGATCCTTCAAATCCCACGTCTCTCCTCACGAAGTTCTCCAAGAAATCTCTCTCAAATCCAACAAAAAATTCAATCTTACTACACAATCCGACCCTGTGGATTTCCTGTCCTGGTTCCTTAACAACCTTCATCTCGCGCTTGGAGGTTCCAAAACCAAACCCGGCTCTTCAGTAATCCAAAAGATATTCCAAGGAAAACTAAAAGTCGAGTCTCAAGCCATCACAGCCAAAGCCGATGCTGGTGATCGATTAAGATTCGAAGATGCGGATGTTAAGACTGATGTTAGTAGGTTCATGCTACTCACATTAGATTTGCCCGCAGCGCCATTGTTCCAAGATGAATTAGAACGAAACATCATCCCACAAATCCCCCTCACCAGCATTCTCGCAAAATACGACGGCATAAAATCTCAAGAACATCTCAACATGCGCAAACGCTATCGATTGCTCCACCCACTACCACCCTTCCTCCTCTTCCACATAAAACGCTTTTCCCACAACAAATTCGTCGACGAACGCAACCCCACCATCGTCACCTTCGACGCGCGCAATCTCGACATGGCACCATATATCGAGCCCGATTTGAAGCATGCCAGTCCCGGTGAACCGATATGGTATGATTTGGTAGCAAACATAGTGCATGAAGCGGTTCGAGGACGAGAAGATAGTGTAGAAGGAGAATCAGAAAAGAGGAGTTGGAAAGTGCAGTTGAGGGATAAGGCGACGGGGGGTTGGAAGGTGGTGCAGGATTTGTTCGTAGAGGGGGGACAGAGGGAATTCTTGCATTTGGGGGAAAGTTATGTGCAGGTTTGGGAGAAAAGAAGAGAGGTGAAGGGGAAAGGAAAAGGAAAAGCTAACTAAAGGAAAGTCTATGGAACCTTGCCTCTCTTTTATATTGTCGTTACCCTATACCAAAATCCAGTCCGACTCTTCTTCAGCCACAAAAACCGTGGCAATTGGCTCCAGTACTATCATTGGCGTCATCGGGCATCCTCGACATTACTCTACCATGGTTTAAACAATGCGAAGATCGATAAGCTAGGAACAAACCGAGAGACGAGGATTCCATCGAGTAGGCCATAGATCGAGAGAAAAGATACTGGATGCGAGAGAATTGTGATGATGCTGTATTGTATAATATGATAAAGAAACGATAGCAGAGCATGAAAATTGAAAAAGAATATCACCAAGTTTAATCCACATATTCTGTCTTGATTAAATTTGATACTTGGGTGTTTGTCCTTTTAATGCATCTTCTACTGTAATAGAAATTGACTAATTATGGATTTATAGATGCTCTTCGGTGTTTGCCACCCGCACATCAAAGCCTCATTCATTAGTAGTATTCATGCACTTTTTCCTACGCACTGTATTATAGCTAGCTTTGGTAAGGGTGTTACATACCTACCTAGGTATGTAGCAAAGCAGAGGATTTGATGGGTGTTCGGTTAGTAAAAATGTGTTTAGGGGGAAAAGGAATAGACACCAAGCACAAAGCATATACATACACATTGAAATCAAAGCAGTGCCTGCCCAAACCAAACAAGTCAAGAGCTAGCAGTCATCTCATTATTGAGCTGTAATATTTACGCCATTTTTATTTTCATACATACAACAGGCAAGGTTAAAGGTGATCACAAATGAAGATATCATCCATCCTTTTATAACACAAAACTCCAAGCCCAGTCAAGTCAATCCATCCGCAGCTATACAATTGCATGCATGCAAATTTATGCCTTCTCCGCATCTTCTTCTGCATGACCATTTACACCATTACTAATCTGTTTCCTCGAGATCTCAAATACCACGGCTCCGTTTCTGCCCGCTGGCGCTTTTTGCCAGTTGCCCAAACGATGGGCTTTGCCTACCGCCGCGACGATACAGACGCCGTCCTTTCCCCTGTCGCCGCGCTCAAATACTGATATGTCGTTTATGATGCCGCGGGCTGGTGCTTGGGATTCAGAGGTTTCTGTGCTGCCTTCCATTATGGCATCTGGGATGCGACCTACGGGACCCATTGATTCTAGAGTTTTTCGGTCGGGACTGACTCTCCAGGCTCGGACTACACCGTCCCAGCTGCCGCTGAGTACGACATCGGAGTAGGGGATTGTCGTTAGGGCAGTGATCCATCTGGGTGATGGGCGGGGTACAATTCTCTTGCTGGGTTCGGTTTCTGCGGATGCTTGTTCGGGTTGTATTGGCTCGTCTGCTCCGTGTGCGAGAGTTAGGGTGTAGATTGGCTTCTTCTTGTGGACAGTCCATAAAGAAAGTGATCCATTGTCACCACCGGTAATGAAAATATCCTCATCAACCATGGCAATACGATCGATACTGCCCTCGATGGTACGGAGATCATTGGGATTCTTGTGACGCGATTTCTTCTCGCCTCCACCACCGCGGAAAACAAGTTGTGTTTCCTCAACCACTTTCCACAAACGAGCTGTACGATCGCGGGCGCCGACTGATATGCAGCGTTCTTGTGCAAGAGCAGCAATATCCACTACCTCATCTTGATGACCAAATAATGTTTCCACATATGCACCTTCATCCAAACTCCATATTTTGATTGTTCGATCTTTTGAACTGGAGTATAACTGATTTGTGCCTCTTCGGAATGTAAGACCTGTGACTGCGTCTCGATGTTGGGAGAAAACTCGTATGGGTGAAAGGGTTGCGGCGTTCCAAACGATGATCTTTCGGTCCACGCCGCCTGTTACAACAAATTTGCCGTCCTGAGAGGCAGCAACGCTGATAATGGCGTCGGTATGTCCCATGAAAGATGTGACTTTCGATTTTCTTTGGTCTCCTCGTACCGAAGCTACCAAGGTAGGCTTTCTCCTCGGTGGTGGTGCAGGCTTCTTACTCTTCTTCTTGCCCTTCCTTTGCGGATATTGGTCCCGCGGTAACTCCTGTATCTTCCATTTGACCAGCCACATATCCTTGGTCACGGTATACACATATGGCGCACATGTAGCTACACCCGTAAATGAATGCGAATCCTTCTTGAAATAACAACTCGAGGCTTGTCCAAATTCTAATTCGTCTGCCAGTTTTCTGTATATTCTCCCTTTCGATTCCGCAACATCTTCTTCTAAACGTTCGGCGATTAAATCTCGATCAATTTCCTCGGCATCAAATCCAACACCGTCCTCTGCTACCTCCTCTCGCACATTTTCCAAATATCTTTCTGCGAGTCTCAACCTGCGCTCTGCCGCAGTCTCCTCTTCCCCTTCCCCCTCTAAATCGTCATCCGAAGAGGCTTCTCCGACATCGTCATCCAATTGGTTCCCCTCACTGTCCGAATCGCTCCCAGAGATTTCTTCATCTCTTTCCGGTCTTTTCGCAGGCTGTGGCTGTTTCGTGGTAGTTTTCGATGAGACTGCTGATCTTTTCTTCGGGATTTCCGGGGCATCGCTTCGTTTCCTTTTCTTTTGAGCATTGGGTATTGTGAAGAAGGAAGACATAGTTGTGGTGATTGTGGTAGGAGAAGCTCGTGGTGGAAGGCAGAAAAATGTTCGTCTTATCGAAATAATTTTTTTTGGGGAATTATTCTGCCGCAGAATTTCGAGACAGGGATTATGTGGATCCAGAGCGTAATACCTACACGTGATACACTTCGAAATCAAGATCATAAACTCATATTTTATCTTTACCTACAAACAAGAAGAACATAACTTAGAATGATTTTTAGATGTCATTTGGATATACTCCTGTCTAAACTAAACTGATCAAATTGATGTTTTGATTTATCGGGAGTTTAATCAATCTTCAATTAGAAACGATAGCTTTTTTAAGCTTTTTGCGCTAAGTTACAAGTATACTAGCGCCAAATGGGATGAGGCAGCGAGAGCTACACGCGTTGGAGCTCCAAAGTCTCAATAGTTAGAACAATCTGAAGCTTCATCATACAACTCAAAAAACACCATCAATATGTAAGTAATTTTATAGACCTGTCTGTATGATTACTGCTAACAGTATCAACCTCTTAGGGAAGTCTTACTTGGAATAACTGGCAAGGACTTTACCCTCATCGCAGCTTCAAAAGCTGCTATGAGAGGTGCAACTATTCTCAAAGCTTCTGATGACAAGACCAGAGCATTGAACAAACATACCCTGATGGCATTTTCTGGAGAGGCCGGAGATACAAGTAAAGTTTCACCACCTCTTATACCAATATGTAATACTGATACTAGTGCTTCAAAGTTCAATTCGCAGAATACATTCAAGCCAACGCTCAACTTTACTCCATGCGCAACAACATTGACCTCTCCCCATCTGCTGTCGCCCACTTCGTTCGTGGTGAATTGGCACAATCCCTCCGCTCCCGCAAACCATACAACGTCAACCTTCTCCTTGGCGGTGTCGACCCCATCACCGATAAGCCCAGCTTATACTGGCTCGATTACCTAGCGTCACTTGCCCCCCTCCCATATGCAGCTCACGGCTACGCACAATACTACTGCTTGTCGATTCTCGATAAACATCATCACCCAGATATTGATTTTGAAGAAGGAATGAAGGTTTTGAGGATGTGTACAGATGAGTTGAAGAGGAGGTTGCCGATTGATTTCAAGGGGATGATTGTTAAGGTTATCACGAAGGACGGAATTAAGGAACTTGAATATGATGATAGTGCGAGAATTGATTGTCCTTAAGGGATTGGTCTGACGATGACTGGGTATGAGGGGCTTTTTATGACACAGGAGATAAACTATGAATTAAGACATGGGTGTATATTAGCGTGGCATCAAATGGCATCAAATGACGATATCTGTTTCGATGCATTTTTGCTGTGGAGGAACTATGATTTGATCTGACGGCATCCTCTCAGAGTTGTAGTACGTTCAAGTAATGCGGCCAGTTGTTCAAAATCACTCCTGAAGCAATATGGAGAGTCAAATACATGCCCATAAATTTCTACAACTCTTCAGAGTATTAGGAGGTTCAATATTTTGACCCTCCTATTGAAGTAATGGTTGCTTGCCTCCTTTGCCTCATTGCTTCCTCCCCTTCCCTTCCCTTCCCTTCCCCAACCCCAATATCATCAATTGCCACTGAAGCATGAAGTCCACCAAAGCATATGGTATTCAAAGTTAACACTCCCCACCAAATTGATAGAATAACTAGGTATCTTTTCAAGACCTGACATCAAAAGCGTGAATATCTACTCTCTCCAACGAAAAATAAACCTCGCTCTTCTTCTTCTTCTTCTTTCTTAAGATGAATGTCTCATTCACATTCACAGTTGTCAACCATTTTCCTGGAGAAGTTAATATATGGTATGCCTGCATCCCTCCGTTTGGCGAATGCTTTTTTGCAATTCATGAAAAAGGTTTAATAGGTATAATAACGGGAATATAAATAGGGAGGGATTGTAGGAAAGATGGTGAGGAAAAGCAGGAATTAACTAGACTGATTCTTATAAAAACAAAAAGAGGTGTAATGCTAGTTTCTTATACAAGTACAGATATTTAATATCTACTACTGATCAAAATTGAAGAGATTCAACTAACTATTGTAGACTGATTCTTATAGATAAATAGAGATGTGATAATACTAGTTTATTTTACAGCGATTCTATACCTACTATTAGTTAAAGTTGAAGAGATTCAAAAATTAACTAGACTAGATTCTTATAGGTAAATAGAGATGTAATCCTAGTCTCTTATATAGTTATTCTATATCTACTACTGGTTTGCTTTCATTATATATATATTTGCCTACTTCCTTCTACCCTAGATCTAAAATTTCAAATTCAGTAGTATCCTCTTCTAATCATAATAATGATAGAAAGGAAGATGATGAACTTTAAGGAATAAAATAGGATATATACCTAGATAGGTATACGTATCAATATACCTATGGAATCTACCTCAATAATATATAACCGTTGATTAATAGATAGGTAGTGGCAGACTACTAGTAGTAGTAGTAGTAGTAGTAGTAGTAGTAGTAGTAGTAGTAGTAGTAGTTAGTACCCTTAGGTATGGCGAGAACCTTATGTCGAGACCCTGTGTAAGGATTAGCGTGAAATCTTACTGTGCCGCTTAACGGGAATTGGTTACCGTCATTTTAAAAATTTGCCTCTAACACGATTCACTATCATTCGGGCAAGATCTCTACACAAAATTCTCTTTTCCCTTTTCCCCCCAAAACCTTCTTCCTCCAACACACAAAACTAAATATCTACCCCCTCAATTTGATAACAACCTCTTTACCACGATCAATTTTTCGTCTTTTCTAGTTCCTGTCTTTGAAGTTTCTTTCGAAAGCTATTCAACAAAGTTAAAGAGTTTTAAGGTTGTCTCAACGTTTCACTACCTACTCTTCTTACCATTATAAAGAGAGCGGAAGCATCAATCTACCAGATTTTTCTTTTTAATCGTTTCGATTGCATTTCGATTTCTTAGATTTCATCTTCAATTTCTAAGTTCCGCAAGACTTCTTAAAGTCGATTAATTTGTTCGATCCCACTACACCCGAATTACGAAGAAATCTTATCAATCAATACCCCAGCCTTACAAGTCTTCATACGTCGATCTTCCGAAGTCTATTCAATATGGCGGATCAAATCAACATGAATGGTCTCAACCTCAACGGCGGTGAACCTCGCTCATATATTCCTCCTCACATGCGAGGCAAGATGGGTGGCCCAGCTCCAGTTGGTCCACCACCAAACTTGAATGGCGGTGCTTGGGCTCCTCAAGGGTAAGTTACTGATTCTTCATCAGAAATGGTTTTTAGGATGATAGATGTACTGACCAATTTCCCCTGCTAGCAATGACTACGTTAATGGTCCCCGCCCTACTGGAGGCGAGTCTTGGGCAAATGCTCCCGATTTCACTCCACGCGGCAACAGTGCTCCACGAGGTGGAAACAACTGGAATACAGCTTCACCTCCATCTTTCAACAAGAACGCTTATGGTAACCCTGCCGCTGTATCAAACGGTGCCGGTGGTCCTGGTGGTCCTGGCGGTGCCGGTGGTGGTGGCGGCGGCGGTGGTGGTGGTGGTGGTGGCCAAGCTCGTGGTGGTGGAGACGGACAGTGGCGAGATGGGAAACATATCGCCGGTCCTGTCAACACTCGTTTAGAACGTGAGCTTTTTGGTCTCCCAGATGATCCAAGCAAGCAACAAACAGGTATCAACTTCGAGAAGTACGACGAAATTCCAGTTGAAGCATCCGGTCAAGATGTTCCAGAGCCAGTCCTCAGATTCACCAACCCTCCTCTCGATGACCATCTTATCAAGAACATCGAGTTGGCACATTACAAGGTCCCAACTCCAGTTCAAAAATACTCTATCCCAATTGTCATGGGTGGTCGTGACTTGATGGCATGTGCTCAAACTGGTTCCGGAAAGACTGGTGGTTTCTTGTTCCCCATTTTGTCTCAAGCATTCCAAACTGGTCCATCTGCTGTTCCAGCCAATGCTGCAGGAAGTTTCGGACGCACTCGCAAGGCATACCCAACTTCTTTAATCCTCGCTCCAACTCGTGAGCTGGTTTCCCAAATTTATGACGAGTCTCGCAAATTCGCCTACAGATCCTGGGTCCGTCCTTGTGTCGTCTATGGTGGTGCCGACATTGGCTCTCAACTCCGTCAAATGGAACGTGGCTGTGATCTCCTCGTTGCTACTCCAGGTCGTCTTGTCGATTTGATTGAGCGTGGCCGTATTTCCCTCCAAAACATCAAGTACTTGGTTCTCGACGAGGCTGATCGTATGTTGGACATGGGTTTCGAGCCACAGATCCGACGAATTGTTGAGGGTGAGGATATGCCAGGTGTTCAAGGCCGTCAAACCCTCATGTTTTCAGCCACCTTCCCGCGCGACATTCAAATGCTCGCTCGTGATTTCCTGAAGGATTACGTTTTCTTGTCTGTTGGTCGTGTTGGTTCTACTTCTGAGAACATCACCCAAAAGGTTGAATACGTTGAGGATGTTGACAAGCGTTCCGTTCTCTTGGACATTCTTCACACCCACGGTGCTGGGCTTACACTCATCTTCGTTGAAACTAAGCGCATGGCCGATTCTTTGTCAGACTTCTTGATCAACCAGAACTTCCCTGCCACATCCATTCACGGTGATCGCACTCAACGTGAGCGTGAACGTGCTCTTGAGATGTTCAGAAACGCCCGTTGCCCAATTCTAGTTGCCACTGCTGTTGCCGCTCGTATGTATTCCCCCTTTCGTGCCTTCCACACCCCAACACCAGACCCAACACCAGTGTATACAGGGTCCTGCCCATCCCTGATCTTTCCATGATGGATCTTCATTTTTCTTTACTACAACTGGACTTCTTGGACTCTTTCCTTCTGTCCAAACACCATCTCTACGTCTCAAACAACTTCAATTCATGTACTAATATATCATTCAGGTGGTCTTGATATCCCTAACGTTACCCACGTTGTCAATTACGATCTTCCCACCGATATCGATGATTATGTTCATCGAATCGGTCGTACAGGTCGTGCTGGTAACACTGGTATCTCCACCGCATTCTTCAACCGTGGAAACCGTGGTGTTGTCCGCGACCTCCTCGAACTTTTGAAGGAGGCCAACCAAGAGGTACCAGCTTTTCTCGAAAACATTGCCCGTGAAGGTGCAGGTTTCGGAGGTGGTGGTGGCCGAGGTGCTCGTTCAGGTGGTGGCGGACGCGGTCGTGGTGGCGGAGCCAACCGTGATTTCCGTAAGTTTGGTGGAGGTGGTGGTGGTGGATTCAGTGGAGGTGGAGGTGGTGGATTCAACAGTGGACCACCAGCCTCTTACGGTGGCGGTGGCGGTGGTGGATTCGGTGGCCCTCCTCCTCCTGCTGCATATGGTCCTCCTCCAACTTATAATGGTGGTGGTGGCGGCTATGGCAACCCAGTAAGTTAAATCTGTCCATTCGCAATATTCAATTCTGGTTGAATGCCCAAATCTTAACAAGAAAATTGCTGACTCTTCGTTCTTCAGTCTGCTGGATCTGGCCAATCGTGGTGGTAAACCCATCAGTAGAAAACGCTTCTTGTTCCTCTTTCGAAACCTCATTCGACATTGGTACTTTTCGGATCTTGGACGGAGGCGTCTTGCGGATATTGATGGACTTTGTACCTCTTATTGATATCGCCAAATTTCTTTTCCTCTCGATTTTTCCTTACAGCCCAGCTTCACATTTGCTCTGCATTGAAATTATTTTGCGCCTTTTCGATTTTCCGGTGGCGGTATCCACGATTGAAGTCTTCTTTTGCATTATGCGATAGAGCCGACTTTACACGTGGTCTCGACCATTGATCGGCATACGATAGAACCTGTCTTTTGTTTATGACTGTCTGTCGCCTCGTCTCGATGCCCATTATAGATGAAGGGCGACTCGACAGAATACATGAGATGTCAACCTTTTACGACGTACCGGTCATGATGCTTTCTTTCTACCTGGAAAAGCGGATTATAAAAGCTTTTTACCTGGATTTTCAAATAACGCATTCATGACGGTCATGTTTTCCAAACCCTTTTTGATCCTACTCATAGAGTCTTCCGCCATGGAAGGGCTTGCAAATATCTTCGACGTTTTTCCCTTTGCATTTTGCTGCGTTTCTAGATAGATAAAAGTGGGATTCATATTCTCGAGCTTTTCTTCTTCGATGTGTTCGCAATAACACATAGCAAGGAAGGATACCATTTGAGAGCTTGAATCGAAGATTTTCCTCTTAATTTTTCATTTTTCCCATCATCTGCGAGTGGGCGTCTTTTACGATCAAATCGATATACGACAGTGGTACAACGTAGAATAGGCATTTCTCTTCTTAAAAATAATTCTTAAGGAAGAGTTGGTGCTTGTTCTCAATAACGCTGATGGCATTCGGAAGTGCTCCTGTCCATTCAGGCTGAGACTGAGACCCAAAAGTTGGCATTTAGGCTGACAAGCAGGCAGAAAGAAGTCTGCTTTATATGATTGATGGAGGAAGGAATATGGGATGGAATGGAAGATCAATAGCTTTGAATTAATATAAAGTCTTTCCACAACTAATGCTTGTGTCTCCATAATGTGATGTTCCTGTGATCAAATTCGGTTTACCTTCTAAGTGTTCTATCTCGCCATCCCTGAGCCCTGTTCCACTAAGGGGGGAAGAGTGTCCAATCCCACCATTTTAGTTTTTTAAAAAGTACTAAACATTTAAATCTCTCTTGAGGATCTTCATACTTCTCAGTGCCCCAAATAGAACCAAACATTCAATCTTCAATCCTCAATCTTCACTTTCCCTTGGATTTCTCCTGAGGCTTTTCAACGATTTAAGCGAAATGAAGAATCGAAATGAAATGAAATGGGTGGGAGTGAAATGAGTTGGAATTAAATGGGAAGGATTGAACAGGTGGAATAGAAGGGGCTGGGACGGAAGTGAAATTGGATGGGACGGAATGAGATAAATTGAGGTGGGATGGTATGGGTAAAAGTTCGAGACTGGGGTGAAAAAGTTGACTACAAGTTTACCAAGATGAAGTATATCTAGGCAATTGCTGTGTAGTTCATTGTATGTTTGTCTCTTGGCTGTTCTTATAAGTATGACTACTTGTTCAAGTGACAATGTTCAAACATTTTGCTATGTATGTGTGTGTGTGTGAGAATGAAAAAGCTTTTATTGTCTTCTTATTATACATTGTATGTATCACTCATCTTCTCATTTTGACATACGCTTGCTTGCGGTTGAATAGTTTGAAAATGATATTTGGATGGGTCAAAAACATGGGTTTCAATAAAATTTAATTGTTTTAAGAGACTTGAATATTTACTCGAGTAGTAGGCAGATGTAGATTTATGATCATTTATTTCCACACCTCCTATTTAGCAAATATTTCATTGGGAGGATGGAGTGGGTAGCTTGTCTTAGAAGGTACTTGTGTCAGAAGTTAGAACACGTAGCTAGCTCATCTCTATAACTGTATCATTGATGATTTTCCACACAGTACACTTAATAATATCATACATTTTACACATCCCATCCACCCATCCCATTCCATCTCAGCAGCCAAGCCACCATTCATCCATCCCTAACCAAATCCCCAATCAAATTAAAATTCACCCACCCACCCACCTCATCTCATCCTACATATATCCAAACAAGACACCTCCCCTCATAAAATCAGTTGTATGATGTATTGATGGCGCGGTGGTAAAACACTAGTTATATACCTAAGTTCCCCATTACCTCGTCGGTGTGGTGGCTGTAAGATAAGACTCGGTATTCGTATAGAGCTCAAAAAATACATGCTTGTTGATATATATCCCTTGGGATGGTTCATATCTCTGATTTTATCTTTTGTTTTTGTTTACTTTTTTGTTGGATGGGATTGGATTGATTGAGGGGCGAGTGAGGGTCCTCTTTTGTGGGCTGGGTGGCGTGAACTTGGTGGTTGTGATGGGCGGGTGAGAGTTGGTTTTGTGGGGCTGGCTTGAAAGATTCACTCCCCTTGATGCTTGGGGATGGTAAGCGAGATTTGGGATTGTGGTTGTGGTACCACCTACAATAATTCTTCCACTACGAGATATCTTGAGTGCTATACCATTTTTCTGAATGTATTGGGAAACTTCCGGCTCATAAACCTTAAGTCAAGTTATTTGATTCTCGGATGGATGGAAGACCGTCTTGATTTACGTGTAGACAAGAGGAAAAGTATAAATTATCCTTGCGGTTTTCAAATAAGCGGCTTTCCAGCGATGCACGTTTGAAATACGTCTTTTTGGTGGGAAACTGAATACAACGAAATCGTGTACACTTTGTTTGAGCGGTCGCATAAACAAAGTGTGGGCAGCGAGCCAAACGCAGCCTTTAGTAAAGTCATGTCGCCTTTTCTCACCAGGTCAGTTCTCGACCAAGCACTTCTAAATTGGTAATTGTCATTTACGAGGAATAGGGTAGATAGTGTAGAGCTCTTGTTTCAGAGAATTCGCTGATGCAGTGATGCTTGCCTTGTCTTCAAAAGATCGTAATCGGAAGTGACTTTACGATGAAGCAGTTAGACATTCTACCTCTAAGAATATTCAACCTTCTTCTTTTCAACAACAAAGTTATCTTGTAACCAATTCTGGGTTAGGTTAGGCGTCTATAAACCAACCTTCATTCATATCACTGACTACAAATTCTCTCAAAGTTTATACTATCACAGTGGTAGCTTTAATTTGTTGACGCTCAATTATTCCTTATGTTTTTGAATCTAAATGCATAGCCATGCTTTTATAGGCAAGCGAATAGCAAGCTCGCGTAACTGCAAATTTACATGAAGCTATGGAAGGAGCTGCTGATTCTATAGCCTTCCGATGATTGGGTTTGCGAAAGCTGGATCATTATATTGTTGGTTTATGTCCACGTTTGCCTTCTTCAACGCCTAGAAAAATTCTGCATCGCACTTCAAGAACTTGCCCAAAATTGCCAAGTCAAGCAGTTCCTTTACAGTGGCCTGAGCATACTTTTTTCCTCCACCAAGCTTCCGATCTTCATTGAAGCAATTGCTCCACCTGACGATGAGTTTCCAGATTGTCTCCTTTCCCAATGCCGCTAGTTCAGCATACCCAGCTTGTTTTTCCGCCCAAGGTGCATCCATCAAAGCGTCCACATAGATGGTGTATTCGGTGATGTAAGTCTTCTTAAGCTGGGTGTTTCGAGGGTTGTAACAAACTTTGTCCCTTGAATCGTCGATAAGTCTTTGGCGCTTAGCTTCAATGAGGCGCTTCAAAGTGACGGAAGACCGAAGGAGAACTGCGACTGGAAGGCGTATGAAAGGCGGTTGACCATCACGGCTCAGCGGTAGTCCTTCCTTCTCCTGGGTCTTCAAGAAGAGAATGTGACCTTTTAAATCAGTGAACCTCGGTTGCTTTGCTTTCTTAGGTTTTCGTACTCGATTTGCGGCATTTTGGGGCTTGAGCGTACCGGCTTCATTGTTGCGAGCGCTGGTCTTAGTCGTAATTGGATGCTTTTGATGATTGTCTGTAGTAGTAAGCGCTTGAAAGATGCTTTCGATGTGTGTAGGAGGAGCAGTGTCGGTCAGTTTTGGATTTGCTCGTTTTAGATCTGCTAATCCGTTAGATGCCATGACGTTAGACATGAAAATGACCGGAGGATTACCAGTGGACGTATAAACACTTCTCAGTCTATGTATCTCCACCTGGAGGATGTGCTCCAAAATTGACGCATCGCCTGTTTCCAACTTGGGCTGCAAGGTATTCTGCACATGCTTAACACATACTTCAAGTGTATCCAGACTTGCTGAGGCGCGCTTCTTAAATGTTGGCGAAACAAAGGACATGGTAGATAAGTTTAAATATATTCAAATTACAAGACAAATGCTCAGAGACGGTACTCGAGAAGAGTGCTTGAGGTTGTTAGATGGGGGAATGTTGTAAGAGGGAGGAGGTTGTAAGGCTGTAAGACATATAGGGAAATAAAAGAAGTTTCGAAGATTTCTCTATGGAAGAAAATAAAAAGTACAGTACTGTACTTCACTGTACTGTCGCTTCATAAAATCCATCCAAGGAGAGTGAATATCTTTACCAAATCAGCAAAAGAAGTGAATTGAAACCACAAATTATTTCTCAACTAATTATCATATCCTCCACCAAAAGAAATAAAAATCAAGAAAATCAAAGCAAAGAGAAAAGAATATGAACCGCCTTAGGCAAGGGAGTGAGGAGGTTGTCTGGGGAGCTTCGCCAAGAGACGGAACTCACGACCACCCAAGCAACTTGGGGCACATCTGTGGGTCCGAACCGGAGTTCTTACCACTGCATCAGTCTCACTTCATATCTGTATTGAATGAGCTCGTTTAGATATATATAGGAGTTTTCGTCTCGCACGGATGTTAGCCTTCTGTCTTGATGAAAGCAATACTTTGATTTTTCCCTACAGGAAGGACCGTTTGTGTTGATACTGCCGATCTACTTTTCCGTGTTACCTAGTATGTTTCAGAGAAGGAAAGTGGTGTGTATGGGAGTGTTTGGGGATGGTAGGATTGAATTTTGGTGAAGCGTTCCCCCAATGAGTTCTTCACCTGAGCTTTCCATTGGATAATATAAGCCATCAAATGAAATAGAAGACAACTTGCCAAATTTGTGTCAACGCTTAGTGATATCAACAGTATACGGACGGTATGAAGACACCCAATTACGGTAATACGTATTTCAATTTTTGTAAATCATTCCACTACGATGAACACATAGTTTAGAATTCCATACTACTAGTAGTATCAGGTTTAGGTTTCTTGTCTAGTATTAGATATTGCTAGGAAGATATGAAACTGCTGAGTACTACTTCGTTTGAATGTGAAGATTTGCAGTTTCCAGTATATTGTTAGTGTTACAAATCGTTCTAGTACAGCATTTTTATCAACTATGCACGGATGTAGTGTAGGAGGACCCAATATCAGCACCCATAATACTATTTGAAACTATTCACATCACTGACAGTGATCAGAGAGCGCGAGAAGCTTTCGTTGGACGTTCAGATGATGGTGGAAGATCGGCTGATCGATTGGATGTTATGTCATTGAATATGCAATAGAATTAAACTTACCAAAAGCCACCATGAGCGCTGGCTGTAGCTGAAGAACGTACGTTAAGGGATGCTATAAGATGGAGAATAAGAAAAAGCTTGAAATTTTGTCTGTGGAAGATGTTAATCTTACAATGTTTCTACTTTATTTTTCGCTTAATTAGTGAAGCGAATTTAAGGGGAGTGAATTTATTCACAGCCTAGTAGGACGAATTGCCGCGACTCTTCGATACATTAACCAGCTCTTGTTCTTTTTATTAGTTCTAGACCAAAAAGCAAATATCAAAATATATCAAGATACTGATCTCTCATTTCTGAGGTATCGTCTTCTTTAAATCATAGTACAACGAGTTGCTACTAGTATATCCAGACTTTTGATCAGTCAGGAAACTAGCAGTTTGTCTATCATAAACTAAACCAATTGGCAATCAAATTCAACAAACTAAACTATCAGTTATACTGGTAATTCAAAAAAAACAGATTTCAACAAGCAGTTAGAATCTATCAAACAAACCGATTGACAATTTGGATTTATCAAACCAAATACCAGTTTGATCAGTACACTAGTTTAACTGGTTAACTATTGACTACACTGGTTATCACAATTGACAGACAGGGGCCTGAAAAGGCGGAAGGAAGTGTATTGCTGATTAAGAATGATTATGAAATTTATGTAAAATTATATTGTGGTTGAGAGGGAACGTACTGGCTTCTGCAGCATACCTGGACTGTGAGGTGTTATATTATCATTGACAATTCCTCACTGCGGACAATGAAAAGCCCCCAAGCCCAATACCACTTATCTTTTAAAAAAGGTCAACGCCCCCGTAACCAAAGCCTCCACCCCCGTCCTAAGCGTCGGCCGTATCACCGGCGCAAATAACGGACTATGATTAATCGGCACATCCTCCAACCTCCCCATCTCCTTCGCTTTCCTCATAACCTCTGGATCCGTACCACCAAATAACCAATAACAAGAAGGGACTCCTTTTCCACCATTCTTGTTGGGTGCTTCTGTTGCTAGTAGACCAAAATCTTCTGATCCCCCCAACGGTGCGCAATTCTGAATATGGTTTTCGCCAAATACCTCATCAAAACTATCGGATAGCTTTTGCGTGGTAGCATTGTCGTTTATTAAGAAAGGGAAATTGCTTGTCGGTTCGAAAAGGGGCTCTTTGGTTGTATTTGAGGCGTCACATTCTGCTTTTACGACTCTCTTGATTGAATTCAAGACTCTTTCTCTTGTCTCCGGGTTGAAATTCCTGACATTGATTTTCAACACCGCTTCATCTGCAATAATATTCTCCGTCATTCCCGCAATCACGCTCCCAACCGTTATCACAGCCGAATCTTGCGGATTTACTTCTCTGCTGATAATTCCTTGTAATCGTACGATGATATTGGCGGCCATGAATACCAGATCAATCGTCATATGGGGCTGTGATGCATGACCTCCCTTTCCATAAACCGTCAATCGAAAACTATCCGCAGCGGATCCAGAGATCCCTTTTCGTGTTCCTACTTGTCCTGCTGCATATGGCATTACATGTTGTCCTAATACCACATACGGAATAGGACATGCATATTTTTCCGGATCATATAGTCCATCTTGTATCATAGCCTTTGCCCCTGCTCCTCGCTCTTCATTGGGTTGGAACAATATCACCAATGTGCCTTGCCATTCAGATTTTGCTTTCCAGAGTGTTTCGGCAGCGGCTAGCATACATGCTATATGCATATCGTGTCCACAAGCGTGCATTACGTTTTTTCGATGCCATCTTCGACATCGACTTCTCTTTTTACGCTAGCATATGGTAAACCAGTCAACTCTTTAACTGGCAATGCATCGATATCAGCACGGAGAAGAGCTGTAGGTCCAGACGAGTTCTTCAGAATACCAATAAGACCTGTGCCGCCAATGCTTGTACGGACATCAAAACCAGGGAGGTTCCGAAGATGTGTGGCTGCAGTTTCAGCGGCTAGGTGCTCTTGGAGTGATAATCCGGGATTTTGATGGAGATGTTTGTAGATTGTTTCATACGGGCTGAGGTCAGGAATATACTTTTGGAGAAGTGCCGGAATACTCATAGTTGCTGTTTCTTGTCAGCTGCGTTCACTGGACTGGAAGACTGATATCTGGGAACGATGGGGCAAAAATCTACCAAGATTTGAATAGCTCTGCACAATTTAGCTGATGTTGTCGAAAGATCGTGTAGAAATAATGATAAGTACGACTCGTTGAGTGGGGAGAATGGATTGATAAGCTCAAGTGCGGAGATGCGGGGTCTTCAAAATTCACACATCGATGACACGTGATGAACTGCGTTGAAGAGACAGAGACACTTGTAGGATGTTCTGTCCTTTTCTGGTAGCCAATTTCATCCAGAGATACGTGTCGGGCATCCTTCAATATGTGGCAATAGTATACTTGATATGTCACAAGTTGTAAGTGGTCAATTGTGCTCATGAATAAGTCCAAATGTTGGAAAAGAACATGATGGACATTGTACGAACAGTACAAGTAGGTTTATCTTCGTCCTTGGTAGTCCAATGTATGATTCTCACAAAGCTTGCATCCCTCAATCGACCTCTCACACAATATCGCAGAACCGTCTACTTGTGATTCAGCCCTCCTGCAAGCAATAAACTCTGACCAGTCGCATATCCAGTCTTCGCAAACATCATAACTGCATTGGAACACTCTTCTGGGGTACCCAATCGATGCAGTGGAATCGCATCAAGTAGACCAGGGGCAACATCAGCATTTGGGATCATGCCTGTATTGCCAATCATCGCCGGCGCAACATCATTGACTGTAATCTTGTACTCGGCGAGATGGAGTGATAGATTCTTCATCATAGATGTGAGACCCCCTTTTGACGCAGCGTAATCTATGCATATATTAGTTGGTTATAACAGTCGAGGAAAAAGAGGCAAAGAGAAGAGTCCGTACGACAACCATTAAGTCCAGCTCCATAAGCAGCTATACTTGAAATAAATATGATCCTTCCCCATTTCTGCTCCTTCATTCCCTCCACAACACCTTTAACCAACAAAAACGAAGCCTTCAAGTTAATATTGAGCGTATATTCAAATTCCTCCAACGTAATATCAGAGATATCCACTATTCTCTTACCATACCCCGCATTTGATATCAAGATATCCACAGCACGTCCATTGTGATCACGTTTGATTTCTTCGAAGAGACCAGAGATCTGTTCTGGAAACCCCATATCGACTTGATGAATTGAGATGCGAAGATCTTTCCCAGATGACGTTTGACGTAAATCGTTTACGAGCCTATCAATTGCATCCTTGGAGGTGGAATAGGTAAGTGCGAGGTGAACACCTTCTGCTGCAAATGCACGAGCGCAAGCTGATCCTATTCTATTTTCTTGTTATTTTGAGGATCTGAGGGTTGAATGATACTTCTTACCCCCCAGAAGCTCCTGTAATGAGGGCAAGCCGGTCGATCAAGTTGTTATCAGCCATTTTATATCGTGGGTGTATTGATGATGAGGAATGAAAATTTATTGTGTGGAGGTTTGCTGGTATTCGTAAATATTCAAGGGAGTTCAATACTGGTATGATGGTGGAAGTAGTCTGCCCCGCATGTAGTAGTGGAGAGCTTAATGAAGATGGGGGAAATGTGGGTGGTCGGGGTTGGCGATACGTAGTTCTCGGTTAACCTAGTGCCGGATGCACCCGCAACGACGATTATAGTAACACAAGATCAGCATGCGGTTGAACATACATATACCATAAAGGAAGAGGTTCCATTCGAAATCACAGGAAATTTCAGAAGGAGAGCAAAGTTACAGTAGTATGTAGCTAAACATCTCCACTCCTTTCACTGATAATTGAATTATGTTGCCTACCGAGACCCGAGACCCATGAAAATCCCTAGCAAGTGAATTTTGTAAGTAAGATTAAAAAACGATTCAAGTGGAGAAATAGCGAGCAAAAAATTACTCGATTCGAAGCTATCAAATGTCTCTAGAGAACTATATATAGAAGCCTGCATATATCGCCGGAGAACAATCGCCGTCATCAAAGAAAGGAAAGAGATCGAGGTATCTTGTAAACCACCGCGCCACGTTCGTTTTAGTTTATGTGACAGCTTGAAGCCTGTTCATAGCGCTTTGCACCCATTTATATCTAGCATAACATACTAACATACATACTACCCCTAATTCCATCAATTCGAAGAAAACTTAGCTCAAGGAAAGTAAGAAGAAAGATTCATATCTAGAATTTGCCCAGGATATTCCATCCCATTCCTTCCCCTCAAGCCTCAAAGCACCAGGAGGCCCTCTTCAACTAACCTTCTCAAAGACACCAAGAGCTTCCCCTTATCTGTCGCCGCATCACCATAGAACGAGCTCGAAGCCACAGGAGAAGTCGCCGTAGACGTTGCAGCAACCGAGCAAGCGAATGCCCCCTTTTCGACATTGATAACAGTCGAGGTACAGGCGCCCGTTGCCGCAACGCCGCTAATGAAACCGGCGTTGCAGGATTTGCCTATGTCAGATTTGGCGCAAAGCTTGGATGAGGGGGACTCGGGGTTTAGTTTTGGTTGCTGGAGCGGCGGTGGTCAGAGCCAGGAGGGGGATTAGGGTGATGGTGAGGAATGAGAATTGCATTGTAGATGGTGGGTATGTGAGGATGTGAATGGGAGATGGTATGAATGATACTTTGGCAATGGTAGAAGGACTGGGGGATTTTAGTGAATATCGGATGAATAAGACCTAGGAAAGGCACTTACATCACACATATAACTTGAGCACCAAAATAGAATGTAAAGGAGTGGACAGTGATTTTCTTGCCGCCAGATTATGGGTCAAAGACTTACACACCGCAATGCCAGGAGAATTGAAGGATCTTTATAATATTTCGAGTACCAGACTTTCGAGATGGCCTCGAGAACGAACCCTTTGCATTGTATATAATGCATCCATCAACCTAGCCCATTGATAGTCTCCCCGAGCAATCCTTACCCACAATGGTAGTTTGTGCCGTGTCACTAGCCCCTGCCAGCTTCCTTAAACCCAGGTTATAGCATCCTAATTCCCATTCCAAGATCACCCCCACGATATTCTCGTCCAATCGTGGTCATTCAGGCGCAAATATTTCATCCGTGCGGGACACTCTTTAAGCTTCAGGGAAAAGTCGACCAGTGAAATTACCGAGCTCACGGTAAGCTGAGATACTTCCCCCAAAATAACCGTCGCTCGTCCCATAAACTTGAAACAATAAAAGAACGGCAGATTTTCACCGATAAGAATATGAATTCATCCAGAACCCAAATGAGGATTCGTGATACGATAATTATAATCTTGCTGAACCTTGTTTGTGAGGAATCTCCAGATTGCCCCGGTCTATGTTCTACAGTGGTAAAAATTGAGCCAAGGAATTTCATGTTACACACAACCCACAGAGCAACAGCTCGAAAACCCCAACGGACCACCGAGAAAACTTGTTTTCGATGCATCTAGATCAACAGGCACAACTTGAAGATTTCCAGGAACATGACTTCCACGGGACAGATATGGAATGTAACGCGGGTTACAATATTCCAACCTTCGTTCGAAATGCATGAATTCAAATTCCGCATATTATTAGAATCGAGATCACAAGTAACTCACTAAAAGACGGATCGGGCTCGAGTATATTTGGAATGACTCTACTTGGAGCCTTGGCTATAGATCTATACTCAGAGTATTTGCAGAAAAGACTTGCGTCGCCATCAGAATCGAGTTCAGCCTTCTTATCTACTTGCCAAAGTCCTCAATCTCCGTCTTGTTCCGTTCCTTATCTTTCCAGCTGAAAGGATAACTTAATGACAGTCTATCTGTGTCGAGGAACCGCAGCCTGTACCACACCATACTAATTTGTGAGTATCCTGAGAGAGTCTGAAGCTGGCAGTGGTTGGATACTTGGGGAAAATGACAGCTGCCGGTAGGCTTTAATAGAAGATCCAGATTTATCGATACAGCGAAAGCCCCCTCATTTCTACCAGAGGTTAAATTTGGTTGCCCCATCTGCTAAAGATTCTTCAATACGGCAAACCCGGGTCTCATCGCATGCGCATCAGGAGAGAGTCATCCTCCTGGCTCTCTCTTGTACCATCATTGATTCAACCCAATTCATTCAATTGATCTGATTTCAGCACAACGAGGTAACTTGTCGGAGTCTGTCTCTAATAGAATATGTTCAACTTCTGGGGACGATGGTATGGCAGGTGGCAGGCATACTCGAGTATAAACCATGACATTCAACAATTACTGTAGACAATCCACAGAGGGGAATAAGATTCGGGCAATGCGACGATTGCTTTCTGACAAAATAAAATGGTGGTCTTCATAATGTACCGGTAATGCCTCAACAACAGGAATCGCACATCGACTCTCTTCCTCAGAGACCAGACTGTGGGTTGATAACACTAGATATATTCCCCACACACGACGTCATGAATGAGGGACACAAATACAGAATAAACCTCAATTCAAGTCAAATTTTCATAATAAGACCCTTATTGAGAAAAGGGGAACCGGAAGAGTTTGTAATAGGTAGTCATGACATAAACTCAGCCTTTTTTACATCAATTGAGCCACTTCATCCAAGCCACCCGTGTCAGTTGATCTTTTTCTCCATCCATCTAATCTCTAGTAAAAGATAAAAGATAGCTGCTAATCTAAAAAAAGGAAAAAGGCTAGTCTATATCCACTTTTACATACTTCACTGCATTAGCGCGATATTTATTTTATATGTCTACCTAATCTCATGATTACTGTGCCAACTTCAAGTAACGGTACAGTAACATCTTCTCTCTCAGATATCATTCATCAAAGTGAATTTAAACATTCATTTGCGCGCAATAAACATCACGAGCACCAAATCGCAGTCATATAAAATAAATTCACATTCCACAAGGGAAAGCGGACCAGTATCAGTTTCTGGAGGAGCTCTAGCTGAAAGAAAACTACCATACATCATACATTCCACATTCCACGTCTCTTTGAACCTTCTCAACCCAATCTACCAAAACGAGTAAAGGCAATGTCCACCGTCTATAACAACCCACCTATAACACCCTATCAGGAAGGAGTTTCTCCCATCACAACTGCCAGCGGTACTGTTTCCCCTCAAACAACCGGTTTAACCAACCACAACTCTACGCCTCTCTCTCCACAAATAACTGGCGTTACTAACACTTCTACTTCAAATAATCAAGAACAACCTCATTCCGATTTCCCTCCGCAATCACAACAGCCTCAATATAACAAATCAGAAGCTTATCAAGGCATCGAAGTCGTCGGTCATAATCATAATATAATGGCATCACAACAAATCCCCCCTCAGCAAGAGGGCTTCACAAATGGGAAACCCCAATCAACGCCTCCTCTCCAAGGACAATATAACACACCACCTCAAGGACAATACCAAGCTCCACCACCTGGTCAAGAACAATATCCTCCTCCAGGACAATATGCGCCTCAACCCCAAGCAAACATCAAGCAAAGGAAAAACAACTATGCAACTGCTATACCTATCCGTTCTCTTCAAGACGGACCTGCTCCTGTAGACTGTCCTATCTGTGGAGTGCGGGAAGTGACCTCTGTTGAACATCGTAGTGGAATGACTACACAGTATGTTTCTCTCTTCCCATAATTGATATAATATACTAAACCCCCTCTCTCAGTCTCATCGCACTCCTCTGTTGTGCAGTGACCTGCCTAGGTTGCATACCCTACCTAGTATCCTCTCTCAAAGACGCCGAACAAAAATGCGGACACTGTGGTGCATTATTGGCTGTGTGGCATAGAAGTGGTAGAACGGAGGTTAAGGTAGTACCTGGTGCTTGAAGTCGATGATTTTCGACTTAATTTCCTTTGAAGAGGTGTTATATTACCTGTGCCTTTTAATCATGCATATAAACCGTGGAGGGGACAGCAATGTTGTACAGGAAGTTGATGGATGGGATGGAATTTCTTTCGGTAATGGTGGAATATTGGAGTGGCATTTGCGATGTAGGATGTAGGATGTAGTGTGAGATACCCTCTTTTTGTCTTGTCTTTCTGCCTTACTATTTGAGATACTCAAGAATACTCAAGAATACATGGAGTTTGGGCATCAAGATCTTATATACCTGATGACCCACCTCAATGTTTGAAGTTAATCCCACAATCAAATGTCGCCTGAGGCTTATTTTAGCCCATCGCAATTCGCATCATATGCATTCCAGTTCATCCATATCAAAACGTGACACTTTCGATCCAATCCACACCCGCCAGTATGGAGAAAACCGTCGGTATACTCGAGTATTTCGTTATCATATACTCAGTACATGTATTCAACCTAACCCAGTAAGCCCAAGCGGGGCACCTGATTCCGGTCTGCGAGACACGGTACTTATACGTTACACCTATTCATATCTCCTCTCCCATGTCATACTTTCTCATAGTTTCTCATAAGTATAAGTATAAATCGCTTTCTCTTTCAAGCAGGACAGGCCTAGGATCTTCGTAGAGCAATGCAATAGAGAGTGTGTGTACTGTAGGTGTTTAGGGTGTAGAGTTTCGATGTATATCATTACTATCACTACTATGCGCTATCAATATATATATAGGTAATTTTAGGCAGAGGAATATATAAACAAAATACGATCACCATTACCATTCCCGTTTGCGTTTGCGTTTACGTTGTTGATTCTACTTTTTGGATGGATGAATGGCTCAAATATGTTTAGATTGGATTGGATTCTTGTAAGTGTAAAGTAGGCAGAAGAGGAGAGGAGAGGAGAGGAGAGGCAAGGCAGATGATGAGGGGTTCTTGGTGTATATATTGGTAAGTAGTGGATGGAATGGGATGGGGTATGGATAGGGGTGTATATGTGTGTGATGGTGTGTGGTATGTGGCGAAGAAATATCGAGTCGAATGCAGCCTGGAGAACTTGATGAAATGGATTCTTTTTGTAAGCTATTGTATCAAATCAAAAGAAGGAAGATGCCAAATCATTGTACAGTATATAATCACGAGTAAATTGCGTGATAAACATGTTGTATTCTGATCGGAAATATGCAAGAGGCATAGAAGATTCTATTCTCTATAAAGTCACGCATTATCCTGTATCCTGTATCAAACAGTAAAACTCCGTCCGAGCCAAAAGAACCCCCTTTCCTTTTTTACCCCACCGCCCAACTCCAAGTTTTAATACATCCATCCCCCTCGATGTAAAAACCCCCGATATCAAACCCTCGATCCCCGAAGAAGTCCACCAACCCCCTATCCATAAACCTCCCACCCACTCTCCACCATCATCATCGTCTCCCTCCTACTTCTTCAGGACTCGAGCAATCTTCTTTGAGAACCAGGTTTTTTTTTCGCTTCTGTTTGCCCGCTGGGTCTAATTTATCACACATCAGTATCATTTAACCCTTCTCAAACCAAAAAGAAAACTATAGAAAGAAACAGGTATTCGTACTTCTTCACTTCGACCTGTTCTGGTTCCTTGCCATATTTAGCTATCCATTCTTTGCATTCTCGGTGTGATTGCCGACTTTCATTACATAGATGTTTATCTTTCCATGCAGTAGTAAATGTCGCTTGGAATGTTTCGCAAAATTCGACGGTTTCGGAGGTCTGGACGTTTTGGCCACATATGATCAACTCTGTATCAGTTTTTTTGCACATTTTGGTGGTGAGGTTGGGGTTGTGTTGTGTTCTGAGCTGTATTGTGTATGTATTTTTCAGTATGTGTTGGTGTCTGTCTGTCTGTGTGTGTATGTTGCATTTTTTTTGGGCCTTTGTTGGTAAGAGGACTGTACAAAAAGGAAGGACCTGCAAGCGCTTATGGGGAGAAATATCCTTAGCCATGAGTAATTTTGTGTAAATGAAATACTCGCATATGACCAAAAGGATACCTTGAACTCCGCAAATTCATAATGACTAGTCCACATTTAGGATCAGTAAGGATGTCATAATAGGAAGACCAGTGAACATATGCATTAACACTCATACTTGTCCACAATATTGGGACATATATAATGGAATGTTGTTGAGCACAGCCTTTTAGCATCCAAGGCTAGCGGAATCAGGTGAGTGACCAATAATCGCTAGGGCAAGACGCGTATTGATGCCACTATTGACACCTATCTCGAAGTTCATTGACTCAAAATCTCATTTTGGTGATACCATCTGCGAAAGAAGTGTAGTAAGTACTTAAACAATTGAACCAGTGCACTGGTTAAACTGGCAGCTTATTCTATATAATTCAAACTGGCAATCGGCTTATTTTGTGTAACTTTAACTGCCAGTTGAACTACGCTCTCCCAAACTGCCGGTTCCCGACTAGTTCAAACTACTGACTACACTGTGCGAAAGCTACCAAGCCACAAAACAATCAGATACTGTGCCCTAGCCTTTCCTTCTAGACAGGGTAATAGAGTAGGAAACAAAAAGGAAGAATCTAGAATCATAGAACATGTCCATCTGTGAGGCAAAGAGGACTGCGGGGAGAACTTCGAATCATCGGAAAATCACCATAATACTGGTGAATCACGAACTTTTCGACAGGTATTGCATTGCTGAAGCAAGCCGATGACTGCAATCCAGCTGCATCAATGTCAAGCAGCAACTAGTAAGGAAAGAAAAGAGTCTGTTCACACCGCATTGTGTTACTCCAGAACTTGCGAAATACTGACAGAGTGACATAACGATAAGATGGCTTATCAAGTGAAGATGTGGACGATATTGCCAGCGAGATGTAAATGTACATCGTGAATCACTTCATGTTCAGCAATTTCAGAAACTTACTTCACGCCGTTATCATAAACATGTCGCCTAAATCAAAACAATATTCATACGGACGCTTGAAACGTTGCTCCACAATCCTCAACTCAAACTTGTATATTAAAGTAGCACAATACGTATCCAATCCTACATTATCATCGAAGTACAATAGCCTCTGGCGGATGATATTGAAACGATTTGTTGACTTCAATAGATGAGCACGACTATGCTCTGACGATTCTTGGTCCACAGCAGTCTATCACAGTGCTCGCCCACCTCTAGGAAGCAACCCACCTTTACTCTTTCTCGTGGACCAATACGCATGAGGGATGGCAGTTCCGGTAGAGGGTAGATGAATATTATTTGACATATTTTGGGTGATTCAAACAGTCAGTGGTCAGTGATAAGTCGAAGATTGATTTAGCCGATTATAATGAGGGTGGGGTGCGAACCGCCATTAACCGTCCTGGTATTTGCTATGCGTTGTCGAGCTCAAAAAGAGATTTACCACTTGGTCTATGATTAATACGTGTTGATTCTCATTTTATTTTGTCACATAAAATGGTACATGCGTTATGTAGCCATGAGAATAAAAACAAGGAATTTTATCTCCTCGATTTAAAACTTTTAGAAGTCCGAACGGTTGCCTCCTAAATAAACCATGAATTCTTGAGGACTACTCAACAATTGCAGCAATTGCCTACAAACAATCAAACAATCTCTCGCGATCAATATCGCATCACTGAATTCCTCATCGACACCTTCCACTTTACTGAGATGTGCGCAGAGCAAGAAGTTCGTTGTACTGGCTGCAACGAATCGAGCACTTGCGTATACATCTGTTCGAAGCTCAAGAGATGGCAGAGAAATCACAGGAAGATTATCAGCCATAGATTATGTCGAGATTTCAGCATATCTCTACCAAGGAGGCAAACCAGTTTGGCTCATATGGATTGTCCCATTGTAAGTGAAACCTCCCGACTGCCTAGTAGTAGTAGTACTAGGGTGCAGTTGAATTGGGGTAGCAATACTGTTGCTCCCAAAGACTTATCTTCCAGGATAAAAAACTGACCTGGAGATTTACTAGCGACCCGAGCAGGAACAGATCGAGGACCATCACGAGGGAGCTTTCATGTATGAATCTTACGCTGCTCAATGTCCAAGTCCAATCCAGGAATACCCGACATATCAGAGGCCACCGTCATATTATCCTTCATGGTGTGTATGATGAAGAAAGAATTTGTTGGAAACGTTCGTGTTGGACCACCATCCATAGAAGGATTGGGATGCGACATAAGAAATTCGGATGGAAGAGATAGCCCTAAAAACGAGCTCGAGCGATATGGGATGATCGTATTGAAACCTAAAGCTGGCTTTCTTTTCTGTGATCGACAGATGTGCTATGTGCCACCGGTGTTGTCTGTTTAGTTAAGGATTGATACCCAAAGTGTTTATGCTTTCATTGAAGAGTGGTTGTGGTTGGGGGAACTAGGTAAAATGTGGTACTGTAATGTGGTGATGTGGCGGTGGTGATGGAGATTAGCGTTCGAGAAGAATAAGAATCATAATATGAGTATTAATAACATCAAAATGAATCAGTTGAATCAAACTTTAAGAATTAATGATATCGAGATATCAAGTTGTTGTAGTACGAGTAGTATTTGATATTAATATGAAATACAAATAAATATATGGCCCCTTGGTGGCTGACATAACATACATTGACGTCAAGAGTGAATTTTGGGATGGTTTTAGCCAGATCATTATTATTCTTTGAGAAGTTCCCCTCCATTCTTCCATTCTCCATTCTCCATCCTCCATCCTCCATCCTCCATCCCTCCTTAAACAACTACCTAGGTAGATACACCATTTTACTACCGTTGTTTTATTCTTCTTTTTCTTCTTTCATGTCTAATATTAAATATTGAACGCCAACAAAATTATTTGCCGTACTGTAAACTGATGTTTTCATCGAGCTCACATGCCTTCTTCTTCCATAACTAAGCATCGGTGATGCCACTGCGATGCCTAGGAGGTTGGCTGGACCTCCCTTCCAGCAGTCAGTCAAGATGGTCTTTGTTGCTTCTTTTTACGATATGGCTAGGCTCAGTCAATGCGATGACGCCCGCGCGAATTACGGAGTTACGGAAGGAGACGGTGGATATGTTTTATCATGGGTTTGACAATTATATGGATATTGCATTCCCAGAGGATGAGGTTCGACCATAACTAAAAGTACAAAGATGTAGCTAAACTCTTTTTTTTTAATTAGCTGAGGCCTGTATCCTGTACACCCCTCACTCGAGACGCCCAAAACCCTCGACATCTTGAACTAAATGATGTACTCGGGAACTATTCTCTTACATTGATCGACAGTCTCTCGACTCTCGCAATATTGGCATCTGCCCCTTCGGATCAAGAAGGAACTGGCCCAACAGCACTCGAAGATTTTCAACATGGGATCGCTTCTTTAGTAATACAATATGGCGATGGGACAAGCGGAGCGTCCGGCAAAGGCCTACGTGCTCAAGGTTTTGACTTGGACAGTAAGGTGCAAGTTTTTGAGACAGTCATCAGAGGCGTGGGCGGATTACTGAGTGCGCATGAATTCGCTGCTGGAATTCTGCCAATAAATGGGTACAAACCACGAGCTAGCAACAGCAAGTCGAAGAAGATCTCGAAAATATATCAACCTTCGATTTTGTGGCCGAATGGGTTTGAATATAATGGACAACTTCTGCGCCTAGCTCTGGATCTAGCTGAGCGTCTACTGCCCGCTTTCTACACTGCGACCGGTATGCCATACCCTAGAGTTAATTTGCGGCACGGTATACCATTTTATGTGAATTCGCCCTTGCATGAAGGATTAGGTCTTAGCGACTTTATAGAAGAGGGCGCTCCTGAGATTACCGAAACATGCAGCGCTGGAGCAGGTAGTTTGGTGTTGGAATTTACGACTTTGAGCCGCCTCACCGGAGATCCAAGATTCGAGCAACTGGCTAAGCGAGCGTTCTGGGCTGTTTGGAATAGGCGAAGTGACATTGGACTCATTGGGGCAGGAATTGATGCAGAGAACGGTCAATGGATTGGATCATATGCTGGAATAGGGGCGGGAACTGACAGCTTCTTTGAATACGCATTCAAGACACACATTCTGCTTTCCGGACAAGACATTCCCAATACGACAACGCATAGACAACAACAGCATGAATCGTGGTTGGATCCAAATACAATCTACAATGAATTGAGTGTTGAAGAAAACTCCCCAGAAGCTTTCCTTGCAGTCTGGCACGAAGCTCACACAGCAATCAGGAGACACTTATACAGTCCCACCCATCACCCACATTACGTCAATGTGCATCTTCGCACCGGATCCCCTCAGGCATTCTGGATTGACAGTCTTGGAGCTTATTATCCAGGTTTACTGACTCTAGCTGGTGAGGTTGAGGAAGCAATCGAAACTAGTCTATTATACACCGCGTTATGGACGAGATACGCAGCTCTTCCTGAAAGATGGTCGGTACGCGACGGACACGTAGAAGGAGGACTCGGTTGGTGGCCTGGGCGCCCTGAGTTCATAGAATCGAATTACCACCTTTATCGGGCGACGAAAGATCCCTGGTATCTTCACGTTGGAGAAATGGTTTTGGCAGATATCAAACGGAGATGTTGGGCAACATGTGGTTGGTCAGGTCTACAAGATGTGCGTACCGGAGAAAAGAGTGATCGTATGGAAAGTTTCTTTCTTGGAGAAACGGCCAAGTATCTCTATCTACTTTTTGACCCAGATCATCCGATGAATGATCTCGATGCTGCTTATGTATTTACGACCGAGGGGCACCCTCTTGTGCTTCCTCGAGGAAAGTCGGAGTATCCCGTCGCAGCTCGTACGCCTGCAACTAGTAAGGCAGTTCAACCGCACTATAAGGCAGATCTTAGGGATACTTGCCCTGTAGCTCTACCACCAGTACCTTTCACTATCTCCTCTACAGCGGCTAGGACAGATGTATTCCACGCGTCAAGTCTCATAGGTTTACATATGATTCCAAATCATCACGCCACGATAGAAGGTGAAAATATCAAGGTCAACAATCATACATACTTTCCGTGGACTTTGCCAACCTCAATGATGCCAAGTAATGGTACTTGCGATCGTCTCCCAGTAACTACCACTTTTACGATTGAATTTCCTAATAACAATCCTTTGAACACTCATTCGGCCAAAAACGGGTTCAACGTCGTCTTTAATATTCCACAAAGTCTTGATCGTACAAATGATGGTAGGATATTGGTTAAGAGTCTGTCCGGTCTGAAGATGGGTATGATACATGAGAGCCAATCGCCTTCTTCCGGAATTAATCGGCAGGTCTCGGAATCCTGGAGAGTCGGCAGTATTGCCAACATAGCGTTAGGGAGGGATGAGCAGATATTGATACCACGAGATGTGATAGGAGATCTTACTGATCCTTCATTCTCACGCATAAGAGACGCAGTATTGGTTGATCTGGTCATACAACTTGAACACGTTCACGATCAAAACAAAAACATGTCAGGAAGCGTCGAAGAATTACTCGAGGAAGATCAAATCTACGAAGATACCCCGGGTCTAGCCTTGGAAGAGTCAATGAGCAATGCAGGGCTAGCAGAATACAGAACCTTACTAAGTTCTCTCCTCCACCAAGTAACATCTGCTCTCCGCGACCCGACCGCTACTCTACTCCCACAGCCTGAAAGCCCTTCCACTTATACCTACGTTACCCTTCCGGCTGTTTTGCCCACTGGTAAAGGTGCTTATCTCCTCATCAATGCTCCGGAAGCCCCAGATCCCAATTCCGCCAAAACCTCCTCCGCCACTCTTTCTTTCACGAGTGTTTTCTTCGCTGGTGAGGCCTGTGGCGGAAAACTCCCCGACGAAGCAGTCAAACAGCATCATGTTATCATCATGAAACGTGGCGGTTGCACATTTTCCGAAAAGCTATCTAATATTCCCAGCTACACACCCACATCTAAAGGTCTCAAGCTAGTTATCATGGTTTCAGACAACAAAGAAGACGTAGAATCGGGTGAGGAAAACATGGAGGATCAAATGGGTTCAGTGAAGGGGGAGCGAGAGTTAATCAGACCACTATTGGATAAACCACAACTAACACCAAGTGGTCTTTTGAGACATCATCAGGTTAGTATGATAATGATCGGGGGAGGTGATGAAGCCGTCGAAGCTTTGAGACAGGCTAAGAGTGTCGGTATCAGACGAAGATATCATGTGGAAAGTCAGGGCCTAACGATCAACAACATTTTTGTGGTATGACATGACTCCACAAGACATGAATAACACGAGAAATCATATCACATAGATTCATTATGGGATTTGGCGTTAGGATATAATTTTGGGTTGGGGTTTGGGTTGGTGCATCGATGGAAAACAAGAAAAATACTTTTTCTTATGACATTTAGGGGTTCTTTTACATTACGTCGGCAGAAGCTGTATCTCTCGTCTCTGCGGGAGAAGTTTTGAGGAGTAGCTAGTATGTTGTAGATACCATGATTGCTTTTGCATATAAGCGCAATTACATATATGTCTTCTTCATTATGTCTCAGTCTCGGTTTGAAATTTCTTCTTGGTGCGTGGTGGGACCTATGACGCCGTCCCTCTCTTCAAAAGTAAGACTTAGAATGAATGTGCGAATTCATCTTGACATGATATCCTTGAAAGTCCTAGTTGGTAGATTGGCAGGGGGAGGGGGGAGGGGGTGACTCTCTTCTACGTGTGAATTTATGTCGAATATTGGAAGTCCCCAGCATCCCAATTTCCTAATAAACACTACGAGTATAAGCAGAATACAGAATGTACAAAACACAGAAGTATACATCTACCTACTCAAGTACTCGTAGATAAAAACAGAATATTAATTACTCCTACTATATATGATTTTCCAAAAAAGTACTCATACATACATAGTCAGAGTCTACAATACAAGTAGCTCTAGCACAACATGTATGATGCATCGGAAAACCTTATCTGTTATTCGAGTGATTATAGTGAGCGAGTGAGGGTTGGGAATGTTCTGTTCTGTTCTGTTGAGTTTAGCTTTGATATGATTTGATTGATGGATTCAAGTAGTTGGATATTTATACGAGTATATTGTATGAATCATGCCAGAAGATGCAAGAAGATGGGCGAAGAAGACGAAGAAGATGAGGAAAACGAGGGAAGTAAAGCAAATCTGGGCTCTGGAACGCGGTCGAGGTCGAGTAAATGTTGTTGGTGATGAAAGTGGCAGTGGCAGTGACAGTGACTGCGACAGCGGAGATTCAAGGCTCAAGGTAATATAATCTGTAGGTAGCCTATGTAGTCAAGCATCAATAATTGGTTTTAACTTTCAAGGCTTATACTTATTATTATGTTAGATATTAGGCCAGTGAAGCTCATTGAAGAAGGTTTGTGAAAACCAAGTATTGTGTTTGTGAATTCATCAGGAAAGGGATTCACAAGGAAAGGGATCTTGTTTGAACAAGTTGTTGTGTACTAACTATACTGCTCGTCATAGGCTCACAGCTTGAATATGTGAACTTTGTGAACTTTGTGAAGGGTGTGAAGGGTGTTGATGATGGAGGGTGATTGAAAACTTGACTTGACTTGATTTGATTTAACTTGATTCGGGATCTGGATGTGGGAGGATTGTATGCTATGCAACTTGTTGATATTGAAATGTTGCTGTGGACCCAGCTGAAAACTGTTTTGAGATCCAAACTCACATTTAATAAAAATAAACCAGAAGAACAGGTACAAGAGTCAGCCTACTGAGTGTCATGAATCAGCATTAGTATCCAAGATATCCATGCATCAATCCATCCAACCATCCATCAATTAAGACACCAAACTCTACAAAACAATATACTCAAGTACCGATATAAAACAAACCATACAAAAAAGCTCACCAACACAAAAGGAATTCAAACAAGCAATAAATAGCAAATGAAGCTTGAAAGCAACTGTCACTAAATCTTGCACTTTGCATGTACCTCCCCAAATATGCCGTGAGCATATTATGAACACCTATAAACCCAAATATCACACATCACACATCACACATGCTTGCTAGGTATCTGTTAACCCATATGCTCTCCTCTCCTCACCCATCTCATCAACCTCATTGATTGATTGCCCCCACTTACCGCCAGATCCTCAGCCATCCATCCATCCAACTCCCCCAACCTTAATCCAACCCAGCCTCGCTTCGCCTCGCCTCGTCTTCATCTCACCTCCCTCCTCCGCCTCGCCTCGAGCCTTGCCTCACCTCACCCCATCACCCAACCCAATCTCCCATAAAATAAAACCCCCCATACCACACCACCTTCAACAAAAAAGGCGCGATAGTTCAATGGTAGAACATCCTCATCCAACTCAGATCACCCCTTCCACAATTTCAGGAGTGCAGTTATGCGAATAACTGCACTATGTTGTATATTAGGAAGATGGTGGTCTTTGGATAGTGAGGGAGATGGAGGTTTGATTCCTTCTTGTGCCAATTCGATTTTTTTGGATATTTAGATTTTTCTTTTTTGGATGAGGGGAGAGTGGTGGTGGTGAGATGGTGGTGAGATGATTGTGGGTCGGATGGCAGAAAGGAGGACTGTGGTTGGACAGTCGGAGGTGGGAGGTTGTGAGGGAGGAGATTAGCCGAGATGGGGATGAGTTGTTGTGAAGGATCTGATGGGAGTAGTGGGTGATGGTTTGTTGAAGGTAATTGGTTAGCGAGATGCTTTGTTTGTTTGTCTGGTATGTGACTTGATGTAGGTCTGATATCTAATGACATTAATTTTGACTGAATTCAATGCTCATCTTCTTGAGCATTGAAGGTTTCTTTATGATCACTTGTTAAAGATGTCTCTTAAACAAACACGATTGCCCAAACTGACAGTTTGCATAGGGGAACATACAGTGAGCACTAGGACTGCACCCATTGAGCCCTTTCATCACCACAAGTATCAAACAACATTTATCAGAAAAGAAGAGAAAGGGGGATGACATGAAAGAAGTCCCATCTAATTCTTAAAAGTACCTAGATATATTCAATACACAGTTGGACTAGCCGTAATTTTTCTACCTCATCTATACAAGTTTCCTCTCAAGGAATCATTCTAAAACAAACTCCATACGCTATGCTATGCTGTGCTACACTTTCCACAAACCCCATATATTTTGTTTCTCTATTTTAAAGCTCATCGAAGTTTGGGCGCACGATCGTCCATTTTCGAGGAGATACTGGAAGACCAATATAATATTCCCAAAATCTGGAGATCTCTAGTACGAAAATTTCCCATCTGTGAAAATTTGTTAGTATTGAGGTTAAGAATTGTGAGGAGTATTGAGAGAACGTACATAGTCTTGGGAAATCTGACCCAACCCCATATAACATATTTGAAAATACTCCACGTCATTCTTAGTTCATTCCAAAAGATATCCGAGGCGGTAGGCCTTTCCCGCTTTGATTTTTCCTGCTCGTCATAATCGGCAAAGTCTTTTGCTATTGGGTCTTCACGAGGTTCGTCGGTAATGACATTATGTGGCTTTGTCACACGGTCGTTCAACTTAACAGCCTCTTTAGGAGTATCTTCTTCCGCTTCAACCAAGATTCGGAACTCATTGATGGCGCGCAAGGAATGCGAAATGCGACCCAATGTATTGAATAAGGCGACGAGCTCGGTTCGTTTTAAAATCGGAACATCTTTCGAATTATTATCTGTTTCGAATAAAACTTTCAGTGCTGCCCCATAACCTGCGGTCTGAACCTTCCCCCAGAGTCGACATTTATCACAGCCTACACAATCCATGATTCGACTAACGTTTCTGAAGCGATTGCGGAAGTCTTCTTTCAGACTTGGACCTTCGCCATTGACGAACATCAAGCTTTCGTCGAATATTTGAGTTTCTTTTGATGCTTTTGACATCAAGGTTTGCACTTTAGATTGGGTAAGCTGATCTTGGGCTGGATCTCCAGAACAGAAAGTGTAGTCTTTAAGGGAAGGGCCGAGTTTCGTGACTGCACGTAGAACAAGAGCGTAGTTGAAATAGAGATTCGAGACACGTTCCGGAAAGCCATGTAGACGGTCTTTGTAACATTGAAGATTTGGGCCCCATTCACCAGTGCTTTGGTTCAAATACTCGTAGCAAAGATGTGTGCTGATAGAGGTGTGCATGCCAGAAATGACTCTGTAGAAAACACGTTTTTCCAAACATTCGTCTTCTAACTCAAGGCCAGTCTCCGCTACGAATGGAAGATTTGGGGAGTGCTCTCGCTGTTCTTCCAGGATATGTTGACGGCCGTGTTGTTTGAGAACGGACTTGAGTTCGTTTGTCGCTGGTTCTTTCAGAGAAAATGGAGAGTGTCCGAGGGATGCAGAATGGGGGAAAGATGTTTTCGAAAAGCAATTCTCTCGATATATGGCGTCCCAAACTTGCTTTGTACCCTCACCAGCGTACCCCGTAAATCTTTCCGGGTTGTCTACCAAGCTCACATAATCTCCCTTCGACCCAGCCCCTTCATCGTCCGGTACACAATAATCTCTCTCGTCGCATTCATCGTCATATTCTACCACACAACTCTCTCCCACGTCCTCACCGAGCATGCCTTGTAAGGGTTTCTTTGGAAGCTCCTGTTGTACTTTCTTGCCCGGATGACCAGCTTTAGGTCCTTCCAGTTTTCCCAGTTCCTGTGCCCTCCACACCGGTGGTATGTCTTCTTCATTGTCTAACGTATTGACGGCGCAAGCGATATTGCCACACATGCCATTCTCATCGTTCCAGAAAGGACATTCCTTACCAAAAAGATTCAGTCGGTAATACGCGAAGAAATCAGTGGTTCGTGTAAGGTCGTCTAGGGAAGGCGATATCTCTCGATTGAGGTCATCGAGGGTAGCGTATGTTGTGCACGCATCGGATACGATTGCTTTTGGGGAGATCTGGGTGACGGCATTAGACACATATGCCTGGTAAAAGAAAAGTAAAGCATACCGCGCAAACATCTGGACTTTGAATTGTCTTAGATTTAGACGATGAATCATGGGCTTCTACATGAGAAGTACAAGTACTCAAGAGAGTAAAGAGACCCAAGTAGAATGCTCGAGCGGCGGTCTTCATGATGAGACTGACACTTGGCCTTGTTGTTTGATGGCTCGGATGTATTACATTCAGGTATGGGTAAAAAGCTTCGGAGATTCCGAAGTAGGATATTGAGGAGTTCGGAGATATGATAGGTTCAAATCAACAAGAAATTATTGTATTGAGAGCCTAATTTGTCGATTCCTGTAACTGTGAAAGGAAGGCCAAGATAAAAATAGTTCTGAAAGATGGAAGAACTACTACTATATGTGTGATAAGCGGTTCTACTAGATAATCGATCAAAGAACCCTTCAATGAACTTTTATGAAGAACAAATGTAAAAAGAATGAATCTTTGGGTTTTAAATACATTATTATATATACTGATTGATTAGTTACACGTACACATACACATTGACTTTGATTTGAAAGCATAAGCATATTACCTTATTTTTTGGGAATATCTACAATCTGTCCATTTTGAAGGGAGTGGTTCGATTGTAATTGTAATCATCCGTCGGATCTTCACAGCCTACTGATTCCGGGGACCTGGGTAGTTGTGTAGTTGTGCCACAACAGTTGCAACTTGCCACCCACTAATCTGGAACATCTGACGGAACATTCAACGGCCCGGGTTCCTGTTGGTGGGTGGCATAAAAGAAAGTCCGAGGTCTAGAAAAGAAGGACTCGTTCATACGATATGAGTAGATCTAAATTCAAGTAATCGAGTAATTTACTGGAGGAACTACTGAAAGTCTAGCGTAGGTAGGAACTGATTCTCATGTCCCCTTCAACCTGAACCTCGATACAAACTTTAAAGATTATGCACTAGATATTCGATTTGAAAGCTAGCTGGGCACCAATTGCAAAGCCATGAAGCAAGCCATGAAGCCATGATATATGATCACTTCATATCATAAGACAAAATAAGCCCAACGAGCATGATTGGCCCAGAACAGTATGACAATCCCAAAAACTCACTCACAATGCTGAAAATTATATCATCCATCATACGTTCATATCGAACAGGAACAGGAATATATACCGGTATGTAGATATGATTTATTGGTAACCTGGCTTTCTAATGAGTGCATTAATCCGAGAACTGTCACCCCATTATGCCCCCTTTGGTCATCCTCTCGTTTGCATATACTATGCTGATCCTGCCATGCATCATACATTCCTCAATATTTGCTTTCTTTTTGCTTTTGAACATTCCCTAAATGCATTGCATCCAGCTCTGAAAAGCGCCGCTACCATTAACTTCCCAAAATGAACCAGGACCAGTATATAGCAGTGGAGATGATGTTAATTAATCCTGATCTAAAACATCAAAATAATAATCGAAAACCATAAAGTGTAATTTAGGAGAGACATAAGACGTAACGTCGTTAAGGCATATGTCCTCCTGTACAAGGTGTTATGCGGGATCAAAGACTTGCTGAAATCGACTTTGAATACATGCAACATACCTTACTGCTGCTGAGTTGGTGGTTGGTAATTAATTGATCTCCTAGATAAATCTAATTAGTATTTGGAGATAGTTTGAAGATGTCTAGTGACGTACTTGAAGAGTAGAATATGTGGTTCTGGCTCATGTACCTCATAATGTTCCCAACCAAGACTCTATTTGCAACTGATTAGTTGTGGTTTTTTGGTCCAGTTGTCGTCTCTGCATACCTGTGTTATTCCAAGTGCTCTCCACTCTTCCTCCCACAATAGCTTCAAGGTGCCAGTTTGGGGATCATGGTATTCCTTTGGAATGATTTTCAACATAGCTTTAGGCAGTTGAACATGTCGGTATTCGTATTGATCGTCAGAATATCTGCATAAAGAAATAAGCTCATGCGCAATGGATATTGAGGCCCAAATTTGTGCCAATGTCTGCACTGACCTTGCAGAATAATGGATTGCATCAATGAATTCATCTAGACGCTCCTTCTCGGCCTCTGAAAGTGGTCTCGCATACTTGTTTCTCCTAGTATAATCTATTTCCGCCATTGTGCTCTGAGTTCTATGGCTTTAGTGCAGGCCGGGATTTCTTGATATCGTCAACGTGTAGGTGGGGCAACGACGCGACAGATAATATTCCGGATGTTGATTTGATATATCCGGAGTAGGGGGGTTGTTCGACTGTATCTGAGATTGTTTAAATACCAGGATTAATAACAATTGGAAAAATGGCGCCGGCGCAAGGCGCAACGGAATCGAGGCGGGAAGGAAAGGTAGGAAGGAAGGCGTCGAGGGGCTGATTGAGTTTGGATTGTTACTTTTGCGGTGAAGTAATGATGTACCAAGGCCGATGGAAGGATGGAAAAAGTGATTGTATCTGTAATTGTTTGAAGACAATAAATTTCCCTAAGCAAATTGTAGTGACTGCAAATAATTTATGTGTTGTGAATTTGGGTTGATCTGATTGTGAAAGTAGTATTGTTATTGAGATATCAAAGTGGACTTTAGTCTTGGGGGGATGTAAACAATAGAAAACCGTAGTAAAAAGTTAGTGCAGAGTGGAGTCCAGCCTTGTCAAACTGGAGTACAGCCTTCTCCATAGATGCCTTAAGGCAACAACACATGACATGGTCATGTGATAACAATTCTTGAGGTCTGATTCATCTTGTCACTTCAATTGTTGGAATTACTTGGTGATTTTTGTTTGAACTGTGAAGACAAATGCATATGCAATGTTCCTCAAAATTGGTCGAATATTGAACACCAAAGAAACTCGTACTATACCTGGGTATTCATAAAAATATCTTTCAAAAGAGACCTCGTTGATCATATCATTCATATTGTATCTTCATCCTTGTTATGTTACATCTGGACTTCCTAGCAAAATTACATACCCCTGCATATCTCCATTAGTAACTTCGAAGTTTGTAAAGCTTCAGAACGCGCATATTCGGCTTTGACGCGTCCGCATTATCGATTAGATTTACGCATCAATTCGCAGATTAAGTACGCCTGCGAAAAGAACGATTCGATAACACGATGGATTCGAAGAGGAAGGTAAATGGTGGTGGAAATTCTTCGGATCAAGATGACGCGGATCGCGCCGCGAAGAGAAGAAAGCTTCCTGTTGTAAGTTGCGCCTGTTTTGTGTTGTTGCGATTTGATTAAGATGCCAGTTTGGCGCATTGGTCGTGGTCGTGGGGTTTAAACAAATACCAGCTCTGTCTCAATTGGTGGCAGGGAAGTGAACCGGCCGGCGCACCACCGCTTCTTCTTACGCTCCCTGACATTCACCCTCCATGACCGCGAAAATGACAAGAAAACGATGCTGACAATGAATAGAATGGTGATATGAGTAAAGGTCAGACACCAGAAACGACAACTTATTATGGATTGATTCTTCTGAACCAACTGAGAACAGGCCTGGATAAACAGTAAGTTGATCTATCTCCAATCGACGGGGTTCTGCTATCTCACCAATCTTGTATGTGACTGAGGAGTTCCGATGTACGCACATTTGAGAGTCACGACCTTGGCACCTTTCTTTTACCGCTCTCGATATGCAATTTATATATATCCCTCCAACCATATTGCACCTCACTAATAACTATATCTTCCCATAGGGGCCGACCGTTTGCAACCAATTTTCTCACCCTCCCCGATAGAAAAGAATTCGCCGCATACTATGCGGTGACGAAGATGCCAGTGGCATTTGACACTGTTCAAGAAAAGTTGGATAACCGTGACTTTGCCACTCTGTCCGAACTTGAGAGCTTTTTCAAACGCTTGGTAAAAAATGCCAAGGACTACAATGAACGCGAATCTATTATCCATCGCGATGCTGAGCGGATACGAAAGGCGGTGGTCAAATTCATGACCGATAACAATCCGGAGTATAAGACAAATCCAGGCTTGAAACTCGAACCTACGCCTATCGGGCCCATCGGATTAGTCGAATCAAGACCAGTTGTGCCTAGACCAGCTGAGCCTGCACCTGTGGCTACCGAACAAGATGATAGCGATGCGGATGCTGAAGGAGAACCGGAAGACTTGGAGGAGCAGCAGCAAATCAAGATTGAACCACAACCAATCGTAAAGCGAAGAGGTCGGCCTCCAAAGAATCCTGGGGCACCACGCAAGAGTACAACACCTGCTGTGTCTGATTCACACTATGCTGGCGTGAGCTTTTCGGGACTTACTTTCCAACAGGCGCAAGAGAAGATTCTGGCTGACGTCCTCTCACATAAAGAAGATCCAGCGTAAGTAGAATAAAACTATCATTCAACTGAGCTAATGTTGTATTCAGAGATGAATTTTTCGAATTTGAGCCATTTGTAACATTGCCTCCACGTAGTCTGAAGGATTACTATCAAGTAATTCCAAATCCACACTGCTTAAAGGATTTACAAAAGCGTGTTAAAGGAACTCATGGTAAGAGTTCCACGGGTGTTAGCGATTTTAAGTCATGGGCCGCGCTTGAAGAAGATGCAAGTTTGATATGGAAGAATGCATATCACTACAATGAAGACGGCAGCGAAATTTTTGTTCTAGCGAAGGACCTTGAGGTATGTAATCCGCTTCTCATTGACCACCTATTTATTAACTTTTTCTAGACCTTTTTCAAAAAGACTTTAGAAGAAGCGAAAAAGTTTGTGCCTGAGCCTGTGACTCCCAAGATAAAAATCAATGTGAAGGTTCCCGAACCTACTCCTAAGATTACTCTGAGAGTTGGAGTAGCTACTGGAGGTAGAGCAACAGACTCACCGGCTCCATTAACCAGTGGCTCTAACGGGACTGCGACCTCTGGGACTTCCTCCAATAGCGAAGCACGCAGAAATCCGTTTGTTAGTTCGCACTCTGCCGCGGCTTCTGCTCCAAATTTTGGCCAGTTGGAGAGAGCTAGGAGCATGTCAAATTCTGCAGCATCTCCAACTCTTTCAAATGCTGTACCAGTCAAAAGTGAGGATACTATACGCAAGTCGCCCGCTGCACCAATTGAACCCACCCCGCGACCAATCAGCCAAACAGTCTCGACGCCAAAACCAGCTCCAAGTAACATGCTTCCACCACATACACCCAGTGCGTCTAATCATAATACATATAACCAAGGTGGTTATGCACAATCTTTCAACCACCAGCCCTCACAGAGCGCTGCAAATCTAGGTCTAGAATCCAAATGGAGAGCACCAGGGACAAGTGAGTAACGTTCTTACTTTGTGCCTAAATATAATACTTACAAGACCTAGCTGCAGCTCATGCTATGATCACAAACTTGAGTATCGCAACTCATCCACGCCTCAATGTTTCTCGTCATTTTCATATGGACCTGCCCCCGTCTGCAACATTGGCGCAACAATCTATCACGATCAATCTCCCTGCGACACATTATTACCTTCAAATCAAGCCGACAATTGCTCAAGCTTTACTCGAGCGTCAATACAAGATTTTTGTTACATCTGGAGTAACTAGATTGCATGCTATCCCACTCATACCTAACCATGGAGTCGATCCACGGCAACCTCTGTTCGAAGCTCGACTTCTTCCTGGTGTGAATAAAATTGAAGTTGAATTGATCGCAGCGCTTCCTAAGGGTGCGGCAAAGCCTGCTGGTGGGCCTGATGTTGAAATAGAAAAGGTCACAGTATTCGCTAATTTGATGAGAAACTGATAATAGTACCGTTTTACCATTCTAAAACGCCAAGACTGACACACAGTAGCTGGCAATGGCTCTTCTTTAGCATTATTGATATTTGCATTTGAGGTCAAACAATTGTTGGCGTTTATGAGAGGCGGAATGGCAATTTTTTATTTGGGATTGTACAAGTAATTTGAGCATTATACGAAATGGAGGCGGTCTATGATAATAGAGTTGTACTTGATACCCAGCTCTGGAGTTGAAGACAGTAGACAGGAAAGAATAGGACGTGATGTTTCTCGAAATATGTAACGTCAAATTCAAATGTATGGTTCCGAACCCTAGCCCTAAAGTATTACTGGGGGGAGATGGATGTCGAGAGAGGGGTTTATTGATTAGATACGAATAGCAGTCAGTTCAGCGCTCACCTGGATAGGGTGTATCTGCTCGAGTCCTTGAGTATGTCTTGAATTATAACATACAAAATAACTTACATATCAGACTCAATAATAATAAGTAGTTATCCAACAATGTTAGGAATCAATTTGAATTATATCACTCTTGTTGTTCTTCAATCGAATAGGCTCTTAAGATTAGATGCCTCTTCAATATCCCCATACAGATTTATAATCAAATATAGCCTCTTGAGCTTGTGTTTTCCAAGGTGGGCGGTTTATTTCGCAAATCACTTCGCCATCGCTATCGCTACAGCGAATTTTGTTATCTTACTCGAGTCGGCAGGTCAAAAATCAATTTTTGGCCTTTGAACCAAATCTAGCTAGATTTTGTATCATCCGCAACTAGACATTGGGAAATTGAGGTATTAGAAAGGAGAACATCAACGATTCCTACAGTAGTTTAGTGGATAATAGGAAATCTAGAAATCTCTGTTGCTTCGCGGAAGAGAGACAAAAATCCCCCAATAACAGTATCACGTGCTATATGGGAGCGAGGCGATCACGCACGGACTTTGAAATTAGCTTATGAAAAATCCCACTGGCTTTTGGGATTTATCTTCTCCCTCCCCGCGATCAAACTTCCAAATTTCTTCTTCCTTTTCCCTCATCTTTGAAGTTTCTTTCTCCCACATCCCTCTTTCAAATTCAATAACTTCTTCAATATGGCTGACGAAGTTTACGAGGGTGCCATTGGTATCGATCTTGGTAAGTGAACAATTTTGGAGAATTTGAAGATTTTTGACGAGGGGCATATTTTTCTCTTTGTCAAAATCTTCATACTTTCGCAATCCTTTTTCTATGGCATCAATAACAGCAGCTAACCATCGGCCATTTTAGGTACCACTTACTCCTGTGTTGCTAACTATGAGGGAACCAATGTCGAGATCAGTACGTATTCCTCTGCCCTGGACCCGACTTCCTGATGTCGCAAATTGGGCTTTCGACATTCGGAAAACTATACTGATGGATATTATCAGTTGCCAACGAGCAAGGTAGCTTCACCACTCCATCTTTCGTTTCCTTCACCGACAAGGAACGTTTGATTGGTGAGTCTGCGAAGAACAACGCTGCCATGAACCCAAAGAACACTATCTTCGATATCAAGTCAGTATTTTCGCTCTAGTGGCGATGACAAGGTACTAATGAATTTATAGGCGATTGATCGGAAGACGTTTTGACGACCCACACACCACCAAAGTATGCGATCACTTCTTTCCCATCACGAAGCCGAGTGTCCAAGAGGGTTTGGATGTTCAACATGAACTATCCAATTCCTTCTGGATGGCTTCTATCATCAGCAAGTACTAATATTTGTTTTAGGATATCCAATCATGGCCTTTCACTGTCATCGATAAGGAGGGATCTCCTTTCGTCCAAGTTGAGGTGAGATCATAAGTCTTTCTGTTGTATAAACGAAATACTGATAATCAATAGTACCTCGGAGAGGATAAGGTTTTCTCCCCTCAAGAGATCTCATCTATGGTTTTGACCAAGGCAAGTACTCCCGCTGCTCGCGTTCGCCAATGTGCTAACGAGTTTCGCATAACAGATGAAGGAAATTGCCGAAGTTAAGTTGGGTAAGAAGGTCACAAAGGCTGTCATCACTGTCCCAGCCTACTTCAACGACAACCAACGTCAAGCTACCAAGGATGCTGGTGCCATCGCCGGTCTCAACGTCCTCCGTATCATCAACGAGCCTACCGCTGCTGCCATTGCCTATGGTCTTGGTGCCGGAAAGTCCAACAAGGAGCGTAACGTTCTTATCTACGATCTCGGTGGTGGAACTTTCGATGTTTCTCTTCTTAACATCCAAGGTGGTGTCTTCACTGTCAAGGCAACTGCCGGTGACACCCATTTGGGAGGTCAAGATTTCGATACCAACTTGCTTGATCACTTCAAGAAGGAGTTCACCAGAAAGACCAAGAAGGACATGTCCAACGATCCCCGTGCCCTCCGTCGTCTCAGAACTGCTTGCGAACGTGCTAAGCGAACTCTCTCCAACGGTGCCTCCACCACCGTCGAGATTGACTCTTTGTTCGATGGTGAGGACTTCAATGCCCAAATCACTCGTGCCAGATTCGAAGACCTCAACTCCAAGGCCTTCAACGGTACTTTGGAGCCTGTTGCCCAGGTCCTTAAGGATGCTAATATCGATAAGAGCAAGGTTGATGAGATCGTCCTTGTCGGTGGTTCTACCCGTATCCCAAGAATTCAAAAGCTCTTGAGCGAGTTCTTTGATGGAAAGAAATTGGAGAAGAGCATCAACCCTGATGAGGCCGTTGCCTACGGTGCCGCTGTTCAAGCTGGTATCCTTTCAGGAAAGGCTACCTCTGCCGAGACCGCTGACCTCCTCCTTTTGGATGTTGTTCCTCTCTCCCTTGGTGTTGCCATGGAGGGTAACATCTTCGCCCCTGTTGTTGCACGTGGACAAACTTGTCCTACTATCAAGAAGAGGTATGTTGCATCATTTTTTCATATCTTGATTCTACCCCCACATCTCCACATCTGCTTGAATGTTCAATTATGTTTGAAAGTTTTTTTTTTCATGTCCAAAAAACATCTTTTAAGTCTACTTCAATGTCATACACCCTCAATATTCAAGGTTTTCTCTATGATATTCATTTCTTTTTGTTGAAGTCTGCTCCAATGGAATGCATCTTCAATGTTCAAAGGTTTTCCATACATTATACCTCCCCAAATGTTCAAGTCTGTTCCAATATATACCCTCAATGTTCAAGTTTTTCTCATGTCATGTACCCTTAATGTTAAATTTTATTTCAATGTATTGTCTTGCTAAGCTTCTCAATGTCCATCGGTTCCCCAAACAATCAGCACAAAGTTCAATTATTTGCTAGACATTTCTTCTCGACTTTCAAATTTTTTTGGACATTGAATTTATTCACAATGTACACCCTTCACTACAACATCAACTAACACAGCCTACTAGGACCTTTACAACTGTTTCGGATGGACAACGTAAGTCTCTCCAACACCTCCATATCTCAAGACACCATTCTAACCAACCCCCACAGAAACTGTCCAATTCCCAGTCTTCCAAGGTGAACGTGTTAACTGTGAGGACAACACTTCCCTCGGAGAGTTCACCCTTGCCCCAATTCCTCCAATGAAGGCCGGTGAAGCCGTCCTCGAGGTTGTCTTTGAGGTCGATGTCAACGGTATCTTGAAGGTTACCGCCACTGAGAAGACCTCCGGACGTAGTGCCAACATCACAATTTCCAACTCTGTCGGTAAATTGTCATCTTCCGAGATCGAGAAGATGGTTGCAGATGCCGCTGAGTTCAAGACCAGTGATGATGCTTTCAGCAAGAAATTCGAGTCCAAACAACAACTCGAGTCATACATTTCAAGAGTCGAGGAGATCATTTCCGACCCAGTTATGTCCATCAAGTTCAAGCGTGGTAACAAGGAGAAGATTGAGTCTGCATTGAGCGATGCCATGGCTCAACTCGAGATTGAGGATTCCTCTTCTGATGATTTGAAGAAGAAGGAACTCGCATTGAAGAGAGCTGTCACCAAGGCCATGTCCACTCGTTAAAGTGGGCCTTAAGCTATGTGGTGGAGAGGAATGTTGGAAGGGGTTACCGATGCATATGAGTTCATGACATGGATGATATGGTCTGGACCGTCTGGTTACTGGCTCGTATTGGGTTTATAAAAAGTCACTCCTGTATTTGCAGGATTTCTATCTGGCTATTTTACGGTCCTCATGTTTCTTTACTTCTGTCTACGGGCATAAAAAGAGCGTCTGTAGAACAAGAAGTGTTAATAAGAAAAAAAATTCACAAATTGATCAAGATTAAAACTTAATGTTTCTTCCAGCGAAGCGTGCTTTCCCCCCCCCCTTGCGCTTGAATTGTGCTTAGATACTTTAGTGACGTCGCTCTGGACGAATGATTGGCCGAAGTCAACATTTCAATGTCTGCATGCTATTGAGATTATGAAAGCTTTATTAAATATACTCCAAAGCATAAGAAAGGAGACAGAAGGAACACAAATTCTCAATAGTTGAATTATAACAAGATTTAGGATATCCCAATGTTCGATCCTATTCCCGCAAAAAAGTATAGTAATATCATATCAATCTACTCGAGTACTCAGATAGACATTCTTGCGCCTGATCAATTTGAAGCAAGTCCTATATTCGATAACACAATCCTAACTAACATATTTCAAAGATTCAGATTCTTTTGAACCCCTTTGGTTTTTGTGCAATGATCAATTTGAATTTCTATCCATAACTTTCCTTTTCCAAATATTTCAATGTTAGAGGTTTTTACAATACATGATAATATTATTCAACATAGCAGCACACTGATATTCCCAAGCTGCGGCGCCATTGGCAAGCAGAAAGAACACTATGGGCTACCACTGACTAGTAATGGTAAGAAAGTAATCACCCGGTAACTACTGTATACCATCGATGGCGAAATCTTGAATCTGGTTCGAGTGCCATGGCAGTGCCTTGCTTTGAGATTCTCCGGGTCGCTAGTGCTGATCACATTTGTTTGCAGTCTGTAGTTTAGACGGGCAGAGTAGGTGTTCCTGCAACGACAATATTGTGCTTGCATGTGTGAGAAACTTGGAACGGTTTGAAAAGGAGTACGAATGATGGAATGAATGACAGGAGTTTGCTGGCTGGAAGTAATGAGCATACGGACTGGGCAGTTGGTACAGGTCACTATGTGATGGAGGTCATTTCCCCTGAAATAAAGGGAATATGAAGAACGAAATGGCATCGACTGAATAGTGAGAGTCCTCGGGGCTGGTTACGCCGGATTTTTGCGTTGTCGATTTACTTGCGTGCTGTTATAGCTATCATGCACACCTTTGTTACTGTGTACTTACACGGTCGTCGGTTTGAAGTCATTGAACCATCGCGAGCGCCGCACGCCTACACCCTGCTGGTGCAGGTGGTCCACTCATCCTACTCTCTCGCTTTGGACAATTGATACAGTAAGTAGTGGGCACAAGTCCGGTTAGAGGGAGACAGCATGTGGTGCGTCAACCGCTGCCAGTCCCTGTCACTTAAATTGTCTGAGTAGAGGCCTATCCCCGCGAATATCCTCAAATTTTATATCACACTATGGATACTTTCTTTATTGTCTGAATTAGCTATCCTATAATACAGCTTTTTCTTCTACTTCCTTCATCCCGACAACTTATACCACGTCACACCACGCCGATTCTCTGTTCACTTTTTCTCCATAGCCAGATTAGCTCTGCAAGATGATTCTTCATGTCAAGTTTACTGTCAAGCATGGCACTGCAAAAGATATTTTTTTCCAACCACAGCCATGTAGCTTCGTGCCTGTAATCTGTTTCAACACCATTTAGTGAACTTTGATTGCTCCTGGGGAACACAAGTGAAACCGTCACTTCTGAAGAATGCTTTTTTTCTGTCGAAGTTATTCTCTAAGTTCAGAAGGCGTCCACGATAAAATGGCTTGAGTTTGATGCGAACAACTCCTTATCTCAAATCTTCATAACACCTTCCTCTTATCATCCCAAGGACATCAAACACCATCGCTTTGGAGATCGATCAGTGTCGGGCTTCAAGTTCCTTCTACAGTCTCGAAGATGCTCGACTTCTGCTCGCGAGCGTCATCAATTAGCCATCAGTTTCATGATCCCTCAAGCACAGGATCATATAATTCGGTCGGATATCTTCAATCTTCGACTATGGACTGCCCTCTTGTATAAGAGGGCACCTCATACCGGCCTGTTCCTTGTATACAAGAAATTGTTATATCAAAACATATATTGGAGTGCATTGAGATCTTATATTGAGATTTGAAACCCCAATTCAAACCTAATTAGATATAGCTTCATTCTTTTCATATTTGTTGAGTGATTTCTAATTCATTCTTTCAAGAATCACTTCAATCATTTTATTCCTTTACCCAAGTTGACTTGAATGATCTCAATATTCAGTAAGTCAGTTTGGATGGTTTCAATGATTGAATAGTTTCAAAAGCCAATAAGGATAAATCGTTTATAAGAACGATTAAGGGCTAGCAACGACAAGGGTGCAGCGATGAGATGATGATGAGGGAAGAGAAAGAATCTGAAGGAATTCAAAGAGAAGGCGTTTTGAGGAAGAGAAGGGAAGGGGAGAGGGAGAATGGGTGGCCCAGGATCTTTAAAGTAAAGGAGAGGGTGGCCATCGATACCGGAGGAATAGCTTCAAACCTCAATAACATGCTTTGAATCTCAGTATATGTTTTAACAAGGGTATTAGCAAAAAATGACTGATTTTCTTGTATTGTATAATGAATTCCCTTATCCTCTAAGTATGAGGAAAAATTCCTTGTTTAATACAAGAAAACGGCTGCCTGTAATTAGAGAGCGTCGGCAAAGAGTCAAAACGCTTATATATATTATCTTTTTAAATACAATTTAAAATGTTTTAGAAAGAACGAAGAGATGCTAATGCTCAAGGATGTTATACAACTGAGACTCAAGATTGTATATTATATGATTCCAGATCTTTATATGTTTCAGGAACCCTTGAAAAACTATTCTTGATTGTCGGTGATTGATGCCAATTCTTCTATATAGGAGGGACTTCGAGAGTTTTTTGAAGTATAATAGTAATCCTAATTACTAAGTAAAAGAGCTATAATACTTTGATTGTTGTTTTTCCGCTCTGTATTCTGGACTTTTCTATTAAACAATCTAAATTTTATATTTCAAAAAGCGCTTACATTATTTCACTATTAAAAATTATATTAAAATCTATAATTTATTTTGTCTCTTCCTGTTAGAGAGTGTTGGTATCACCGTGGTAGTGATGAAGTCAATAGTACTATCGTATTT